CTAAGGTTTTTACGTAATTTTTAATTAGTTTCAATTGTAACTGGAAGAAGGACCAGGAATAAAATGGTTACTGTTTATTCATTCGGAAAACTGGATGCAAGCAACCTTATTGCATTTCTTAAATTTCCTAGATTTTTGTATTCAAACTTATTTCTAAAACTATCAATTAGTTATGATCATATGGATATACAATACTTCAAGATTTTCATGGAAGTTTCAGAAAATAACTAATAATTGGAAACAGTGAAGAAATAAATCTGAAAATGATTTAGTTGATCATATTTATCAAAATCTAATTATTAAACTGATGCATCATGCAGACAATCAACTAGTAACAGAAACAAATATAACAATATTAGAAATTTAACTATAAAAATTCCAAATTCCAATTTTCGATGAAGAATTTATAAACTGGATTAGTTTCATAGATTTGTTGACAAAAATATTAATTTATGGGATGTGCAAAAGCTTTACTAATTGAATTACTAGAGCTTGCAGAATCTCTTAAAGCGTCAATACCTCTCGATAACAAAAGGAAATGCAAACTACTTTAAAATTATCAATTTTTTTAAAAAAATTGTTGTTTTGTTTTCTGTTACGCTCGTTGGGGGGCCCCCTGCCTCGGGGCCCCGTATTTTTGATACGGCTGATACGACGGTGGTTACGCCCCTGAATTGGAGACTAGCAACGTCAGATATTAAATTTTCATAAATCAAAAACGCAATTCAATTAAAATTTATGTGATATAAATTTCATAACGGACAAGTTTTTGAAAAAACTTGTAGGGTGGTATGCTAGGAATGTAAGTGATACTTTTCAATAATAAATTGTTAATACGGGATGTCATATTTGAAACCCGAGTGCGTCAGTTTACTATGCATATTACGTGTGAAGCAAATGGCAGGCAGCAATACAAGTTTCATTGATAAAATGCTTTTAAGTTCATATTTGTTCAATATAATCCGTATGCAGGATATAATATTATTTTTGCAAACATGTGTCATATTCATTTTAATTTGAAACGTAACATATATATTATTGTTAACTAATGGTTAATACTTATTCCTATCTTAAGTATATAATCGACAGATAGGGCTACTATACTATACGCGTTTTAGCAATGTCCGTTCGCAACAAATGGATTTACTATATAATTATATATGTCTAAATAGATTAAATTCTTTACAATGTATTACACAAAAACTGTTCAAAATCTTAGGCCTATCTAAAATAAAAAAAAATCGATTTCATAAAGCATTCTAATTTTTAATAAGAAAGTTAAATATCGTTCAATTTATACATACCTACACTGTCTTGCTCATGAATGTAAAGTATATAAAAATATTATTACGAATCAATTATTTTGAACTAATATTTGATAAAATATATAAATGTCATTCAGGTTTATATATTTGGAGATATTGAATTATGACAAAAATGGAGATGAGTTAGTTTATTGCTGGCAAGTGTAAAATTATCGAAAGGTTTGGGATATTACTTGAATATTGCATTTTTTATCTTTGCTGTGAAATTATATTTTGTTTTGAAGCTGTATATAACAGAGTTACGGTAAAAATTAATAATGAGAATTTAAATATATACATTCAATAATGATCATTTTAATATACTTATGTCAACGATTTAGAGCAGATTTATCTCGACAATAACATTAAATGTGTAATAATACCCTTGATGTTATGATAAATATCACGGAAATGTCGCAGTTTTGAAAGCTCTGCCTGGATCTGATATGATACCGACAGTATCAAGTTAAATGCTTTGTACCAATTTTTAAATCTGTACAATTAAGTTCGGCATATGTGTGCACGAATATGTGCACATATACATATCTGTGCGTATGTGAGAATAAATTGTACTGGAGAGGATGTGCCTTCTCAATTCAAACAGCAACAATCGTTCATAGTTGTTGCTTAAATTTATTAAGTGTAATCGGACATGAGTTCCAAAACAAATGAGTGCGCACATAAAATCGGAAATAATCTTTGTCATAATTGCGTTGATTTCAAAATCTGTAAAGTAATGTAAAGATTAAGTTTGAGATCTCATTCAAAACCTTTTTTTTTTGTTTCTTGCATTTCAATCATCATATTCATATTATTCAATGAATTATCATTATACTACCTATACAATCGCAAAAAATTAAAAGGATTTGTTTTCATGTTTACACTTCCAGAAAATGCACATACATTTTACTCATTAAATTTTACATAATTCTTAAAAGACTTCTAGTACGATTTTTTTGAACAAGCATTTCAACTATTCGAGTTAAATTTTCGTTCCATTAGTCGAAGAATTAAAAAAAAAACAATTTTTAATATCACAAATATCAGAAAATGAAATGATTATGGTATTTAATGGCAATATAAGCCGTACTACTTTATATAAAATCTAGAGTTTCGTACTATTTACGAAAAAAATATAATCTATAAAAATATTACTGAATAAACGATCATAATTTTTATTGTATAATATTCGATTATATTATATTCAAACATTAGAAAACAAAGTTTCAAATAAAAACAACTTTTTCAACAAATCAACATCAAATAATATCAAAATTTAATATAAAAAAATCATATTTCACGAAACGAAAAGTTTCGAGCAATATTAAGAAAAAAATTACATACTGTGCTTGTATTATATATTAATGAAAACAATTTTTGTTAAGATTTAACTGTAAAAGAAAACTGCATTCAAATTATTGGATCAACACAGTTTACGCTTAACGGCTCTAAGTTCCCAATATATTGTGTTACCATCTGTTGGCTATGTGCCGCTCTACTGAATTGTAACCGGTGCAAAATCTTGCTTCTATGCTATTTAACGACGCGGTCTTTTACTCATCCTTCCTAATACTTAAATTACATTATAATATAAACTAGTGGGGCGCATGGCATAGTGCCTTAACATTTTTGAGAAAAAATTACTTTGAAAAAATTAGGTTTTGAGAAACTATAAAATTTTGACAAAAATTTACTTTTTTGAAAAAAAGACTTTTTGAAAAAAAAATGTTTTCTTCATTTTGAAATATTTTGGAAATTCTGAACTTTTTTCAAAGCAATCGTAATGCTTTAACTGCATTTTTGACCGCCAAATGGCTTTTTTTTACTTTTTTCACTAGATCTCCGAAACCGCTAGACCTGCCTTCGTTTTTTGAATTATTAAAAGCGGACGCTCCGTTCTCTTAAAAACTGAGTTACCGTTTGTGGCACTTTTTGCCCCGTATCTTCGAAACGGCTAGACATGCTTATGCCAAAAACTAATCAGCACGTCTCCTTATCAACAGCAATCGAATGTTTTTTGAATAATCGAAATCGGTTGAACTGTGTTCCCGAAATCGTCGACGAAAATTTGTATCCGCACACACACATTCATTTTTTAAGGTATGCCAAAATGTTCAGAAACCTCTGAAACGTAAAGATATAAAAATTTTCATTTTCGATTTTTTTGCGATTACTATAACTTACCCTACGGGAAGTTAATAATATTTTATATGAGACTGCAATAAGTGTTATATATATATATATATATATATATATATATATATATATATATATATATATATTTATATATATACTAGTATTTACAATAATATATACCAAAAGATTTTTTCATAATCATATTGAGTACAAGTCAGAATCATCAGAATCATATTATACAAAATATAAAATCTTATTTAATAATATTCTTTAGAACACTATAATAGTTTCGTTAAAACAATTTTACTGTTCGTAAGCAAATCTCAATTTTATTAATGATTTTTTGAAAAACTAGTATTTGATAAAATTTTAATATTATATCTCATATGTTATTCAAATATTTAAAGTGTTTCCGGAGCATAGTAATTAAAGAGACCTCACTCACCTGCCTAAATGAGTTATGGATATGTCGTTATCAATTATTTGCTATTATTCATTGCAAATAGTTTTTCATCATTTTGCATTAAGTATTTTCATTGTCTCGGAGCTATTTTTACTTTAAATATGATTTTATTGTTCACCTATGTGAAATAAAAATAGTAATATAGTTTCATTGAAAACTAAAATAATATTATCGAATTGTATGTCTATGATGACAGATTTATTAGTTAATTTATGTCGTAAGCGGACATGCTTGTTATTGCAAGTGCGCAACCGTATTAAGAATAATTTAATACATATTTGCCACAATTGAAGTTGATTTTTTTAACACTGATACTATGGAAGATCTCAAAAGCCAATTAAATTGATGAGCTTATTCTAACTATCACAAACAATATGACTGAAAATAATATATTTTTTTAGATCCATTATAAGAAATATAAATACAGGGTGTCCCAGACCTTAACGGCAAGCCGAAACGGGGTGATTAGTAGTATTAGCCTTAACTGTCCTGAAAAAAATTAGAAAACAAAATTTATCTCACGTTGTTTGGAAAATATAAGCTTTTGAGTACAATCCAAAGCTTTCGTGAAATTATAACCATTTTTCGGTTATTGTGCTCAATTTTGATTAATGTTGCTCATTTAAACTTTGGAACCGTAACCATGAATCATATTTCTAGCACCACAGTAAAAATAATAACACAATTGTCCCCCAAAAACTTCGGGCAACTGTATTATTATTTTATTGTGGTCCCAGAAATGTTATCCACGGTTACGGCTCCAAAGTTTAAATGAACAATTAAAATTAACCACAATAATCGAAAAATTGTCATAATTTCATCAAAGCTCTAGGTTGCACTTAAAAGCTCATAATTTCCAAACAACGTGAGATAATTTTTGTTTCTAAATTTTTTCAGGTTAATACTGTCACCCTGTTTTGGCTTGACGTTAAGTTCTGGGACCCCCTATATATAATTCAGTAATCGGAACATTCCACTAATCGACACCGTCTGGTTTTTAATAGTGTCGGATTAGTGAAAATTTAAATCTAAGAGTTATGATATACTTTCGACTGATTTAGAATAATATGATTTAATTATAATCTTTTTTGTTACAGTTGGTTTACGGACCGGATGGTAACCTTATACGCCAAGAAAGCAGAAGGGGTCGAGGCAAAGGTCGAGGCACTGGGGTAAGTTGAAGACTAATGCATTGATATATTCACTTATTATTTTTTTTTAAATATTGATTTAATATGAAAAATGACTTCGAAGTCTCTCGGAACTTTTTTTTAAAAATAAGCAATATTAAAAGCATTGACTTCAAATTACCATTCATTTGAAAAGTGAATAGTAGTCAAGTTGAAATAATATTTTCATTTTATGTATGAAAGAGGATGTATGTATAAAAGTTAGATTTCAATTTTGCGGAAAATACCTATTCATCTTGATACTTTTATTAAATTCCCGAAGGAGAATTATGTTTTCGCAAAAATGACTTGCTAATTTTATATTTTCTAGCCGTTTCAAGTCATTCTGAATACTTGGACGCAATTGGTAAATATATGTGTGTTTGTTTGTTTGCTAAAATTTCTTCAAAAAGGTCTGAACCATATAATTTAAAGTCATTTTAAGTAACTCAAGACGAACTCACGTTGATTAGTTTTTGCGACGATCGGTTGGGCCGTTCCTTTATTTTTTTCGTCGATGTCACGTTTTCGCAAAAAAATCTGAACCGGTTTGTCTGAACCAATTGTTGATTTTTTGTGACGATTTTTATAAAACTTTATATGACAAAACAGTTCATGGTCTTAACAAATATCGTAAAATATATTAGTGTATTTTACAATTTTGCATAATTCGGCTTTTATCAATATAATATAACTTTTTAATAGTACTGTTCTATCGTAGTTAGAAGTGTATTTTGTTATTTGTTATTTTTTATGTATAATGCACCTTTTAGAATTTCATCCGCGCTTTCCTTGTTTTTTTTTACAATTTCTGGCGGATGAGATCCCGGAAAATGTTATCCTAGAAATTTTCCATAATTTCTCGAGATAATAGAAGAAGTTGCAATAGCGGTCTTTCTAAGATTTTATACGATCAACTAATCCATCCAGCAAAAACTAAATTCACAAGTAGCCATTTCTTTATTTAAAAAAAAAGCTTCAATATTTTTTTGAAAACTGAAAAAAATTTTTTTGAGAATTTCGAAATATTTAAAAAAATTGACTTTTTTGAAAAATCCATTTTTTTTTAATTTTGAACTTTTCTGAAAATTTATTTTAAACTTTTTTAAAGCAATCGCACTGCGTAGCTGTTTCAGAGACGAAGTATCTAATAATTAATGTCTAATAATATCTAATAATTGATGTCTAATGATAAGTTTTGACCGCCAAATGGCTTCTTTCTTTACTTTTTTTACTGTGTTCCCGAAACCGCTGTTTTTCCAAATACAAATAAAATAAAATGTTTTTTGAATTATTGAAATTGGACGCTCCGTTCTCTCAAAAACTGAATCACCATTTTTGGCACTTTTTGCCCCGTATCATTGAAACGGCTGGAGCTGCATTTACTAAAAACTAACAAGCACGTCTCCTTTATTTCAATAGGAATCGAAGGTTGATTGAATCATTAAAATCGATTGATCCGAGTTCTCGAAATAGTCGACGAAAAATTGTATCCGAACACACACACACACATTCATTTTATCTAAAGTATGCCAAATTGTTCAGAAATCTCTGAAACGTAAAGATGTATAAAAAATTTCATTTTTTCCAAATACAAATAAAATAAAATGTTTTTTGAATTATTGAAATTGGACGCTCCGTTCTCTCAAAAACTGAATCACCATTTTTGGCACTTTTTGCCCCGTATCATCGAAACGGCTGGAGCTGCATTTACTAAAAACTAACAAGCACGTCTCCTTTATTTCAATAGGAATCGAATGTTGTTTGAATCATTAAAATCGATTGATCCGAGTTCTCGAAATAGTCGACGAAAAATTGTATCCGAACACACACACACATTAATTTTTTCTAAGGTGTGCCAAATTGTTCAGAAATCTCTGAAACGTAAAGATGTATAAAAAATTTCATTTTTTTTGCTATAACTATAGCTTACCCCACGGGCATTTAATTATTCGTGGTGTATTTTTTTATTTAAGTAAAATTGGGGGTTTTCAAATTAATTAAGTGGCTCGGTAGTGCTGTTGAACCATATCAGATATTTTCGAGACGGTCGCAACGGGTACGTCTCGAAGGGTAGTAGGTGCAGGGCGCAAGGATTCGCGTTGCACTTGGCGCCGTCAAACAGTGGATGGTTGAGGGTGCGATCCATGGTACTTCGGAGATAATCGTGGGCGTTCGCGCCGAGACATTGCCTGATCGAATCGAGTTCAGACACAAACATGCGCGCTTTCCACCGAGCACGAGGAAAAATCCGAGATAATACGTAGGTCGGTTCTCAGTACGCGGTTCAAATGCCATCTTGTATTAGAAATAGGGAAGCAGGAGGTTAGCGCCGCCGCAACGAATATTTGTGTTTTTGTCAGAATATTTTTTATAGCCGTTCAGTAGTCGGTACAGCGCGTTCATCTCGTTTTTTCTCGGTACACTATAACAAATAAATAAATAAACTAATATATATATATATATATATATATATATATATATATATATATATATATATATATATAAATCTGTATATAATATTTATATATGATTGATAATTTATATTTATTTTCTTATCGTCGCAATACAGTGTTCGGTGTTCGTGTAAGTTTCTTATAGAACTCAAATTTATTTTTTAAAAATAAAATTGATAGTGTTTTGGTGCGCAGTTTATCTTTACCGTGTTTATGATAGTGATGTTGAGTGAAATAAATTTACTATTTATTGTGCGATCGGTTTGTTTTAGGTGAGTTGAAAAATCTTATGTTTTTCAATTTCATTAATGATGTATGCATAATTAATTAATGTATGCTATATGCCTAGCATTATTTTTCTCATGTCATTGACCTCTTTTCGATATTATCTAAAACTGCTTATATGGTTGATATATCGTTCCTAATTAAACGTGGTTTACGCAAGTTGTGATATATATTTATATATATATATATATATATATATATATATATATATATATATATAGATTACTGAATGATAACACAATGATATATATACATATATATATATATATATATATATATATATATATATATATAATTTTTTATCAAAAAGAGATTGTTGCAGCTGGGTTTGCTTGAGTTGGGCTGCTAAAAAATTTACAAATATATATATATATATATATATGTGTAATAAGCATAACATCAATATATATATATATATATATATATATATATATACGAGGTGTGTTCAAAAAGTACCCGGAATTACTAATAATTAAATTTCGCGGGTCTGGAGTGTCTGATTGTCAAAATTTTTTTTTATTGTGTTGGTATACATGCCCCTAAAGTATGATGAAATTTTCAGCTATATTCACTGTTTACTTTGTCTGTGGTAGTCGCTAAGGTTCGACGTGTTTTTCTGAGCTCGGCGATTTTTACAATGGAAGAATTGAAAAGTCAAAGAATTTGTATTAAATTTTGCGTAAAAAATGAAATAAAGTGTTGCAAAGTGCAAAAATTCACCAGATATGGCTCCGTGTGACTTTTTCCTATTCCCAAAGTTGAAGAGACCCATGAAAGGACGGCGGTTTTCCTCGATTGAAGAAAATCGCTGAGAGTGCTCAAGGACATATCAAAAAGTGAATATCAAGGGTGCTTCGAAAATTGGAAAAAACGCTGGCATAAGTGTATTATATCTGGGGGGGACTACTTTGAAGGGGACCACATTAATGTAGACGAATAAATAAATATTTTTTTGAAAAAACAAAAATTCCGGGTACTTTTTGAACAGACCTCGTATATGTAATAAGCATAACATCAATATATATATATATATATATATATATATATATATATATATATATATATATATTAGATTACTGAATGATGACACAATGATATATATACATACATATATATATATATATATATATGTAATAAGCATAACATCAATACAATTAACTACACTAAAAAAACTCTAAAACTAAAATATGCAACGATAGTGTTTGATGATTATACTACTTAAAATTTGATTATTATAATATTAGAAACTTAAAAAGCAATAATCCATGGCATGAGGATATATATATATATATATATATATATATACATCATAATTAATGTTTTCTGTTGTTTTTCCTGGTTTGATTACTGAATGATGACACACATCAAGGGTCGAAACGTTTAATGGAATAAATAATTTTGTTATTTAATCTTTTTTTTAATTCGACGGTTGGGCTGCAAAAATATTACATATATATATATATATATATATATATATATATATGTGAGTGTGTGTATTATATTTTTATATACTGTAATGTAATGAAATAGGTGACCTTTATATCAATTCATTAAATTTGTAATTGATATTTTTATTAAACATTTATAGATTTTTATATGAATTTATAGAAGTTATATGTAAAACAATTATACGAAATAATAGCTACTTTATTCAACCAATGCAAAATATAAATTTCATGGGTACATTTTTCACAGAGACAACACTGTATATAACCTTGATCTGGTATTTTGTCAGAAAAAATTAACAGAGTTGGAACCACTATTTATTTAATTTATCGCTTGTAAAATTCATTTTTTTAAACTTAATTTACTTTTTTATTCACTATTTTTTATTGCTTACACCTTTGCTCGAATTATGTTCAGTTTTACCCCACCCACGTGTAAGTTTTCATAGAGGTTATATAAAAAAAAGGTTTAATCTAAATAAAATTACTATCCTTTCCCTATTGAATAACGTATAGATAAAAATTATATGTCTCGTAAAATAAACAGCAGTGATCGCAATCAAAAAATCTAACCACGGAAGAAAATACTTTTGTTATGGATTTTCGATTGTCATCCCGATAGCAACATTTATCTCCCGATAGCAACGTCGTAAGAATCTAGGTGATGGCGGATTATACATTTTTTCTCCTCTAAATATTATTAAAAAATTCTTAACTTTACGATACCGGTAGTGGACCTTTTTACCTTAGGGCCTTCAACTCCCGCTTTACTCTATATAAAAAATAAACAATATTAGATATGGTGTTTGTAAGAAAAATTGAAAATAATATGATCAACAATACATTTCAAAGAAGAGAATTATTATTTTTGTAAAAGTATTAAATTGCTTTTGAAAACATCTGCGATTTTTTATCTATCCTAGGCATTATTTACGTTAAAGGAATACATATCTATTTGTTAAATGAAATATTACTAATCGGATAATAATAGGATCTTTGCTTATAATGCATAGCGGAGCATTGAAGCGTGTTTGTTTCTTTTTTCAAAATATGATCGAACTTCGAAATAATTTTGCGGATGAATTATGAAAAATATTATAAAAGCTCTTCATAATAACTGACAACTGAACTGTAATAATCTTCATGTTTTGAATTCTTTGCAATAAAAATAAAATGAATTGAGTGTACTCACTAGTAATCTTCATCATATTCTATCGAGTAAAATCAAACAAATTTTAAATATGAATTTCTCATTTCAAAGCACAACGTATAAGAGTTTTGTGTTACTTTAGTAAACTACAATGACTAAAAATAAATAATAGTACATAATTTCAATATTTTATAATTTTATTTTACAATTTAAGGAGCATTTGCACACACGCACATACACACACACTATATGATGAAAAATGAGATTTGCTGTTAATGTAAATATTTCCAATATTTCCATTATCCACACACATTTCCATATGTGTGTGTATTTGTGTGTGTGGATAATGAAATTATTTACATTAACCGCATATTTTTTATCATATTTTAACAGCAATCAAAACCTTACGTCTTATAAGCTGTTGGGGTTAATCTTCCCTTACATCGTATTTTTAGATGGTAACCCAACGGTTGATTCATTCATATTTGATTATTTTATTATTAGAATTTATCTAATAGAGCTGACAAATATTATTCGATTTGATCCAGCAATGCCTGGGAAGGGCGTTTTTTACTTGGAAACATATTTAAGACCTATATTTTTTCAAGTGAAAATTGATATCGCTACTGCACGATATCGGGATTGTTCGTGACGGTGATTGAATCCGCAATCCGTCGTTTGAATGCGTACCTACGCGGTAACCACTTCGCCACGAAGGCCCCATTAGAAGTTACATCTATATCGTTGTTTTTGAACTTCGTTCAAGCATTTGCAATTGTTATTTGATGTATATTTATTTCTTAAGTAACTTGACTTAATGTGTATTGGAATCGTTCGATGTTTATTTATATGTTATTATTATATACCATATTTACATTGATATAGAATGCGTAAAACGTTAGGCTATTTATTTCAATAAGAATTTTTTGAGAAAACATGCAAACTTTTTACAATCAAATAATCTTGCAGCAAAATGAATCTTAAAATAAAATATAAAATATACATTGTTATTTCATTCACTCGCGTCTATATCTTTTAAAAAGCTTCCGTGTTAAATTGTTATTATATTTGTTTTATTCGATTTCAGAGTTATCGTGGAAGAAAGGCGGCGCTGTCGCACGGTTTAAATACGCCATTGCCTACATCGCTTTCGACGCCGCCACCTCCGTTGTCGTCGACTGTCAGTCCTGCTCCGGCATCAAACAGTCCCGCTCCGCCTACCACAATGAAACACGATAATAGTGCAGTGCAACAGCAACAGCAGCAGCAACAACATCAGCAGCAACACAATTTACAACAGCAAATGCAACAGCAGCTGCAGCAACAAATTCAACAACAACATCACATAGACAATCAGCAGCAACAGCAACAGCAGACGCTGCAGCAACAGCAAATGCCGACGCCAATGGCTTTTTATCCTACACCAACGTGGGGAATGCCGCAACCTCCGGATCAGGTAACTATTAATTTCTTTTATATTTTAAAAAGCTTTTGATTTACCCCACAAATTTTGTATATGCAACATCAATTACTATTGTAATTAACACTAAACCTATCGACAATTCGTATATACCTATACCGCGGCACCGCGGCCTAATTGGCCTACTATTAAAAAGATTCATTTTCTTATTTAATTCAGATAATAATTGATTTACTGTTTCACTGTATAAAAATTATAGAAATTTTTATGAACTTTTATCTAAATTTATTTTTATACAATTTCTAAAAGAAATTATAAGTAAAAAACGAATAAAATCAAATATTTATACAGAGAGCCATAAATAATATTAAATAATATACTGCATAAATAATATACTGCATTAATCTTTCTCATATTGTTAGCCAATTATTTTAGTCGTTGCAAATATGTTTGTTGTTTCACATTTTTTTGCAAGTTTTTCGTCTACCGCCGTAGCCCGACATCAGGCAGCTTTGATGTCAAATTTCCACTTATAATTCCAAGTGGAAATCGTCCTTCGTGGACATAGCTGCAACATCCAATCACATGTTAACTATTAGACGTAAGAGCTAATATCAAAAATATCCCACATATAAGAGAATGGTAAATCGATGGATTGCCTCTCATGAAATAAGTAGTCATAAGTCTTAACCAACAGCTTATAGCCAACAAATACAAAAAAAAAGTTTTTCGTCAACACAAAGCCGAACTTATGGTCAGTGTTGAATTTCTTTAGATTTTGAATATGCATCTCGAGTTAAAAAAATATATATTTATTATATATAAAACAAAAACTCGCCTAAAAATGCGTTTACTCGTCGTCTCTATATACACACTTTTTCATCCATCTAGGACCTAAGTGTTGAAATATACCTAAAGTTGCCAACTAGAAGTTTTCGACTTTATGTTACATTTTATAGCCATCTGGTCTACCACATTTTCATAAAGAAATGTACTAATACAAATTCTAATACTTTTCGGAACCCTTTTGCTGCTTTCTCCTATCTCTATTGGATAATATTTGAAACTTGGGACAAGCATTTTTTCGGTTTACTTTTATACACCGAGATGGTAATGAAATTTGATTTATACAATTTTTTTCAAAAATTGTGAATGAATTTATTAGTTTTAGAAGAACGAACTATCCAATTGAAAAATTCAACAATCTCTCTCTCGTCATTTCCCAAATAAGGAATATTTACTATTGACTTCACACTCCGCCCAACACTTTATTATAAATTTGTCTGGTTCATTTGGCATATGTTGTATTTTGCACCTATATTTCTATGAAAACAAGTCCCCAAATAACATTATTTAAATCAAAGAGTGAAAAAAATATTAGTATGTTCTAAGAATTGTCATATAGTTTGATATTAGTATTTTAATGTTTAAAATTGTCTGACAATGAGTTATACACAAAGTTTGAAACGGTCTTGGTAGGTTTAGTGTTAAAGATTTAATAATGATACTAGCGTTTTTTTATTTTTCAAAAAATTATAAACGTTTTTTTTATATTTCATACAAGTATCGATACAGCATAGCTTTCACTACCGTTCCATTCAAATAAAAAACATAGATACGAATATCTGTTATAGATAAATATCATTATCTTTAGTAGTATTAATATTGCTAAAAAAATTATCTGGTATCGTCACTGGTGTTTGTTTGTCCGTCTGTCGGCATATGTCTTAGCTGAAACTAATTTTAAGTATGTATTTTGAAATTTTTAGCGGTGGATAATCCATTTAGAAATCATGACGTTGTCGATTATACCCATATTTGGTGTAGCAATAACAAACAAAATTTATGAACAATCATCATAATCAGCATTGTTGTCGTTCTTATCAATTTGAATATGCGTTTCCATATTCATTCATAATTATTCGTTGATTAAAGTAATTTTAATGCATGCTTATGAGTATGTTTAAGAAACATTAAGTCAAAAATGTAAAGTCTGCAATATATCTCTTTACCAAATTTAAGTTCCGTTTAATTAGTTGGGGCTGGGGTTCAGTAAACTAGACCTTTTCAAGGATCATTCAAAATTTATTATTAACTATTTATATTATAATCGCCAGACTTGAATAAGTTGTTTCAGGGTTATCTATCAAAATGATAAATATTAAATATGATGCGTACAGAATTGTCTTACGGTAATAGTCTGGCAGACCATATAGTTTAAATTTACATTGCCGCAACTTTTTTGCCTGTATGTATTATTTACACTGAATTTTGAAAAAAGCCTCTATGATATGACAGACTATTAAGAATTATATAATTATATAAGAAGAGCCGTACAATAAATTGATAATATGCTTCTAGAGTTTCGTATACATACATGTATACTAAATTATATGCATATTTATGGTATAATCGTTTACTAGCGCAATAGTTCATATAAAAAATAATATATAATAATTTATAATGCATTATTTTTTTATATATTGTTGTATTAAATAGCAGTATAATTTTAATGCAATGTATGCAACATGGCGATTGAAGAATTTTGTCATATTCCACGTTTTGAGAAAAAATCACTTTTTATCTCTATTGATTCTACTATCTGCTAGTTATGCCTCATTATTGAAAATTTGTTTGTAATGAAAAAAATATACAAACTAGTGGGGCGCATGGCATCTAGCCTTAAGGCAAATTGCTGGAACTTTCCGTACCAAATATTATTATTTTTTTAAAAACGATTAACATTTTTGAAAAAATTTTACTTCGAAAAAATTAGATTTTTGAGAAACTAGGAATTTGACAAAAAATTATTATTTTTGAAAACAATTTTTTTTTGAAAAAAAAAAATGTTTTCCTTATTTTGACATATTTTGGAAATTCTGAACTTTTCTTGAAAGCAATCGTACTGCTTTAACTGCATAGAGACAAAATGTCAAAGCGCGTAAGCGCCGCGTCGCCGTCTAACAAATAAACATTGGTACGGAACCCATAGGAATGCAAACAAAATTTATACTTATTGTTAAAATCACTATAAAATATCTGATAATTTGATGTGCATATGTCTAATGATCATTTTTGACCGCCAAATGGCTTTTTTTTTTTACTTTTTTCATTAGATCTCCGAAACCGCTAGACCTGCCTTTATGAAAATTTGATCAGTTCTTCATCTTGTCAATACAAGTAAAATGTTTTTTGAATTATTAAAATCAGACGCTCCGTTCTCTTAAAGACTGAGTTACCGTTTTTGGCCCTACGGGAAGTTAAAAATCAGAGAAGTTGGTAGATCGCTATAAGTTGTGTAAGACTCTATTTAATTCGACCTGACAAATTAAATGTTAATAAAAATTATGAAACAATTCTCTATTGAATCTTATTTTGCATATTCTTATATTAGTAATCATTGATAATGATTTACTGGATAACGTTGCTTTGATGGTAAAAGTTAGATGATAAAATTGATTGCTATTATTATTATTTGTTCATTGTCTACATCCAAAAGATTAATTACAGGCCAATATAATTATACAAATATTGGATAGCTGTAACAAATAATTAAAAACTTTATCATGCTTATGACTACGATTATTTTCAGGCGCAGGCTTGGCAAAATCAGTTTATCCAGCAATTACCCACGCAGGATTATCACCAGACCGCTTATACGGCTACACCCCTGTATCAAACGAATGGCTACGTACAGAACGTGGCATTTGAAACGCCATCCTTCTACAGCGCGGCTCAGGTGTGTAGCCGCGATATGACAAATTAACTGCGATTATTATCGAGTATTGTACCTATACGATAGAATTCAATTTTATTTTAATAGTTTTTCTTTTTTAATGAAACGAACATTTCGAAATACTACATTTACTTTAAGCTTACTTTCACAACAAAAAAAAACAACATGACTGATATTTAAATATAGTCAACTTGATATTTTATTAGCTTAGCATTAATAAATTATTGTAGTATGTAAAATATTTTAAGATCGAACTTAAGAATTTTAAGACAAATTTTAAGGATAAGATTAAAGTTTAAGTGAATTACGTATTATATTCAGTGGCGGATTTAATAATTATTTTAAAGCTTATTTTATTATTTTTGTATATAAAACCTTATTTTATACACTTTTTATGCAAGCTTTGAATATTATGATCATTTTTTATGATATATATTTATTTACAATTTTAAGACACTATTTATTTATGGTAGGGATTTAATCATTTTAATTGTATTATTTATTTTGTTCGACCCTAATATTTTTAACTTAGTATTTTTAGTCATTTGAATGATAGCAAACGGCTGTACTCAAACAACATTTTAACAAAGCAATGACCAAAATAATGAATACTAATTCTGAATTTTATCAGCGATTTTTTGCTGACAAAATTCGCAAATTTTTATAACACTATAAATAAAATTGAATAAAAATAATTTTTATAGATGAATGTATTTGTAACATTATATTAAAAGTAATTAATTTTATTGTGATATGAATAACATTTAATTCATATTTATAATATTGAGGGAATTCGGATCTTAATAGTTCGAAAACTGAAAAGCTTAATCTGATATAAAAAATTCCTTAATTTTTATTAATTTCTTTATTACATAGTTTTATAGGTGACCGTTTGACAATAATTGTATAACTGACTGTCATTGGAACTTTATTAACTATTTACAATGAAATTAATTAAAGTATTCGCATTTTTGAACGAATATTTCAATTTAATGGAATTTAAAAAAAAGTGTACTGGTAATTATGATTTCTAATGCAAGCATCCAATGCTACTTAGATGTATCTTTACTATTTATTCTAAAATCAAATTATATATAAATTTCAATGATTATAAGACCAAAGTGCTCTTACCTAAATAATTTGCTATCAAGATACTTTTTCTCTTATATAGAAAAAAATTATAGTCAAAACAATTAATTATCAAATTGTATCTTTTATTTTCTTGTTTTCTAGTTTTTATTCACATTTTGAGTTATTTTAATATTCTTTTACCTGATTTAAATCAACTTATTCAAATAATGAATAACAGTATACAAAATTTTGCGCGAAGGAAAGAATAAATCCCATAATTCAACTGCTAAAAGCTACTTCTATTTGTATTAATTTCATTTATGGGAATAAGATAAAACGTAATGATATTAAATTGTGTTTTGTTCGAAAACAATATTTTTGTATAAACAAACTCTATGAGATTAATTTAAAATATAATTGGTATTCGACTCGTACCGAATGAAAATAATCAATTAAAATAACTAAGCGTAACTAAAACATTTAGTTTTGCAGTTTTAGGATAAATTAAGTTAAGAGTAATTTATGGTAAAAATTATTTATTCTTGTGAGGCGCTATTTATAATTCTATTTGCGCGGGGTGATAATTTTAATATCTTGTTACCATATTTTAAAAAAATATAGCTTCATTGAATTGAAGCATTACATAAATGTACATTTAAAACTATTATAATAACGTAACGCAAATTATTTATTTTATATATTTATCTTAAATTTATTTATTTATTATTAAAAGTTGCTGTTGCACCTTGCCTATCTAAATCCGCCACTGAATATTTTTAAAATATATTTAATAATTTAAAAAAATATAATAAATTGTATAAAATAAAATTTTAATATATGTCGTGCCATTATTTTTTTAGTAAATTAAAGTAGATATTGAAACAAATCAGTAAGTCTTTTATTTAAAACAGTAGATTGTTAAAAAACGAGAACGATTTCTTAATTTTTCTATTTGAAGAATGTCTTGAGCAATAATTTTTGAATTTTTGTTATTAGAACATGTACTGTCTGGTTCTGGTGTATGAATTAGTTATAGTTAAAGTTAGAGAATAGCTAGAAATGACAAATAAGTGAATTTTATTACTGCATACGACAAAACTTATATGAATTTTGTAGGCATTATACTAGATGAACAACTATGTTTTTGTAATCATCTACAATGCTGTATATATATTATTTATTTATGAATGTATTAATATTTTTGTTGATATATTAGTCACAGATGCTGCGTTAATAAGATTGATTATGAGGCTACTAATCGTGCACTGTATTAGGATTGGTTATCAAGATAACATAACATAATAGAAGTCATAGAAGTTTACAAATATTTTAATGCAAAAATCTGCGAACTATTAGATTATGCTAGAATATTCTTCTATAATCAATTTATTTTTTATTGTTTAATTTCATTTTAGATTTTATTGCCTATTCATTTAATAGGTATACTACAATATTCATCAGAATCACCATATCATATTGCCATTTTATGTTCTCATGTTAACCCTTTGATTTCATTTATGTTGATTTAGATTTTCATCCATGTTTCTTATATTAAATATAATTCATTCACAAAAAAAAAATTATATTGGTCTCTCTTTTACGAGTCATTGTTATTTATTACGCAGTTTTACTACTTTATTTCCCATTCAACATAAAATTTATCACCAAATATCTAGATGTGCATTCAAAGGGTTAAAATGAACTTAATTTTAATTTTGAAACAATATCAGGTCCAGCGATCGCCTAGTGGTCGAGTAAACAGCTCAAGTAGTTACCCAAGTATACTCAGTTCAACTGGTCAATTTAGTCTTGGGTCGAGTGGTAACGTAGTGCGACATGATCAAACATTTCAACTAAATAGTCAGTCAACTTTTAGCAGTCAAACTCCAACGGCGACTGCCGAGTTCCGCTACCAATCCACAAATCGTGATTCTAGCATGTTATCGGAAAACGCCCAGCCTGGGTAAATACTAATCTTCAATAAGTTTCTTATATTTTTATATAGAATTGAGGATACAAAATATTCAGAATCAAAATAGTTTTAAAATATTTTTCACATTCATGCGAAGTTGAATTAATATATGTTATTTTATATTCATATATATATATGTGTGTGTGCGTCTGTGTATATGTATGAATTCATATATGATAAAATTGTAAGATGTGATTCGTGAAAATTTGCAAAATCGATTATACCCCTCAGGTATCCGCAAGCGGACGGCACGTCACGGCCGCATTCACGCACTTGTAACGGATACCCGGGCGAATTTAACAACAGTGTTAACAGCAACAAACAAATTCAAAATAACATAAACGGCTTGTCGCAACAGCCTGAACAACCTAACAACAGTTATAATCAGAGTGCTGGCAGCCAAAGTGATTCGTGGCAAAACCTTGCTCCTAGAGGGAATGAACAACAAGAATTTTCCCAACCAGACCACGTTAATTTGAACACGCATATTAAGTCTATAGTATTAAACAAGCAAGGGGATGATGGAGTTGACAAATGCAGTCCAAGAGAAAATGATGAGAGAAAGTATGTCGATCTCTCGAATAAGACCAACCAGAACAATCAGCTAAAAAGCAATAAATCTGATAATTTTTTATCGCATAGCCACCATCCACAAAATTTAGATTCGTCGATCTCAATGGCGGAAAGATCCTTTCGGGATGATTTAGATAGGTTCTTACCACCGGTGAGCTCCTCGATGAGCGTACTCGGAAATAGCCCTCAAGGGGTGAACAGCACGAGGGATGGTGGCGATTTTAATTGGGTGGATAAAGATAGATTGTGCTGCGTTTACAGTGAGAATAATAATCAAGGTAACTGGATCAGTGATTATGAAGGACTCAAAAAGCAAGATGAACCTTACAAGTTTGCAGGAGATGGTGGCCCCGCAGAGCTGAAAGATTTAGTGGGATTTTCATGTTGCAGGTAAACTAATATATATATATATATATATATATATATATATATATATATACACATATATGTGTGTGTATGTGTTGTGATGCTTGCAAAGAATTGTTATATTTCTACATGGTTTTGGTTTATTGGTAAATGCAATTTGATTTAAACATGTTCCTTTGCAACAAGTTTTTATTTCAGATAAAGTACTTGATTTTGTTTTCAACATTTTCAATATCAAACGTAGTATTATTTTATTTTATTTTATTTGCAACAGGCGTGGTAGTACGCGACGACCAACATCGGAACATTTGCGTGACGGAGCGTGTTCTGGTCTACGCACGGAAGACGAGAACTTTGTTGAATCAATTCAAGAAACTTCAGCAAATGAAGCGCCTGATGCGGCAAAGCAGTCGTCCATCAATTCAACATTATCAGAAACAACTCTAGGTAGAACGGCGTCAGAGAATCCAGTTAATAATACGTCGGAAAAAAACAAACCATCTACTAACAATGGAAAAAACGAAATTCCGGAATGTGATTGTTTTCCGACTGATAAGAACCCACCGGAACCTGGAAACTATTACACACAATTAGGTATATCTATTATTATATCTATCCATTCAAAATAGTTTTCGTTATTTGTTGTGCTTTTTGCTAAGAAATATCCTGCAAAATGAATTCATAAATTTTTTTTTTACTTTATTTTGAAATTTGAATTTTACATTTGTTTAAAACATTTATTTAGAAAACTTTTATAATAGGCGCTGCTGGCAACTTAGTAGAACTCCGTTCATCACTCGAGTGTCGAGCCGGTCTGACAGCTGGACAGTTGCGTATTGAAAAAGTTTGCTACACCGGCAAGGAAGGAAAAACAGCACAGGGCTGTCCAATGGCAAAATGGATAATAAGAAGGGCAGATTCTACGGAGAAAGTACTATGTATCGTTAAGCATAGGCATGGACACAAATGTTCTACGGCCTATATTGTTGTTTGTATTGTTGCCTGGGAGGGATTGCCGCAACAAGAAGCTGATATAACGTATTCTGTGTTGACGCAAAAACTCAACAAATTCGGTTTACCTACGACCAGGAGATGCGCAACGAATGAAAGCAGAACCTGTGCGTGCCAAGGTGAGTTAGTTCTTTATATATATATATATATATATATATATATATATATATATATATATAATTATAAAAATAAGGAAGTAATTTTGTGAAAAAGAAATTTTTCAATATCGATATTTTCCTCAATCAACATTGATGCGGATTGATTGATGCGGATGTTTGGCAATCATTTTCTCATAGCTACGTGAAAAAAAAGGCAATGCAATTGTGAGTTTCACATTTAATTTCAAACTTTGATAGTTGTAGGCTTCCGTGCCTTCATTTTCTGTTATTGGACTAAGATCTTATATTCAGATATCGTTTATCTGTTACACTCTAAGTAACAGTGTTGTTCGTTAGAAGTACTCGACACCGCATTTCGAGATGCGAAATTATAAAAGTATTGAAGTATTACAAGTACTATTTTCAATATCTTAAAAATAAAATCCACATTTTTACCACCCGCATATGCAAATCTCTGTTCTTGATTTAATCGGTGAAATTGTTATTTTTTAATTGATAGGCCTAAACCCCGATACTTGCGGCGCATCGTTCAGCTTTGGTTGCAGTTGGTCTATGTACTACAACGGATGTAAGTACGCACGATCTAAAACCGTTCGTAAATTTCGATTATCTGTCCGCGGAGAAGAGAGCGAAGTCGAAGAACGTGTTCATCGGCTCGCTGCCAGGTTGGCTCCACTTTACCAAAAGTTGGCACCAAAAGCATTTGAAAACCAATGTCGCTATGAATCAGATGCGCCTGATTGCCGACTCGGATTCTCAGATCAAATGATCTCTGAAGGGTAAGTAGTTCAACTATTACTAGTACTCATTTCTTCAAATTATCAAACAGCATCCTAAGTAACCATTTATAAGTAAACCATTTTTCATGGACCTATAATATTTTAGAGTGTTTGTTTGGACCACGAATCTTATGACTAAGTGAAGTTTCATTAAAATCGTCAGAAAATGTTCCAAAATTATTACTTATTACTGCGTTTTAATTATAAATAAAATTTAAATCAATTATAAGATGATTTTCAAATATTAACAACATATTAGTAACATTTGCTTGATTTTTTCTTGCTCGTTGTTGTTATTAAATTTCATCGGCGTAGCATTTTTTAAAATTCTATTTAGATGCTTACTTCGATTTGGTTTCCTGTAATTAGCGGATTGGCATTAGATGATCAACAATATTATATTATAAAAACTTTTAAAGTAAAATAGTATCTGCCGTTTTTGAACCAGTAAAATAATAATATATAGACATCTATAATATACAAAATTCTCGTGTCACAAAGTTCGTTCTCGTACTCCTCCGAAACCGATTCTTATCAAAATAAAATACATACAATTCTTGTTACTCCAAAATACTATTTATTTTTCTAAAGGGTTGTCCACCCTCGATATTTTGTTTTTATTTTTGAACCAATTTTCTTCATTTTAATTTCCTAGTTCGAAATTGAAAAATACATGAAACTCTTTTTACTTCAAAAAACTATTTATTTTTATCAAGGGTTGTCCACCCCTAATTTTTTTTAAATGTATATATATATATATATATATAGGGTGGTCCTTAAAATAGTCATTTTCGATTTTCCTTGCTCCCAGGGGCTCAAATGGTTCCAAATAGATAAAAAACAATTCTCTGAAAGTTTTAGTTCTTAATATTAACGTTTATTAGGGACCACCCTAATATATATATATATATATATATATATATATATATATATATATATAATATTAGATAGTTATATCTTGGAATTGTAAATGTTGCGCGAACAAGGAATCTAATAATTAAGTTCAGATATGAGTCAATATTATTGAACCTAAGTTATTGAATTTTTCTATTCTAATTTTTATAATAAGTACATAATGTAATAAGTTCTCGCCACTGCACTTATATAATATTAGTGAATAAGTTCAACTTACCGTTTACTGTTTTCTAAATTAATTTTATTTATTTTCTTGATTACCAGGCGTCCATTTTCTGGTGTGACGGCTTGCGTAGATTTTTGTGCCCATTCACATCGCGATCTGCATAACTTAAGCGATGGATGCACTGTGGTCGTTAGCTTGAACGGATCAAGAGCCGGTCCAAACATAGCCGGTGCTGGTAGGTCAACTCCACGTGACGAGCAGCTGCATGTTCTGCCATTGTATGTGATGGATTCGTCTGACGAGCACGGCAGCAAAGAGGCACAGCAGCAAAAAGTTCGCGCTGGTGCTGTTGAAGTTTTGGATAGGTGATTATATATTTGTATTTGAAGCTGTTTCAATATTATTTAAGTATTATTTTATTTATATTCTGGAATTCTGTCTTAAGGCAATTAAGGCATCGTGCCTTAAGGCAAATTGCTGGAACTTCCCGTACCAAAAATTATTATTTTTTTAAAAACGATTAACATTTTTGAAAAAAAAATTACTTCGAAAAAATTAGATTTTTGAGAAACTATAAATTTGACAAAAATTTACTTTTTTTTGAAAAAAAAATTTTTTTTTTGAAAACAAATTTTTTTGAAAAGAAAAATGTTTTTATCATTTTGACATATTTTGGAAATTCTGAACTTTTATTCAAAGCAATCGTACTGCTTGAACTGCAAAGAGACGAAATGTCAAAGCGCGCGCAAGTGCCGCGCCGCCGTCTGACGCATAAGCATTGGTACGGAACCCATAGAAATGTAAAAAAAAATATACTTATTGTTAAAATCTCTATAAAATATCTGATAATTTGATGTGCATATGTCTAATGATCTTTTTTAACCGCCGAATGGCATTTTTTTTTCACATTTTTCATTAGATCTCCGAAACCGCTAGACCTGCCTTCATGAAAATTTGATCAATTTTTCATCTTGTCAATACAAGTGAAATGTTTTTTGAATTATTCAAATCGGACGCTCCGTTCTCTTAAAAACTGAGTTACAGTTTTCGGCACTTTTTGTCCCGTATCTTTGAAACGGCTAGACTAGCCTTCGCCAAAAACTAATCAGCACGTCTCCTTATCAATACGAATCGAATGTTTTTTGAATTATTCAAATCGGTTGATTCGTGTTCCCGAAATCGTCGACAAAAATTTGTATCCGCACACACATACATACACGCATACACACACACACATCTCTTTTTTTCTAAGGTATGCCAAAATATTCAGAAACCTCTACAACGTAAAGATATATAAAAATTTTCATTTTCGATTTTTTTGCGATTACTATAACTTGCCCTACGGGAAGTTAATTATAAATTATTATTCATTTAATAATACTAAAATTAGAAATACTTTATCAACTAGCCGGGCTGAATGCGAATGCTACACAATCTCGTCTTTTCTATGTATATTTTAGCTTTGGTTATTATTGGGAATTAATTTTTATTAATTAAATTAGGGCCAATAGATATTTACAAGCCATGTTTTAAGTTAATAATTCGATTGTGTCTAGTGTTTACCATATTACAGTATCATAATGTCAACTAATGATTTTTCTTATGTAAGACGTGGTGAGAAGAGTGAGCTAATTGTGCAGTAAGCGCTGTTTTATATTTCCAAATCATTAAGACCTCTTGGAACATATGGCCTAAATGACTTATTGACAATTTTTCTATGTAACTAGGTATTCTAGCGAAGTGCGTGTACGCACCGTACCACTGCAGCCTTGTAGGAGGCATGGAAAAAAACGTAAAGACGACGCACATCCAGCGGAGCAGCCCTCCGCTCCATCGTCCGAATCATCTACCCCTTCATCCAATAGAAATGCGTTGGGAGGATACAACAATAAAGATATAACTACCAATAATGCTTCCAGAAAGGACATGGGTCAAAATTCACCACAGGTGAGATATAGTTTAATTTTCGTTATGCTTTGTTTTCGAGACGAAAATTAGTTTCTGATCTTGATATACTTATATCAATTGTATATTATTCATATCATTTTGTTTCTTTATTCTTGTGTTGTAGTCATTGCTTTTTCTAAAATTAAAGGGATGGTGATATGTAAGTTTGAATTGTAGAAATAAACATATCCTTTCACACACCACCAAAAATCGTATCGAAAATGTGCAAAATAAGTAGATAAGTAGTAAACAATTATGCATATTCAACTAATTTTGTATTTCAAACTATGAAGATAAATAGAGAAGTATTATATATAAACTATGATGCTATTTGAAATATTACTAAAAAAATGTTTACTAAATCAAAATTTGTCTTATAATATATATTTTTGTCAGTGTTTTATTGCTAAAAGAATTATTATAAACCATAAATTCATCTTGTATTTATTTTTTATGCAGGTGACACCATCAAACAGAATCACTCCTCAGCAAATGCACAGCGGGTATTCTAGTTTATTAGATATGACATCCAATATGACAGAGGCTCAACTTCAAAGCAATCAAATTAGTAGCACAGTATTAGATGTACCATATAGTAATTATGACAAATCTCACAATATGTATAATAACACCTTATACAATCACCATGCAATAATGGCGAGCGAAAACAATAGTAATTATTTCATCGATTCACAGAAACGTGGTTATTATAGCTCTCTTGATAGCTCTAATCAATGGACCGAATACAGTAACGCTTTCTACCCAGATTCTACTACTGCTTTATTGAAAACTGGAATTTCTAATATTGATGATAATAAAATTGATTTAAACGAATCTCAAACACCCTCCAGAATGAAGGCCTCTGAATCATATAATGATATTTCAATTGATAGTTATTCAAAATACGAATTTTCAACACCTCATAGAGTTGAAAATCGTAATTACATTAAGGAACACCACATTTTGAAATCAGATACTTCCGAATATGGTTCTTATGCTCAACATAGCTATGGTAATTATTTGGGAAATTATCAATTCAGTGCTCATTATGGTCATATGCAATATGATAACTATTCTTCCAATGTGGATTATTATAATAATGATAAAATTAAACGTGAAGAACTTTTAAGTAATTGTTATAATCCTTATGCATATCAAAACTATGGCTTAGGACCTCCTGATTTGTATCAGAACCCAGCTTCTGCTAATTGGTGTTACTACCCACCTTTTCCAATGCCATGTGTTCTTGACACATCAAAGCCTGAACCAATTGGCGAACTAACAGAAATTTCTGATAATTTAGAATGCTTTAAAGATTCACAAATGGGCGGAGTCGCAATTGCTTTGGGACACGGAAGTGTTTTATTTGAGTGCGCTAAACACGAAATGCATGCTACAACAGCGCTAAAGAATCCAAATCGTCTGAATCCCTCTCGCATATCGTTGGTGTTTTACCAACATCGAAATTTAAATAGGCCAAAACATGGACTAGTAGAATGGGAGGAAAAAATGAGATTGAAGAAAATGGGCAATAGCAACGTTAACAACGTTACTCCTAATGCGTTAAATAACGACTCCGCGAACAAAAGCATAGCTGTCAACGATGGCAAAAATGCAGAAAATTGTGAACTGAGTGCTTCAGTTGAATGTGATGTTGCAAGCGAAACAGAATCTAAGTCCTTGGTTACAGGGGATAACAAACAAATTATTATTCGCGCTCCTACACTAACAACCATGTCTTGGACGACTCTGTTTCCTATGCATCCATGTGTTGTGACAGGACCTTATCAGGAGAGTAACGTTTTAACCTAGTTTATTTAAATAAATAAATATCATTTATTTCGAAGTTTTTTCACACGTCAGAACAAGACTAAAAATTTACTAATATAAAATATATATGGAACTCATCAAATAAATTACCTCTTAATATTTCTAATTTCATATGTTATATATGGCCCTAGCATATTTTCAACTTTTTTCTGGATATGAATAAGAATTATCATTTACTCATATAAAAAATGTAAATAAACTTGTTTCACTTTGTTTTAAAGTTATAACTATTATATAATAAATCTTGTTCTGCCATATGATATACTACTAAATCATTTCTATAAGCATTTTTCAACAGAATTTTTTAACAACAATAATTGAAAGTAGAGGGAAAAAGACGTATAACCTGCCATCACCTTGATTCTTACGACGTTGCTATCGGAGAAAAACGGCAATGCTTGAAAATCCATAACAAAAGTATTTTCTTTCGTTGTTATTTGTTTTGATTGTTGCTTATTTTTACGAGACTTGAATATAGTTTTTAGGTTTACGTTATTTAATTGTTTTATAAGATTTATTGCTGATTTTAAAGTTAGATTCAGTTTTTATATAACCTCTATAAAACTTACAACCTGGACCAAAAGGATACAAAAGAACCAAATGAACCTTTACCCTGGCAAACTGTAAAAAATAATAAATAGCAAAGAAAAAAGTAAATTAGTTAAAAAAAAGCAATTTTACAAGAGATAAATTGAATACAGTTTTTCCAGCTCTGCTGATGAATATTTCTAACGCAATACCAGATCAGATTATTTACTGTGTTATCTCTGTAAAAAATTACCCATGAAATTTATTGCATTGGTTGAATAATGTAGCTATTATTTTGTAAAATTCCTTTGAAATTAAAATAGTACATTGCACTTGTTTGCCCACTGACCGTCCCAACTTCCTGTCCATGGAGTAAAAAGGACCTGATTACAAATTTTTGAAAAACAGAAAAAAAAAATTCCTACAATGAACATAGTCAGATAGTTGCTTGTTTGATATGTGTTATTTGTTGTAATATAATTGGTTTGGTTTTCACAATATAATTGCTCAAACTCAAATTGGACCTTAGTGCCTCGCCCTATCCTACTGTGTAATACTACTTTATTTGTTACACTTGTTTACAAGCACAATTATTCTGATATCAATATCAAACGAAAAAGTTTAAATTTCGATAGCGTGTTTAAAAGATTTAACATTTACTTATTTTAAATTTTGCTTCGCAAACTATAAATTTCTTGCGCAATAGCACGAAAGATTTATTTTTAATCTTCAAACAATATTCAAAATATCCGTGCATGTAGAAAACGTTCGTTTTTTGGAAGTGAATTATAAAATTTCATATACAGGTACAACATCAAATTTAATAAAACAATAATGCTGCATATTATTAAAAATCTTATTCCTAACCAAGTCCAATATTTGTTTTAGGCTAACAAGTGCCCTTCTTTTGCACTATTGACCCGTATCTCTGAAACGTCTGGTCTGCCTTTCTAAATACCTCAACAAATTGTAAATATGAATCGAATGTTTTTTTAATTATTCAAATATATGCGAAAATCATCAAACGTAAGAATATTAAAAAAATATATTTGATGTTAATTGTTAGTCAACACGAAGAAATACTTGATCATATAAAAAGGTCGCATCTATAATAATTAACTAAATACGGGATTTGTTTCTAATCTATTTTAATAGCTATTTTATTATTGAGAATATTTTATTTTACTATATTACGATTATACAAAACAGCCGATATTCAAACGCGACAAAAACAGTCGATTGTAACTGAACTTTAATTTAGAAATAGGCGTGTTGAAGTTTTAAATACGTTTTTGGTGTTGCATTTGCTTTCATTTTTCATATTTTAAAATGCAATCGCGCCCGATTACATCGCGCGTAATGGTTGTTTTCAATTGTAACCTCACGAAAGCGTGAAATTTTGTTGAAAATCGTTTGTTAAATAAATATGTCTGAAAAATTGCATCATTTTTATAAAGTATGGATCAAACGCATTTGAGAGTGTGCTATTTTATTTGAATAGGCATCGCTGACGAATTCGCTCCAATTGGAAGGATCATTTGATCATAGAATCAGTTTAAAATTAAATTGCGGACTTAAGATTAATTATCATATAAGTAAACGTATCCAATTTTATAACTACATAAATCACGTAATATGTACATATCCTACTATGTAGATAACAAGGATGAAATGTTTATATTAAAGTGAGTTTGTTATTGACGTGCTACTTTTAGTATTTTAATACGTTCACATTTTTGTAAATCATAATTTATTTTGTAGAATGTTAATTATATGATCGCATGTAAATTTCATTTAAATGTTATATATATATATATATATATATAAGTATTTTTTCTTCTTGTAAGTGTTTTATGTAAAAAAAATCGGTAATGAAGTAATTAATTCAAGTTAATTTAAGAATATAATATTTTACATTGTACGTTACAAATACTAAGCAATATTTTTATTTGATATATATTTAACCCTTAAAACAATTGTTTTTTTTAAAGAACTATGATAAAAAGCGATAATAGATATTTCCATTTCTATTTTGTTTGAAAATCAACGAATTATACTGACTAATTAAGAGATCTTATCAAAAGAAAAAAGTTTTATTGAAAATACAATATTCTGTTATATATTGCATTATCACTAGACACAAGTTTTCGAACTATGTATCTAGTCCGATTGAGTTTCGATTGTTTACTAAAAATGCAATGTGGTGTACTAATTCATTATTCCAACAAATTTATTTCTGTCTAGCAGTAACATTTTTGAAACTTTCAAAATAAAGTAATAATCAGCGTGTGGATATTTCTAATAATTTAAATGCATCGTACATCGTTCAGGGTGAACTCTATATTTCGGTAACATATCCCAGTATTAAAAAATCTAATTTTTCAAAGCCGAATTAGTTTACGCTAGTGAACTATTTTTTATTAAGATTAGTATAATAAAATAGTAGATACATGTAATAAAACAGCACATGTTTAAAAAGTTAAAATTGTGCCATATGCAAAGGGGCTTATTCCATTCCTTAGTTAAATTGTGTAGTTACTTTTAATTTGATTTGATGCTATGCCACCACCTGATGGATCGAATTTAATCATATATTAAAGAGCTACTGCAATAAGATTCAATTTAATTAAAGGTGGTGATTACGTGTATTAAAGTATATATAAAGTTAAGTAAGATTGACTAATTTTTTATAAGAATTTATTTTCTTATCTTATATAAGATTATTATATTTTAAATCATTAGTTCAATAAAAATATAAATACTAACCTGTCTATTGTATGAATAAATTTTCCTCATTGTAGGTGATATAAAAACTACATAATATACTAAAACGTTCAACTAGTTCATGAATAAGTCCATTTTTCCAAAATTAGTTTTTTCAGAGTTCAATATAAAAAGCTCGGAATTGAAACCTATTTTTTCTGTTTTGTTGTCAGAAGTCGCTTCATTTATATTATAACATTTAAATTTAATGCTTCTTATTATATGGAATAAATTATAATTTATATATTTAACAAATAATAATTTTAGACAAAGATGATTTAGTATTTACCTAAAAATAAGTAAATTGAATGCCATTGAACCGCACTTCTTCCATTACAATACACCAAATTTAATAATCATATATAAATAGTACACAAACAACTTAAAGGTTGAGTTTGATTATTTACACTTTTTATTATTATACCACTTATTAGATGATTCATATTTTTCATACTTATTTATCGCAACTTGCAACTTTAATAGGGATCTTGTAAAAAATTATTTAAAGCATTAAACTATTTCACCTTGATACATATTTAAACATATGTAAAAATATTGTTAATAAACAGGAAATACACAACCTTTTTTAATATAATGGCATATATTAACAGCATATTGTTATACGAAATAGCAGATGTGTGTATTATTTTCTAAATTGTTTACATAACATATCCTAAGTATTATTTTCTAAATTGTTTACATAACATATCCTAAGTTAACAAACATTTGAAAAGTATATATAGAACCAAGACATTGTTCTTTGGATTGTTGTTACGAAATACGTATGAACTAGCAATTATAATTTGTATTAAAAAAATGTTCTCGGAACTTATATATTATTTAGTGCCCTTAGTTTTGACGCATACTGTAAAGCAGAATTAAAACATGTTTTCGTTGTAAGTATATAATTAATAATATTAATAATATTTAAATATAAAATATTAAATATATTTATATTATTTACATATATCAGCTTTTCAAATGTATTATTTTAAATCATTTTTATTTTAGACTGTAACTGAAGCGGAACACGTGCCAAAAAATTATGATGGCGCTTACCAAATTCTGCAGACAGATTTTGGAAACGCTTTAACAACTGTAAGTTAAAATTCAAATATAAAAGTTTTTTCGATTATAAAATAACGCAATTGAATATTTTTGTGTAAAAAATTAATACAATAGATATTGTATGCGTGAAATCGTACATAATAATATATTTTGGCCCAGAAACTATATATTTTGATTGAAAACTAAAAAGCAAAATCGCTTACGTTAGCAGGCGCCGCTTGAAAACTCCGCGAGGAAGCAAAGTAAATAATACAGCTGATGATGATAGCATTTTTTTATTTTTTATTTGTCATTTCGTCGTTAATAACACTATTATTAATATTGTAAGCCAAATAGACAATCTTAACACAAAAGTAAATTGTATTTATTGAGTTATCTTTCAATGTAGCGGTTGGAAAACGGAGGTAAATTACCGAAATGGGGTAAAAATGAAATTTATTGAGGTAAAAAGTATATTTTTTAATTTGATAGCAATATTTTCATGCGACTTTCAGTTTAATATGACCTAAACTTGTCTTATTAAGATTTTAATGAAAAAAATTAGGATTTTTCAAAAATTATGCTTGTATAAAATAGAATTTAAATTGCAAAATGTATTGATGATTATTGATCATAAACCACACATAACAATTAATTATTTTAGAACGGTGTTGAGATGGCTTATAATACTGGTCGATTCTTGGCAGATGCTTATGGATTTGCATTGGGCTGGAACACTTCTGATATAAATAAAAGCAATTTTAAAATTTGCTCAACAAAAGATGAAATTTGCGAATTAACAGCTCTGGTCATAGCCGCTGGCTTATGTAACAAGGTAATAATTAACACACACAACACACACACATATATATATATATATATATATATATATATATATACTAGCAAACCCGACGAACTCCGTTTCGCCACCAAATGGTTTCGTGAGAAAGATGAATAAATTTTTTGCTTGTTTTATATTTTAAAAAGAAAAATTTGATTTTATTATACAACAGTAACGAATTCATTTTGATTACAAAAATGAAGTGTTTTTTAGTTGAACTTCTCTAAGTAAATGAAAGTGAATCCGCAAATTATCCGTTTCATAGAAGTGATCTTTGGTAAACATTTTTTGTTTTTTGGTCTGACGTTAACACAAACAAAGCGGATGGTTTTCCAACTTGTGAACAGGCAACGTTTAACTGCCCATGTGAAAAACAATGATTTTCTAAATAATCTATTAGAAATTTATCCCGCAAACACTAAGCGATTGGCTTTGCGACTTGTTATTGCAAACGCAAGGCGAACTGGATATTGCAATCGTTTGAAGTCAAACGGAAGACCAGTCAGAATCATTGGTATGTCACCAAATCGCCAGCAATTTTTGATTGAATGGTGAAATTCAGAGCGTGTACATCATTATTCTTTGCGGCAAGAATTGCTCGTTGACTTAACCAAGCATAATTCTGATAATTCTCACTAATGTCATTACACGAATTTTTAATTACGGTGCGTGAAGTTCCAGCAGCTTGCATTAAGGCATGATGCTATGCACAACTAATTTTCTTAGCTATAAACCTTGCTGAGCCTGAGACCTTTTTAACAAATGCAAAATTGTCGAAATCGGTTCGTGCGTTCTGGAGTTATTTCGTCAGGAAGGAAAACCCGACTTATTTTATATATATATAGAAGATAATCTATTTGAGTTTATTTAAAACAGTTATTGATTATTTTTATTACTCGAATTTTTAATTACGGTGCGTGAAGTTTCAGCAGCTTGCATTAAGGCACGATGCCATGCACAACTAATTTTCTTAGCTATAAACCTTGCTGAGCCCGAAAACTTTTCAACGAATGCAAAATTGTCGAAATCGGTTCGTGTGTTCTGGAGTTATTTCGTCAGGAAGGAAAACCCGACTTTTTTTTATATATATAGAAGATAATCTATTTGAAATTATTTAAAACAGTTATTGATTATTTTTATTACTTGAATTTTTAATTACGGTGCGTGAAGTTCCAGTAGCTTGCATTAAGGCACGATGCCATGCACAACTAATTTTCTTAGCTATAAACCTTGCTGAGCCCGAAAACTTTTCAATGAATGCATAATTGTCGAAATCGGTTCGTGCGTTCTGGAGTTATTTCGTCAGGAAGGAAAACCCGACTTATTTTTATATATATAGAAGATATATATATATATATATATATATATATATATATTGAAATTTGTGAGTTTCGTGTTGATATATATTTTGATGAGTTATTTAGAATCGGGTAGTAATACCAAGTAAAAATACTAAAGTAGTTCTGAAATACTTTATTTATCCATACGTTTCCGTCTTCATCGAGACCGTCATTCAGTGGAAAAAACAAAATTAATTATACAAAAATAAACTACACTATTACACTGTGATAAACCAGGCTATAAATAACTGGAACATTTAAACTAATTATTTTTTAACAATTTTTTAACAAGTATTTCAGAACTACTTTAGTTTTTTTTTACTTGGTGTTACTGCCCGATTCTAAATAACTCATCAATATATACGAGGTCTGTTCAAAAAGTTTTCGTAATTTTCGTTTTTTTATTTATTTATTCGTCTACATTAATGTGGTCCCCTTCAAAGTAGTCCCCCCCAGATATAATACACTTATGCCAGCGTTTTTTCCAATTTTCGAAGCACCCTTGATATTCACTTTTTGATATGTCCTTGAGCACTCTCGGCGATTTTCTTCAATCGAGGAAAACCGCCGTCCTTTCATGGGTCTCTTCAACTTTGAGAATAGGAAAAAGTCACACGGAGCCATATCTGGTGAATTTTTGCACTTTGCAACACTTTATTTCATTTTTTACGCAAAATTTAATACAAATTCTTTGACTTTTTCAATTCTTCCATTGTAAAAATCGCCGAGCTCAGAAAAACACGTCGACTACCACAGACAAAGTAAACAGTGAATATAGCTGAAAATTTCATCATATTTTAGGGGCATGTATACCAACACAATAAAAAAAAATTTTGACAATCAGACACTCCAGACCCGCGAAATTTAATTATTAGTAATTCCGGGTACTTTTTGAACAGACCATGTATATATATATATATATATACAGTAGAATCCGCTTAGTATGACATCGAAGGGACGCCGAAATCTCGTCATACTAACCGGTCGTCATTAAAAGCGTACTGAAGAAAAACTTTTTAATATGCAAATATGTTACATGTTTCAGTAATTTAAAAGAAAAGCCTATACAAACGTTTTAATTAAAAATAAAAATGACACATTAAAATTTACATAGGGTAGGGCGGGGGCAGAACGGTCCAATTTGACTTACGGTAATTATACTGTCTAAACCCAATGAACAACAAATAACATACATCAAAGAAGCATCTATCGAACTATATTCAGAAAAATTTTCATACATATATACGTACATAATTCCTAATTATATAAATATTATATTTTTTACTATTTTTTAAACATTCGGTATCTGACCCATCTTACTTCACATACAGGGTAAAGTGGAACAATCAGGGGGCGAACAGATGCAATTTCTTTTATTAAATTTTAAAGGCATTTTATGCTACATTATTGAACCAATGCAAAATATTAATTCTGTGGGTACATTTGTTACAAAGACAACACAGTATATTACATTGATCTGCTATTGGTCAGAAATATTCATCAGAAGAGCCGGAATAAAAATTTATTCAATTAATCTCTTGTAAAATTGTTTTTGTTTAAACTTTACTATTTTATTGCTTACACCTTTGCCAAAGTAAAGGTTCAGCTGGTCCTTTTTATTGCAGTTATGTGCCGCTTATCTTCTGATAGCAAAATCATAAGAATAAAGGTGATGGCTGGTTATGAATTTATACATTTTTCGCCCTCTACTATCAAATATAATTGTTAAAAAAAAATCTAATTTTATTTGTTTATGAGATATTCGTGGTGGGCCATTAATAATTAGTCTACCCTACCCATAAACATACAAATGTGTTTTTTTAATGTAAGTAATCAGTAATTTTTGATTGATTTCTTTGCATAATTTTATTGTAAAAACAGTCCCTGGTGCTACTGTGCACAAAAGGCATAGCAATCGCTTTCGTAGACTTGGCCACATCATGTAAAATCATGTCGGTCATTATAATTGGACATATTTTTTTGCAAAAATGGGTCATTATAAGCGACATGTCAATGTAAGCGAGGTCAATATATCCGACTAGACAGCTGTTTTTTTAAGGAATTTTATATGAAAACCAAATTCCTAGTGCGATTACGTCATATTAAGCGGTTGTCAATATATCCGGCGTCATACTAATCGGATTCTACTGTATATATATACGCATTTTCTCAAAAACTCAATATCGACTGTAGTTCATTATACGATTGCGAGTAGATCGGTCGAACCGCTTTTTTTTGTAATTAAGAGTAAAATATCACGTAGAAATCATGCTCATTCGTTTTTTGTAAATTTTGATCAGGCCATTTCTTTGTAATTAACTGTTGAAATTTTTTTAATATTTTAAAACTATAATAAATTTATTTATTTAAACGCTAAATGGTATCAAACCAAAATAGGTCGAGTCGTTTATTTGAAATTAACAGTTGAAGTATAGTTTTTCTTTCAAAGGTACTTATATTATTATTATTAAAGGCCAATATTATATATATATAGGGATTAATATAAATTATATAATTCGATCCACTTTTTCCGTTACAATTAAATGTTAAATTTTTGATTTTTCTAAACACAGCAATTCGGGACCTTGTTGATTAAGTTTGTGCAAATATCAGCTAAACCGTTTCTTCTCATTAGATTGTTTATTTTGTCTGTAGTTTAAGATTCTCGTGACATATATTAGTTTTGATGGGAAACTATCTGACCGAATTCTTCGTAATTAACAGATAAAATGCAATGTTTATCTTCAAGTAAAATTACGTTTTGCAGGAAGTTGACAAGTATAAAAATTGGACAAAAGATGAACTAGCAACAATTTACTGTAATGAAACTGATCAGGTATTAAAATAAATTATGTTCTGTTTGACCTTATAAAAATTTGAAAAATTTTAATATAAAGTTATAATAATTACAGTATACAAAATTTTTTAATAAAGAAGAATGTCCAGCATTTTTCAAGGAATTAAAGAAAAAAACACCTGAATTTTCTGCTTCAATAAAACGTATGCAATCAAAATCTTTGGCAGCAATAGTAAAAAAATTTGGTGCAAATTCTATACAGAATCCAAAAAAATTGTGGCTCACACTTCTCACTTTAGAATCAATGGTAAATATAATATAATATAATCATTATATTACCCTAAAATTTACAGTGAATTGATAAATTTGCGTTGGTTCGATGTGCAAATAATTTTTCCATTTTGTAGCAATCCAACAAAGATGTGAAAATGCCAGACTGGGCAACAGATCAAGTGATAAAAGATTTGAAACTGTTTAGCAAAGAGTTCTTTAGAATTGCGGGATCAGAAGACACTTTGAAAAGATTGTCAGGAGGTAAAAATAACGGTTATGAATATTGTATAATACTAATAATAATCAGGGTGCAAAGCAAAAATGATCTATTTCAGTATAATTTGTTTATTTTTCTATTTTCAATATAACATCTACTTTATATCTTATATTCCCGCTATCCTATTTAATTGCTATTACTAAAATATTATAAAATATGCTGCACGGAGGAAAATCTTATTTTTAACTTCCCGAAGGAGAAGTTTATGTTTTAATAAAAAAATTCGATTCGCTAATTTTATGTTTCTTGACGTTTCAAGCCATTCTGAATCGAATGAGACCAAATTTGAAAAAAGTATGTGTGTGTGTGTATATAAATAGATTTTTTGCCGTAAATCGACGTTTTCTCAAAAACGGCTGGGCCGATTTCAAAAATTTAAAAGCCTTTCGATGTATCTCGATGAGGACTAGCGTTTCTGTGCGACGATTGGCTGAGCCGTTTCTTTGTAAATCGCCGAAAAGTGAAAATTTTTTCGTCCACGTTTTAGCCCGCAATTCTGAATCGATTTTTAAAATTTAAAAACTGTTTGAAAGATATTGGTTGGGAATCGTGCGGGGCCGATTTTTTTCGACGATTTTTATGAATTTTTTGAATGAACCATAGTCTTATAGATCATACTAAAATATTACGGCCCTACGACAAGTCGTTTAATTTTAAAAATTCGTCAAAATTATATTTTTTCTTCTGTGTGTATGTGCGCCGAAAACTGACCTTTCGTAGACGTATACTCAAAAAAACCGATTTCAAAAACGTAAAGCCATTCAAGGTAACTCAATAAGGTTTCGCATTGATTAGCTTTTCGCGAGTTACTGTCGAACCGTTTTTTTAGAATTAGCAGCAAAGTCCAAAGCTTTTCGTCCACGTTTTCTAAACATTCTCAACCGATTTTAACAATTCAAAAACAGTTCGAAATAAATTAGTTAGAAACTTACTAATTAATTTTGGCAAAGATCGGCCGGGACGTTTCTTTGTAATTGAATGTTATATTTTTTACGATTTTAATGAAATTTTGTTTCGGGATAGAGTTCATGGTTCTAACGGACATTCTAAGATATTACAGTAGAACCTCGATTAACCGGACTAATTGTTGTCGATAGTCATCCGGATAATTAAATGTATAAAGAATGATGTTGTGCATTTATTAAAAAGAACAAAAACATACATAGATATCAACGAAAATAATGTTTATTAAAAAATTAAAACTTCCTTATGTACGTAAATCTTTATTTTTTTTTAGATTACATTACATACCTATACTGAACTGCAACATTAATCGTGCAAAAATTCGAATTGTAGCTATGTACATAATCGCTTATAATTTGTATAACTGAGGTCCGGATAAACGAGGTTCTACTGTATGTGCTTACGACGTAAAGCGTAAAATAATTACAACGCTTACGAAGTGGTTTAGTTATAAAAACTCCTATACCTTGTACCTTGCTATTTCAGATATTATAAGTTGTTTAAAAGATACCAATAAAAAATTGAATTAGATGGTAAAGATAGGAATTGAAACTTGCATTGATTTGTTTTTAGTAAAAAAAATAAAGATTATTTTTGAAAAATTCTTATTGCCTCAAGGCAAAATGCTGCTTACAACTAGTTCAGTTTTAATTTGTGTGCATATTGCTACTATTAGTGTACGTAAAAAATCCCCTTTCGGATTTACTTTAGTTAATACGATTAAACAACTAGTACACCATTTGTTGGATATTATTTAATAGATTTCTTTAGTCAAATATGTAAATAAAATTGATATAGTTCATTGTTTTAGGTAGAAGATTATCAAGCATTTTATCAGAAATAGTAGAAATCATTATTGAAAATTTGATTTTGACGCAACATGTGATTCAAACCGTCAAAAATTATCTATTTTGACCGCTTCCCAATGCGTTTTGGCTTCCCAAATCGCTATATTTTCGACTAAAGATACAAAATATAAGGGTCAATGCATTTTAGAAAACGTTTATCCAGGCAGAGGTGCCATGCATGTGATAGAACTGCACTGCAATAATGAAGTTTGGACAATAAAGGTAAATTCTCTTAAAGATAAGATTATATGCAAGTTATAATAATGATCTTGTTGAAAAACAATAGATTACAAAAATAAATTTTATTTCCTGTGTATAATAATGTGTATCTAGGTATACACAGATATTTGATGCCTGGGCACAACATCAATAAAAAGTATGATTTTTTTTCAAACCCATATGTTCCGACTATAGTTTTTATATAGTATAATAACTTTATTTTAATTTGTGTCAGCCGTACACATATTTTCTCTAGTAAAAAATAATGGTTGAAATATATATTTAAGTATAAAATTTTAATATTTATTACAATTCGAAAGTAAAGTGAAAATCATTTTGTTAAACCTTATAAAAATAACTGCTTATATGTGTTATTTGTATTTTTAATGTTGGGATAAAAAAAAATTAATTTTAACTAAATAAAGAGTAGAATCCATAAATATGTTGCAAAAATCTCTACTTCAATATTTTTTACTTGATGTTACGCCCTCCAAGAATTCAATCATATATATATATATATATATATATATATATATATATATATATACATGTTCAATTTATATACAGATTTTATTGAAAACCTCAGCTGATGAGCCGTTAGAAGTAGTACATATACATGAAATGAAGATGAATGTGAAGTATATGATTTGTTTCAATTGATGGTGCCCTTCTTTTTATCAGAAGAAGAACTAAATCAAGAATGCAAAACTTTATAAAGTATTATGAATATACCTAGTTATTGTCTCAGCACTCCTTTCACTGAAAATACCTCCTCTTCTGTGGACTCTCTACTCTTTCTCTCAACTCTTTTTCGTTTTCATCACCTTGATGACGAGCACTTAAGAACAATGAACTCTCACTCTTACTGAGCTCTAACACTACATTTATACTTAACTAAAAACAATAAAATAAAATTTTATTTGATATATCAATATGTATATATTCAATAGTATATATGAAATATAACTTTATATGCGCTTGTAAATATAGTACAAATATATAACTATAAATATGAATGCATACTTTGTATCGAATGTTTACACATACATACATGCATATATATATATATATATATATATATATATATATATATATTTATTTATATATTTATATATATATTTATCAGTAGAATCTCGATTAACCGGACTAATTGTTGTCGACAGGCAGATAATTGAAAGTATGAAGAATAATGTTGTGTATTTTTAAAATAACAAATACCTACATAGATATCAACAAAAATAATGTTTATTAAGAAATTCAAAATTATGTATGTACATATATATTTTCTTAGATTACATACATACATATACTATACTGCAGGATTAATCTTGCAAAATTCGAATTGTAGGTATGTACATGCATATAAATTAGTCGTGGTTAGTAGTCCGGATAATCACAATCCGTATAACCGAGGTCCGGATAATCGAGGTTCTACACTCATATCACAAAATTCTATATATATATATATATATATATATATATATATATATATATATATATATATATATATATATATTTGATATATGTTGTTGCTTGTTGCTTACAATTAGTACAGGTCTTGTTTTGCTTTATATTAAGTCTATGATATAAAGATGCTCACCATCATAGATATATATATATATCTATAATGATATATATATATATATATATATATATATGCTTATATAAGCATGCTCACTATGGTAATATATATTTTTTAATCACAAAACAGCGAACAAAAGAAATAAACAAATTTTTAATTTTCAGTTGTGTGTCTAGAATATAAATGATTCACTTTCTTAAGAAATATTTATCACAAAGTGTCAACATATGTACAACTAACTGTAAAAGTATCATATTACAATGGTATTTTGTCATTGCTTTATAAACTCTGTTTAAGCACTGTTTAAGTTCTGAATGTTGTTAATATAATAATAAAAAATAAATTTACAAAGCACATGGATTGGAGTATAACTCATATTAAGTATTATAATAATGATGGTTATATAAATGCATATTAATGTTAAAACAAACGGATTTTGATTTAAATCTTTCCGAAAAAACAGACCTGAGAGTCATCTAACAATGCAAATGTCATTAATATGTCATGGTGCCAAACTGAACAAACTTCTCAAATCATTTAGGATTGGTGGGTTGTTTCATGGTTGGTGACTTGTGCGTTTGCTTTGCTTTCTTCAGTGTGGTCATGCTGTCATGTGTCATTTATGTGCTATCAAAATTATTATTTTTTAGGTTATCTTAACACAAATACAATCTTTAAATACTAATAGACATTGAGTTAAAGTTTGAGCTATGAACACAATATATAGATTTGCCTGCCAAGGAAATGTCTCCCTAATCAAACGTTTTATACCCAGTACGAGAACGTTTAAAAGTGATTTAAAAATTAAGTGGGTTAGACCCGAGAAAATACCGTGCATTGATCCTAGAAAAAGTGGCGATGTAGAGCCTGTAATGTACCCAAATTCAAAAAAATTGCCACTTGAATTTAAAGATTCAGATATAGTTAGCAAGTATATACTCATATTAAATTTATTGCATAAGCAACAACATATTTTATTTTATATATATACATATATATATGTTTCCAATATAGTGTGGAGGAGTCGGTTTTAGATATGTTCTCAATAGGAAAAAGCCGCCGACGCCTTACATGTGAACTAACTAGAGAAAATATGAAAGACAGGGTTCGGAGGCATAAATATGATGAGAGTTCCCGAGAAACAAGGAGTAAGTAGGCATTTTCTAAAATATAAGTACATAAAATGTACTCAATTGATATTTCAGATAAAATTACGAAAATTTGAAAAAAATCCATATTTGATTTTTTTGGAAATGTGAATATTTTAAAATTACTGATCTGCGTTTCCCAAAATCTAATCGTTTTTTTACATTGCTATATTTAGATATGTTCTCAATAGGAAAAAGCCGCCGACGCCTTACATGTGAACTAACTAGAGAAATATGAAAGACAGGGTTCGGAGGCATAAATATGATGAGAGTTCCCGAGAAACAAGGAGTAAGTAGGCATTTTCTAAAATATAAGTACATAAAATGTACTCAATTGATATTTCAGATAAAATTACGAAAATTTGAAAAAAATCCATATTTGATTTTTTTTGGAAATGTGAATATTTTAAAATTACTGATCTGCGTTTCCCAAAATCTAATCGTTTTTTTACATTGCTATATATACACAATAGCTATTCGATAAAATAAAAACTGAATGCTTGCAAAGTACATGAATCAAGTACACATTGATATTTACGTGACAAAATACAGCTTTCTCATTGGACACAGAAAGTATCGGCCACAAAACAATTCATCTATTGCCCAATAGGACATGTTCTATTCGTAAAATACGGCAGAAATTTTTGAGGTCAGAAGTTGTTAAGAAATTTTTGAGGTCAGAAGTTGTTAAGAAATCAGTTTCCAACGTTACTAGGCAACGGTTATAGACAGAAATTATGTTAAAGATACTGCTGTTGTGAATAGTGTTAGAACGAAATATCGAGTACTGAGTAAATATCGATACTTTGCGGTCGATAGTGAGTACTTTTGGTATCGATTTTTTAGCTCGATATATTTGCCAATATCGATCTTTTACGTCGATAGTACTCAAAAAGAATCGACAGCGTAATCTATAAACCCCACTTATCGACCAACTATGAAAACCAACCATTTTGCCAAATGCAATGCAATAGTCTCTCTAGGTGGTCATAATTGTTCAGAGAAGTGTCAAAAAATGATCACGAAGGGTCATTAGTCTCAGAATTTATTGCTCAAAAACCCAAAATGGATATGACCACACTAATAAATAAAGATGTTTATTTATTACTCTTTTGTAAAATGAAACGCCTTTTTAAAGTACCAAAATGTTTTATAAAAACATATTCAACAATCGAAGTATGATTATTTCAAATAATAATATTCATCAATTTCAATATATTAGTATTTTGCGTAAAAAAGAATCGAAATATAATTATTACAAATAATAATATTCATCAATTTCAATATATTAGTATTTTGCTTAAAAAAGAATCGAAATATAATTATTTCAAATAATAATATTCATCAATTTCAATATATTAGTATTTTGCGTAAAAAAGAATCGAAATATAATTATTTCAAATAATAATACTCATCGATTTCAATGCGTTATTATTTTTCTTTCTAAAAGTATGTGAATTGTAAGTTGAAGTAAAGTACTTGTAAATTAAAAATTAAATAAACAATTTAAAAAAGAACAGAAGAGCAATATTTTCTTTGTGGTACGTGAATCTTAAAATGTCTCGTTATCAGTTTGTGCACATTATGAACATATTTTAGGAATCGGATTTCAACTGACCCTTTCTGAATGAATGACAACAAAACTAAAGAATACTTTCCTTAGTATAGTGGGCAAAAAACTTTTAGGAAATAATAAATTAATTTGGTTCTTGTGGCAATTGTTTGCACTGAAAAATATTAAAAATATGATTGTGCTTAAAAATACTTAAAAAGTATTGCTTTTTGAATATAGTATCAGACTATTATATTGTTTTAATCAAAAATAATCAACTATTATAACTTGTCTTTTTTTATTTGAAAAATTATAGAATTAGAAATTAGTATTGAAAAATTACTGTTAAAATTTTACAATATTGAAAATGATTCTGATTTAACACATCAGATTACAAGCAATAGAATTCATTCTAATATTGTGATATAATATTTAAAGATCTTTCTTGCACTTATGTTTGATTTTTATGAAAAGTACTCAAAATTCGATATTGAGTACTATCGATACTTTCGCCACGATATTTTTTTGGCATCGATATTTTGATTAGATACTTTTCAAAGTACTCAATATCGATCTTTTGCCTCGATACTTCTAACACTAGTTGTGAGTAGAGAGCTTAACGGGAAATCTGGCTGGCAAGATTGTAAAATATGTCAGGCAAGATCGTAAATTATGATTTATCATATCGTTGCTAGGTAACAAACTGTCCCGCATGCACTAATCAGGAAACCGGGGCTTAAAATGCTTTTGTTTTGACTTTTGATGGAATGATTGTATAAAGGATAGTAATGAATTTTCAATAAAAGCAATAGTTTATTTTCTATATTATATAATTGTCAAAAAAAAGTTTGTTTACTAAAATTATAATCAGATATAAAAATTAAGTAAAAGTTATGTCTTAGGTGAAATAAAATTAAGTTAAATTGAGAGGAATACTATTGATTTAAAAAAAAAAAATCAAAATTTATGTCCCAATCTTTTTAAATTAATTTAATTATATTATGCTTTTATTACAAATTATGTTTATTAGTTGCAGACATGACAGCAAGAATTCGTTGTTTACAAGATAGAATGAAGGAAAATCCGCATGATGGCAAATGCCGGGTATAACATTTAAATCTCACATGTTATAATTATAGTTCTTAACAATTAAACAGAATAAATTATTTCAGGCTTTACTTAAAGAATTAATTGATAAACGTAAGAAATTTTTGAAATACCTTAGGAGATGGGACTACAAAAGATTTGAGTGGATATTAGAAAAATTGAATATTGTATATAAACCACCACCAAAGTAAGTACTCAATTATATGCTTTAATTTCTTCTATTTGATTCATAATATATTTATTTCCATGAAAGTACACTTTTGAAACTAAATTTGATTGGCAAAGATCTTTCATGTGAAAGTTGATTGAATATTGAAAGATAATTCAATATTTGATTTTTATTTATCTCAAAGGTTAGGGAAACTATTATTTGCCTTTTTAATAATGTTGGAATAGAGACTAATGTAGATCATTAATAGAACTAAGATTAATTTTGTTTCACATAATGTTTGATCAAATGTAAGTATGGGATATCTAAAATAGTAGAAATACTTAATTATATCTCTGTATAACCTTGATAAAGTTCGTGAAATTTATTCCATACAACTTCATGAATATCAATTATATGAGTGCCTCCTAGGTATTCATAAATACTATATCCTACTATAAAATCTTGATATTGTTTTAGTAAACTGATACTTTCATAATTATGATTGTGTTAAAAATATCTGCATAAATTATGCTAAAATATCAACTAAAACTCCAATAAACTAGAGTCAGTATTTATCAGCTATACTTACACACACACACACATATTATATATATATTAGGGTGGTCCTTAATATGGATATTTTCGAATTTTCTTGCTCCCAATGGCTCAAATGGTTCCAAATTGATAAAAAACAATTCCCTGAAAGTTTTAGCTCTTAATATTGTCTTTTTGATAGAGCGCAATTCAATCAAACTTTGTATGGAAATAGCATGGAAAAAATTTTGGAAATTAAAAAAAAAAAATTTTTAGGTATAACTTAGCGACAAATTTTGAATAGACCTCATTCATTTGTTCTCTAAATTATATAAAAGAACATTTTTAAAATTTTTGAAAAATTTTTCGTGCTATTTCCATACAAAATTTTGATTGAATTGCGCACTATCTTAAAGACAATATTAAGAGCTAAAACTTTCAGAGAATTGTTTTTTATCAACTTGGAACTATTGGAGCCCTTGGGAGCAAGGAAATTCGAAAATGTCTCTATTAAGGGCCACCCTAATACATACATACATACATATAAATATATATATATATATATATATATATATATATAAATAGATTATTATTTACATGTTCTTCCATCTCATACCTTATTATACTTATTGTCCTCTTTCATTAAATATTCTACACATACATATAAGTAAAAGAAAATATTACCAACATTTCTAATTCATTATGAATACCTTGCACATTATGTTTCTATCAATATTTAATATGATTTATATAAAAATACAATTACTTATGAAATGGCAAGATGATAATACATTGTGTAATTATTAAAATTCAGTTATGATTGAAATTCATCCTTCCTAATTATATAGTCATTTTCACTGGATAACGAGGAAAGAATCATTGCAAAAACTAACTAATATATATTGTGATGAGTTGAAAGCTAAAAGATTGGCAGCCTATGAAAACTTATTAAAAGCAGAGCAAGAAGGCTTTCTAAAAAGAAAAATTTCTATTATGGAACAAATCATGAAGGATCAGAAAGAATGTGGACTACCTGTTACAATTAAAGAAGAAAATTTGAAAAATGTTCAAAGACAATTAAAAAATCTGTTTGAAAAAAAATCTGTTTCTAAAGAAGCATCTTTGTAAAAATGAATATAATATATAAGATCTATATTAGCATACAAATATGTGAATAATATAATATGAGATTGTCACAGTTATTTTAAAATGAATAGTTTCAAGTACACAAATCTTAACAAGCGTAAAACTAGGAGCTGTTCAATATTTTTCTCAATAAAAAAAAATAGTGGAAAAATCTTTGTATATGAATAAACTACAATATCGCTATACATGCTATTAATCTTGTAAGTTAATTATTAAAATACTTTCCCAGTATTATTATGCAATTATTCATTAATTAGTTATCTAGACCAGTTTTTTTTTTAGAAATCCCTAATTAACATTATAAAATATTTAACAATGCAGGACGGAAATTCGATAGTTTAATTACTAATATGGTGCTTAGAAAACAATTAACATGTTTAATATAAGAACCAGTGATGTTTTTTATGCTTGTGAAAACGATGGTATGTTTCACAATAAATTTTTTGTGCAACTTTTTTTTGGTATGAACATACTACACAATGAACTTTGTCGTTCTCATTTGCAGTAAAATAAATTGCCTGTTTAGCCTAATCAGAGCCTATGTAACCTAAATTTTATTCAATGAGTGGTGCTTGGCAATTTTTACTACTGCTGAGAAATAGGATAATATGCCGGTCAGTAATGCATCTTCCTACCCAAAGATTTTGGAAGATAATTAGTAAACAAAGGAATTTTGTATGGTAATCAACAAACAGCAATTTTGCAATAAGCAAGGAGAAAAAACAAATTAGGCAATTTCTAGTGCCATCTGAATTTTCAAGTCAAATGGACTGAAATGCAATTTATAAATGTGATTCATTTTACTCATCATTTTTGGTATTTCTTAAAAAAGTGAGAAATTAAACAACTATTAATAGTTTCTTCAAGAATTTAGGAGCTAAAAGGGCATAACTGAATTACCCTTACTTCATAAATATATTATAAATATTTTCATTTTAAATTTCTTAATTACATGTTTAATATGTTTTATGTTAAACAGACATTATTCTTACTACAAAATTAATTATTTTGTTAATACGCATGACTATGGAAGAGCACTTTTTGCATAAAGAATTTTTCTGATAATAAACATGGTTTCAAATAAACTAAGTACATTAAGAGATGCACCACAGAATATTATATATATATATATATATATATATACACACATACATACATACACACTGAGTATCTCATAACTTGACCTCAAGCCAAAACAGGGTAATGTTTTGAAAAAATAATCTCAAGGTCGACCGATTTGAAAAAAATGCAAATTCATGGTTCAACAAAAAGTCTTGATTCTTGAAAACTTGAAACAATTGTGGTATTGTTTTTTACTATGGCCCTAGAAGTGTTATTCATGATTACGGTTCCAAAGTTTAAACAAAATTAATGAAAGTTGAACACAATAACTGAAAAATGGTCATAATTTCATCAAAGCTCTAGATTGCTTAAGCTCATAAATTCCAACAATGCAAGAATTTTTTTCAGGGCAGTCATACTATCATCCTGCTTCAGCTTGACATCAAGCTCTGGGACATATATATATATATATATATATATATATATATATATACACATAAAAAGCAGTCTTGTAGTTATAAACTTGTCATAGCAGGATGTCGTGCATATGCTTTAGGAATAAAGCCATATTTTCTTGTTTTTGGGGCAAATGCCCAAAGCCAACCATCGACAGTTTGATTATTAAGATCAGCATATATCCAATCTCCACGTCTAACAGATAAGTCATCAGGAGCTTGAGCCTAAAAAAAATTAAAGTGAATGAATTTAAATAGGTGAAGAAATGTATAAAATAAGTTAATCTGCAAATGCAATTTTTTACATGTTTTCATAGATAAAAAAAATATGAAATTCAATTTTTATTCAATTTTCAACAATAACGGTGTCATGTAAGATTACAGATATCAAAAATATTTGATATCTTGAAGAAATATATAAGGTTATTTTTTAATGACTACACATATTTTTCATGTAACATTTTGTTGTGCATTTAAATTGCTCAACAAAATTCGGCTTTAATTTATTGTTTAAACTAGATATATTTATTATTATAACATTGCAATGAGAAAATAAAATAAATTGTATAAAAATGGGCCATATAAAAGATCAATAAAAATGTGTTATCTATGCAATATTCCATAGCTTTTGTTATATTTCATAATAAATATTTCATATGCATACCTTGTAATCGTAAAGCATGACAAGTTCTGTTCCATGATATCTCAAGTCATCACTATTGAGATTAGTTATTTGTTGCACAATGGCATTATCAGTATTGCAAGATATTTGTTGATTGTCAACAACATTTATATGTCCTTGAATAATATCAGCCGGATAAACAAATCCAGATGGTATGAAACCCTCCTGTCCATCACTTCTCACAATCCAAAACCAATCCGGATCTTCTCTGTTTAATACAGTAACAAATTCACCTCTTTCCACAGACACATCATTTTCATCTCGAGCAATAAATGTGTACAAAACTATAAAACGGCCAGAAGGATCCTTACTGAATGGAACAAAGTCTGGTTCTGAAGCTAAACTAGCCCGTGAATATGAACTTTGCAAACCCACTATATTGTCGCCCATTTCTTCAGATGTGTCATTTAATCCTTCCATTGAAAAATCAGAGGCCAAAGGATCAACCGAAGAATCTCTTGGTAACTTTTTCTTGACAGCTAAATCAGCAATTTGATTGCTATATGGGGCACAATATGAATGTGGTATAAAGCCTTCCTGTTGAGAATCATGACCAATAACATAAACCCAGTCATTCTCTCGGTATAAAACATTAACAATTTGTCCCCTTTGTACTTCTAACTCATCATCTACACAAGGTGTAAAATTGTGAAGAACAACCATTTTAGAATCGGGACTTAAACCATGTTCCTTCTCGATTCCTACTCGCACTAAAGTTTCTACACTAGAAGATCCAGTTATCCGTCCAATACCTGGACTTAATCCATTTGAAGGCCTATTCAACTCCTTCTCGACGTCATTATTTAAAGCTAAAATTTAAAAACATGTTATAATAAATTTATAAAAATTAAATAATGTAATAAACAATTACATTTCTTTTTCTTTCCTCTTCGAATCCTTACAGGACACAAGAATGCCATTCTGTTTTATCATTTATTTGCAAACTATACACGTCAAAACAAAAATATTGGATTAAAATGTGAATACGAACGAGTGTGATTGTCGTTTAATCGACGAGCCGCTTCTTGTCAACCGTTTCTCTCCCGTTAATAATGCATGAGCAACACCATAGATAAACACTGCCTCTTATTCTTATCTATTACTGTCACCGCCTATGGTCACCGCTCATCGCATTCCCCTAAGAAGGCAGTTGGATTCAGATTCATGTTGGATTTCTTGTGGGAAAATTTATTATTTATTATCTGTCCCAATTATTTATTGTATTCGAGATGCATAAAAAATATAGGTTTTTTTTCAATTATAACAACTGGCAGTAAGCACCGAGTAGAATTGTGTAATTTGCAGTTAGGCTAATAAATAATATACGGTAGGTCGGTATTAATTATTATGTTAACTTATGCTACTCATAAATAACAATTAAAAAATACAAAGGTATTTGTGTGTAATATATATATATATATATATATATATATATATATATATATATATATATATATATATATGATTTTAAAAGAATCAAGTGGGTCAACAAAAACAAATCTAGTAAATAGTTTATGTCCTACATTACTACTAAAGGATAAAGCTTTCGAATTTAAAAAAAGTAATTGTAATCAGACAAATTGAAGATAATCACTGTGGATAACTTATTATATGTTATACATAAACGGGTTAAATACAGCATATAAATATTTAATATAATAAATAAGCAAAGAATGACTTTAAATCAACAAAGGCCAATTAATAAGAATAACAATTTGAATTGAATCAATATGAATATATTTTCAATACAAATCTGAGGTCAATGTCATAACAAATAATGTGAAAAACATAACATTAATTCAAGCTTTGTATATATATATATATATATATATATATATATATATATAATCTTTGTGTGTGTTATAATATATAAATAAGCATGAATGTATGCAACAAAGTATGCATATAATACAGCAAGTTTGTTTAAAACGTGTACGTAAGCAAACATTAGTCCTACGTAGAAAATTTGCATTTAGAAAAATCCATTTCAGGATGTTGCTCCATAAACTTCCTCATCATCTCTTGTTTTTTCTGGTCTTCACTTGTAGGCAAACCTAATTCCTTTTGTCTTTGATCATACATCATTTTCTCTACTAAACTTCTTGTCTCGCCATCCAAATCAGATAACTTTGAGGGCTCCGGATTTATTTTTCTAGTGCTTATTTCAGGATCTGTATCAACTAATCTTTTCCACCAATTCATTTTATTGATCTTCTCTAAAGATATCAATAAGATTTTTCCATCTTGTATAACCCATGAAGATTCTTCAACTTTGATCTCTGCATCAAGAGTGCCATTAATAATCGGATCCTTATTTCGAATTCCAACTGTCAGTTTATGTTTACTGAAAGTGACAACAACATCCCTTGGTTTAACATAGAAAGATACATCTAATGGAACACGCAATTCAATATCAGATAAAGTTTGAGTCCAACTGTAATTTTCTAAGTCACAGCCATTTCCTAGATTGGGCTTCAATTTCCCTACTTCGCTTTTCTCTGTTTCCTCATCAACCTCACTTTGTTCAATAGGTTTTGATACTTTAACTGGTTCTTTTTGAGACTTTTTATTACTCAGCTCCTTCTGTAGACTATCGGCTTCTTCCTCTGTAAGTTCTGTAATTTGAGCCGACGAGTTTTGTTCCACAACTTGCTGTTTTTCATGTGCTGCACGCCTTATTTCAGATTTTTCCTTTTCTGCTTTCTTTTTATCATGCACTGCTCGAGCTTTCTTTTCTTCAGCCTTAAAAATATCCATGACCAGCTTCTCCCAAACGCCGGATTCAGCGCCGACAAAGAAATCTGTTTTACGACACAAGAAACTAGCAATGGTTTTTAGTAATTCTTGAACTCCTCCTTCATGTTGCTCTGCTATTGCCAGGAGCATACCATCAAATCTTTCTGGATCCGAACTCATTACTGATACTGTAAAAAAGCCGATACAGGTTAACAAATAAAGAAGTTGAAAAATTACATTAAAAAAGACGACTTGTAAAATACATTTATTTAAACATTATTTAATATTATAATATATAATGCCTATTACTATCTTAATCAATTACCTTTAACAATATGCAATCACGTTTAATTTACTTTTGCTAACGAGAAACAAATAACAACATATATTCCAGCAATTTCTATGATAACAACCGTGTGAAGTTTTCTTTAAAAAACATACGTTCGATTATATTTAATCGATTTAATTCATATCGATAATAAATTTGACTGTTTTTGACATATCGTTTTCGTCATCGTACACGAGTCGCATAGATAAAAGAAGAGTCGTATGATTTAGTCGTAGTCACAGATAAATAAACATAAACTATGAACTGAACTACTACTAAGTCCATAGATAATGTTCATAGATAAAGTTAACAGCAGCAAGTCAAAAGACATCACTTTCACTCTTTGCAAAGGAACTTGTCCTGCAGTAAGACTTAATGACGAAATTATAGATCAAACGGATACAGTCAAATATCTAGATTTACACCTGGATAAGAGACTAACCTGGAAAGAACACATTAAGAAAAAGAGGAAGCAGCTTGAAGAAACCAGAATAAGATATTATTGACTCTACACCATAATAAAATTTACCTCTATAAAGCCATAATTAAACCTAATTGGACATACGGCATACAGCTATAAAGATTTCAAAACAAGTTATTAAAAGAAATTTTGAAAGCACCAAAGTATGTTCCAAATTGGTTAATACAAAAGGACATAGGCACTAGCACAGTTAAGGATGAAATAATCGCTTACTCCCACAAATATAGAAATCGCCTAGCTGATTACTCGAACTTGCTCGCCAGAAAACTTCAGAACAACTCTACCAGGACCCGATTAAAAAGAAAATTTCTTCTGCATTAATCAATAATAGATAAGACCTCCGACAAATCACTGGCAATGGTCAGATGATTTGTATTTTGCCAACGCCTTCAGTTTCATGTCAAATATTTTACTTGTTGTTCGTTTCAGGACAGTTGTAAAAACTATTAAAATAATAAAAAATAAAAAAAAACTATGTCCAAAGATAAGTAAACATATGACTAAGTCCAAACCATAGATAAAAGAAGAGTTCAAACCGTCCAATGCGTCCAAATGGGTCCAAACTACTTTATGTGATTTATCTTTGGGCATAACTGTCATCTGTCATAACTGTCTATTTATCTGATAACTGTTTATGACAACTGTGCTCTTTTTGTTTCGTAAGTTGTCGGTTTTTGTTTATATTTTTCCACTCTGGCAATACTATGCGTTTTGCTTGAAATATAACCTATATATTTACATTTTCCATAGCCATTTCTGACTTATTTATTGTGCATTTGTAAACTGTTTAGAGTAAATAAATCTGGTTATCGCATAACGATGAATAATTCACAATATTATGAAGATTTAAATGAAGATGGTAATTCAATACGACAGAAGAGTTATAATATTTTTTCACTATATTACTTTTTTTTTCAAAAACAAATTTCAGCTTCCAAACGTGTAACTATTGATGTTTCTTCTGACGAGTCTACGTCTTTAGAGTGTCGAACTATTAGAATTGGTTCACATAAATTTACTCCTACAGAAAAAGTAAGTTGATTGTATTTCTCGATAAGTAAAATGTTAATTAGAAATCAATTTTGTTTTAGGTAACATTCACTCCAAAAGGGATTTGTATAGAAGCTCCAGTAATTAATGATTCATTAGCAAAGGAAGTTTTGCACATTGAGCATAGGGAAATAGTTAAAATATTAATACATTTTGGTGATATTTCACCAGTTATTTTTATATATACTTTACCATCGTGTGCTCGATATGTTCGGAAAAAGCTTTGTATGACAAACCCAGGATCTGGTAAGATTTATTGAAATAATTATTTATTACTATATTGTAGCAAATCTTTTAAAAGTGTATTTCTAGGTATTTATTTTGATAGTTGTGCTAGTGAAGAAATATATAAAAGAATAGCACTTCTACCTTCAGGATTTACAGAGAAATTTAAAGAGAAAATTTCTAAATATTACGGAAAACCACAAACTATTTTAGATGAATTGTCAGCTCGAGAAGCAGATGAAATTTTGACAAAAATTAGCCAACGTGAATCAGAATTGTAAGTTGAAAAAACCAAAAAAAAAAATTATATGTTTTGGTTATTTCTACTGCTTATTTCCAAATCTTCAAAAATTTGCACAATGTAAATCAGAATTGTATTGTTTTTTTTTTTTTAAACTAGCTTGTTGTTACTTTTACACCATTATTTCAATGAAGAAATGTGTAAAGCTTTAAATGCCTGCACTAGTATTTATGTGATGTGAATTATTATTTACATCTTAAATTTGTGTAAAAAAGTTGCGTGGTAAACTTTAACTTTAAACATTTTTGAATAGTCTACTTCGGTTATAGTGTGCTATAACCGTGTGCTTTCTATATATATAGAAAGTTTGCATATCTTCTGTCGTAATAATCAATAAGTTTTTGCCTATTATAATAGCACGAGGTAATGTATGACACTCCTTTTTAATAAGTGAAGTAAATTTTTAGCCTGGTGAATAAATTGATGGAGATGTTTCTAAATGGTTATGTCATTTGTTTATTTTCTTAATTAACCAAAAACCTTTTGGACAAAACCAAAATCTGTAAATATTTCTGTAAACAGTTCATGATATGTATCTCATTCAGTTTTTTAAATTTACAAAACTATTTACCAAATCTTGATTGTAATTGGCATTTAATTTTGAACAGAAGTCAATCATTTTATTTTTTTTAATCAATTATTAGGTACGATTGATTTTTAGAAATTTTTGAAATTATAAAACTCTTGCTAAAATTCAGTTTTTGTTTATTAAGTGGGATTTTTTTTGTGTATTGTATTATATGCAACTTGCCTGAAGTTACCGCATAGAGTATCGCATACACTGTATAATTATGCTAGTTTGACAAAAAGAACTTTATTTTGTGCTGGGTGTAAAAATCAAGTAGTTAAATGATTAAATAAATCTTTGTATATAAAAGTTATATAGTTTTTAGAAAATTTATATGATTATCATTTGATATTAGAAATAGATAAGTATTTTTATTAAATGATAATAAAAACTAGTGGGGCGCATGGCATCGTGCCTTAAGGCAAATTGCTGAAACTTCCTGTACCGTGATTAAAAATTAGAGGAATGAAAATAATCAATAATTGTTTTAAATAATTTCAAATAGATTATTATAAATACATACTGTAAATTTATATGTGCGACGAGCGTATTTTACGAACAACTTATGTGTAATTAATGTTAAATTTGATTTTTTTATATTTTTGAAATTTAAAAAAAAATTGATTTTTTAAATTTTTGAGAATTTGGAAATCTTTGAAAATGTCCGATTTTTTTTTGAAAATCTCGAAATATTCTCAAATTTTTATAAGAAATCGTTTTTATTTAAATTTAGAAGTTTTTCAAATTCTTTGAAATTTAGATATTTTTTTCAAAATGATGAAAAATTTCAAAAATGAGTTTTCTGAGAATTTAATTTTTTTTTTTTTTTGAAAATTTTCAAAACGACGAAATATTTTGTTAAACTAGTTTTAAAGCAAAAGGTTTTTTGAATTAATCTAATCGGATGATCTGTTCTTCTCGCGCTCCATACCTGCGGAAAACGGCAGAATGTGCTTTTTGCAAAAACGCCTCGCGATCGAGTACTGAATGTTTGTTCAATAATACCAATCGATTATTCCATACTGTCGAGTCGAAAATGTCGAGGTCATTTGTTTGACCATATCCTCAACCATATACATAAACTTCAAAATTAAAAATCTTGGTACGGAACCCAAAAAAATTGACACAAAATGTGTACACATTATTAAAATCTCTATAAAATATCTGATAATTTGATGTGCATATGTCTAGTGAATATTTTTACCGCCAAATTACAATTAAAAAAAAAAATATTGAGAGCCCATAACCGTTAGACCTGCCTTTTCAAAAATTTTAAGTTCTTTGTTTAATCAATACAAATAGAATGTTTCTTGAATTATTCAAATCGGACGCTTCGTTCTCTAAAAACTGAATTAAGATTTTTGGTTCTTTTTGCCCCGTATCTTCGAAACGGCTTGACCTGCCTCCGCCAAAAACTAATCAGCACGTTTCCTTATCAATACAAATCAAATGTTTTTTTTTAAATTATTCAAATCAGTTATTCCATACTGTTGAAAATGTTGAGGACATTTATTTGAACCATATACGTGAAACTTAAAATTAAAAATCTTGATACGGAACCCAAAAAAAGTTTACGCAAAATTGGTACACATAGTTAAAATCTCTATAAAATATCTGAAAATTTGATGTACATATGTCCAATAAACATTTTTGACTGCTAAATTGCAATTTTTCAACTTATTTTTATTGAGAGTCTATAACCGCTAAACCTGCCTTCCCCAAAATTTCACCAGTTGTTCACTTCGTCAATACAAGTAAAATGTTTTTTCAATTATTAAAATCGGACGCTCCGTTCTCCTAAAAATGAGTTACCGTTTTTGGCACTTTTTGCCCCGTATCTTCGGAACGGCTAGACCTGCCTTCGCCAAAAACTAATCAGCACGTCTCCTTATCAATACGAATCGAATGTTTTTTTTTGAATTATTCAAAATGCTTCACACGTGTTCTCAAAATATTCGACGAAATTTGTATCCGCAGTTCCGCACACATACATACACACACACACACATACATACATACACACACACATACATTCATTTTTTCTAATATATGCCAAAATGTTCAGAAGGTTTGAAACGTAAAGATATATAAAAATTTTCATTTTAGATTTTTTTGCGATTACTATAACTTGCCCTACGGGAAGTTAATAAAATGTATTAGTGAATATGAGGAACACTTCTGAGTGATAAAAAGATAATTATTAGTTTTTTTTTTTTTAAAAAAAAGGCTGCATTGAATTTTGATATATTTTTCTTAAGAAATTAAAGAGAGAACAAAAGTAATTAGCAGTACTGCTGTCATTATTCAGTTTTACTAGGAGTGAAAATTTAAAGTTTTTTTATTACAGGAATAGTGAGATACGCCAAATTTTAATTTATCCTCCTGGAAAAGGTGGGATTCCTATTAATACTGAAGATTATGGAAGTCTGGAGCAAGACAAGTACTTGAATGACGTTATAATAGATTTTTATCTAAAATATCTTTGCAATGAAATACTTTCAGAAGAAATGAGGAATAAGATTCATGTTTTCAGTACATTCTTTTACACGAGATTATCTTCAAAAGTTGATAATATGAGCAGGTACATATATAAATATATATATATATATATATATATATATATATATATATTTGATTTGAACATATTGTTTTATCGAAAATAAATATGTACATTTTGCATACACCTATCCCCATTTTACACGGTTCTCACATGGTTTTTGCAAATAACCTCTTTTAACAAAATTTATTAATTATGCATTTACACAAAATTATAAACGGTAAATTATAATTTGCTTATATTTACAATAACGTTTTTATTATTTTACCGTCAAAATACAACACTACATAATGTCAGTTATGAATTCTTAGTAATCTATGTCTCTGATGGAAATGTGTAGATGAAACGAGCACTCCCAGTTTCATGATCAAAACTAAATTTTATGTATAGCTGGTTTGTTTGAAATACTAAAACAAAGAGCATCATTGTTTTTAAACTGTTGTTGTTCATATATAATTGATAGTGTAAATTTATTTAAGGTGAGCAAAACACAGAATCATATTTTACAAAATCTATAATTTATAAAGAAAATTATAATTCGACAATGGCAAATGATGAAAATGAAAAACTAGAGACTAAAAGGAAGTTTATATCTTTACAAACCAATTTGAATTTATATTTAAAAAGATAATGCAATATAAAGATATTTTATTTATTTTATTGTTGAAATAAATTAATATTCTTATAATTTATTAAATGTGTTTAATATTAAATATATAAATATTTATTTTTCGTTTCGAATGTAATTGTTATTCATCATATTAAAATCTTTCAAAAAGGGCTTTTTTATAGCAATTTTTGTTTAGCACTGTTTTTTCATGTAAAAGTGAATTTTTTGAGTAACTTTTTTTTGGAACATATCGTCTGGGTAAAACGGGTAGTAGGTGTACTAATTTAAACTACAATTAATATGTAAACTATATTGCTATTGTCTAAAATAAATAAAATGCTTTTTTATTAAGTAAAATTATAATATTTATATTATAAATTATGGCAGATATGATAATTCTGACATGGATTATTTTTGTGCTCAACAACATTATAACCGAGTCAAAAATTGGACTAAAAATGTAAATATATTTGAAAAAGACTTTATTATTATTCCCATTAATGAGAATCAGCATTGGTATCTAGCAATAGTATGCTTTCCTGGGCTAACACACAGACAATTGACGAGTGAAAAAAATACTAACAATATAAATAAAAGAGAAGGTAAATACATAATTTTTACATTATTGTTATTTTTCTTTTGCTCAAAAATTATCTGAATTTATAGGTGATCATTTGAGGTCTTCGGGATTTACAAGTGATGTTGAATATGCATTTCCAACAGGTGGTTTTCGCAATTTATATGACAATGAAAATGACAGTAATAATAGTGAATCTAACCAAAACTACTTAGATTTAGGCACAAATAAATCAGGATCTATTAAACAGTAAGTTTTGGGTTTTGGCATGCGACATAAGCAAATTAAGTTTTAACTTTTTCTTCTTATGCTGATATATATATATATATATATAAAAAGTTAAAACTTTGAATTTTGTTCAGTAAGGCTGTTGGGTGCGTCATTTATATGTAGTATATAAAAGCTTGTATTGACTTCTTATCTAAGTTATAATTCTGTGCCAATATACAAAATAAGTTAGCTTGTATGAAATATTTACAAAAACAAATCTTTTTAATTATTGGTTCAAAACTTTCTTTTTAATGATTCTGAAAATCAGAATTGATCACCTATTCAATATTCAAATCTATGCTTTTATATCATCTTACAATGATTTTCAAAACTAGTTGATTGTCAGTCCAAAATCATACTATTTTCATTTATAAAATATTGTTCGAAATTTAATTGAAAATTTCAAATTCTGAACATTGATTTTTGTTCTGGAAATTTAATAATTTGAATTTATTTACACAACACAACATTAAACTCAAAATGTTTAAAGAACACTTTGAAAATTATTTTTTTTTGGAAACTTAACATGGTAATTAGAGTTCATGGTTTAAATGAACATCGTTTATAATCCTATGAAAATTAATTTAATTATGTAAATTATTGGACCTTGGAATAATGAGTCTTATTGTGACATAGAGTATATAGTTATCTGTTTAACCCTTCCTATACGGCAGTTCATTCTGCCGGAGTGAAAACACTGAACACGGCACCTCGCTGAAAAGTGTAAACACTGCACGATAGTAGTCCTTTGTCGACATATATGCAAGTCTTGAATAATCCTTATATCAATTATTGCAGAGTTTGTTTAAATTATGGTGATAGAAATCAATCAAACATATAAAATATTTGATTTTAATAGTTACAAATAAAAACTTTTTTTATATTAACGTGAGACAATCAATACACCATTTTTTATCATGTGACTCCATGTAAACATAATGATCTTGTATGAATATTCAAATTGTTATGTAATATAGTAATATAGAAATTTATTATTTCAGGCCATGCATATTGATATTTGATTCATTATCTGGTGGTGCAATAATATCAAGACAACGTACTATTTCTGTAATAAGAGATTATTTATCCTGTGAGCATCAGTCAAAATTTGGAACAACTGACTTTGATAAATACTCTATTAAAGGGCATTGTGTGAAAGTTCCGCAACAAGATAATTTAACAGACTGTGGTTTATTTGTACTTCAATATGTAGAGCACTTTTTTAAGGTATTACATTATTTAAAAATGTTATTTTTGGTAGAGTATAGTTATCATTTAGAACTGAATTTTTCATAACAAATAATGAAATTTGGTGGAATTGTTTGACTATTTCTTATCACATATTCAGGCATTTATGGCTTGTATAACTTCTTTCGATCAATTACTACTTTTTAAAATATAATAGTTTATAGACACACCTATACTATTATTTTCTAGATTATTTAATAATTATGAATATAATATATTTTTCAATAAATATAAATGTCTTTCTTAATAAAGAACACCATATTGGAGAATCTTTAAATATTTTGTTAGTGTGTATTTTTTCATTGACTTGTATTAATTTTCACCAGGTACCTATCACTGATTTTTCTATTCCAATCAGAGGATTAGAAAACTGGTTTGAAACAATTGTTGTGACTAGAAAGCGGGAGGATATTTCTAAGCTTATCAAGAAACTTGTAGCTACTTACAATGCAGACAATCTACCATTGCCTGATATTATATTTCCTACATTAAATGGTGAGAAAAAATAAATATTTTTTTCATGTGTAATAACATACACTGTATGTATATATCTATGCATGTATGTATATGCATATTCAGATTATTTCGCAAATCCTACACTTTGATAAACCGACACCTCCAGTGATTGAAATCATCTAAAAGTTTTTCTACTATTTCCAATATTTTATGAAATTTTCACTAGCATCCAATAATCAAAACATTTCTGTAATTGATTTTTCTATATGATTAATTTATACAAGAAATCGATAAAAATTGAAATTATTTTCCGGTATATTTCTAATTTGAAATACTGTAAATCTTCTAATATTCATTAATAGACTTTTTTTTTAATTTATGGCAATTTCTAATAATAGATATAAAATATATTATTAATAATCATATTTTTAGGAGCACTTATGATCTTATTACGACGATATATCAATTTATTAAAATTGAGGTATGCCAAAATTGAAACAACTTTTATGTCTTAAAATATAATTCCACTTTTTAATTATAATTATGTGAATACTATTTCACGTTTTTGCAGTTTGCAACTGCAAATGCATCAGTATAAATTACTTACTAGCTGTTAGAGACTTGCATTTTTGATTTTTTAATAATGCACGATGTTTATATTTTAACATTAAGAGCATTTGAGAAACATGAACACTATTAATTAGCCATTTTTAAAAGCTAGATACTGTACAAATATATTTTGCTGTAAGAACCAATATTTTACTTTTTATGCTTGAATTTTTAATGCAATAAAAAATATTATAGGCAAATTAGTCGAACAAGAGACATTAGAAACTGCAGATGAATTCAAGGATCACTTTGCTGATATAGAATTAGATGACGAATTCGCAGATGATGATTATAATGAATCTGAATATGATGATGAAAATGAACAGAATTTTGAAGAAGATATGTATGAAACACACCATAAAAATATGAAACGCAGAGCCACAGACAGTGAATCTGAATGTGAAAGTCGCATTCGGAGGCGATATAAAGAAAATATTGAGGATGAAACAGTTTACAATGGTAGAGCATAATTTGACATATTGATAAGATAAGTACATACAAAAAGTTGGCATTCACATAAGTATAATCATTGTTAATTTTAAGGTAATATTAATTCACTGGCATATATATGTATATGTTTGTTTTTAATGTTTTTTTTATTATTTTTTTTTATTATTTTACTGTATAATTTTTAATACAGACTGAACAAAAGTGATACTACTGTGAATTTGATTACTTCTTAAAATTAGCTAAAAATAAGTATTTATTAATGAACATATTTTCTACAGTATATTTTTTTATTTATTTCTTTAAGAAAATGTATCCTTCAAAGAATATAATTATTATTCTAACATGGGATTTTCTTTTATATTAGCAAAAACTTTAGATGCAACAAAAGTGTCCTACTCACTTACATTGTACTCAAAATAACTAGATGCATTGGTTTAAAGATAAAAATGAAATATCAAGTAAATGAGAATTAGAGTTTATATAAATGTTTATGAAAATAAATCTTTTTATTGATAAAATAAAACATTTAGGCCTAGATTCTTTCTTAACATGTTAAAAATATTGCTCATTTTAAAGTGAAAACTTCCGGAAGAGGTTCATTTTTTCTGTATATAGGGCAGGTTCAAAAATGCACGAACTGGAGAAACAGTACCTGTCATTGACAGTAGTACATTTCTTTGGCACTCGTACAGCATAAGAAATATATTTTATATCACCAACAGTGATAAGTACAAAACACAGCACGGAATATGTATACAGTGCACACTAAAGAGTACTAACTCAAAACTTTAATGATTTTTTTTATTTAAACTACTTTTTATAAGCCTATAATATTTTATAATGTTAATATCACTTTACAGCAAAAAATTGAATTTTTACTTTTATTTGTGTAATATTTATTTCATTTTTAGTTGACACAAAACTAAGCATACATTTATCCGGTTAACTTTCATGTATAACATAATTAATAAGAGATTTTCTGAAACTATACTGGTGTATCTCAATTTATAAAAAATATTGATTCCATATCAAAACGAAATATTAAAATAAACCACAATTTTATATATAAACTGTGAAACTGTAATAATACAAAGTGGCGTGTTTGATAAGTTTTTAATATAAGCGTTTATTTACCCGGTTAACTTCTTCCATGTATAACATAATTAATAAAAGAGATTTTCTGAAACTATACTGGTGTATCTCAATTCATTAAAAAATATTGATTCCATATCAAAACGAAATTTTAAAATAAACTACAATTTTATATATGAACTATGTACTTATATACAAGTACTTATAGATAATGGAGATTATTATTAAAAATGACTACAATATTTTTATTTACATTTATTATTGTTTTTTATTTTAATTTTAGGTGCATAATTTCTAGTTCTTGCTATAATTCAAGTGTTCCTATTTTTCATCCATAATGGTTTCATTATATTTTTTGCTAGCGAGATATTCCTTTCTATAATTTCCAGAAGGATCATAAATAGCTTCTAAAAGGGGCCATATATCTGGTTCATTATCGATCAAATAGTGCGTCACGTATTGAGATCCAGACTTTTGTTTTTCAGTACATCTCGCACAATCATTTTCTAGAGCATCTGGTAATGTACCTATAATAAGTATTATTATTATAATAATTAAAGTTTTATTTCAAAACAAGATGAACAATTGTAAATAGCAGAAAATAGAAATCAATAGTAAAGATACGAAATATTTTGTATTTTTCGGCAATGCTAACGATTTTGTATCCTTCCTTAAAATCTTATTGTTAGTCAACATATTGATTTCTTTGCAGTTATACAAAAATATTATTTTGACATTTAAACAATAAAACTTTCTAAAATATCTATTCTAAATAATTTTCAGAATTAAAATTAAAATTAAAAAAATATTTCAAACATTTCTCGCTCGCATGTTGAAGGTTGCGCGTACGGCAAGCATTTGAACTAATTGTGAGTAAAATGTACTAACAAAAATAATGTCATTTTTTAGGTATTCATTTTTTACTGAATTTTTTCAATAATAAAGTTTTCAAGTATTATACCATTTTACAATCCTGATTAAATGCGCCAACTTTTGATGAATTTTGCCAGCACACTAATAGTACATTTTATTAAAGATGGCTCTCTCAAAATCGACCGATTTTAAACATTTTCATAATTCATAATTCAACAGAAAGTCTTTATTCTTGAAAACCAGCGGCAATTGTGTTAATATTTTATTTGTGGCTCTAGAAATGTTATTCACGGTTACGGTTCCAAAGTTTAAATGAACAAAATTAATAAAAATTAACCACAACCGAAAAATGATCATAATTCCGACAAAACTCTAGGTTCCACTTAATAGATCGTAATTTCTAAACATGAAAAAAAAAATTCTAATTTTTTTCAGGCAAATCTATCACCTCGTTTCGGCTTGACGTCAAGGCTTGAGACACCCTGTATACTACACTGTATCTTTTCCAATTTTGGCGTCAAGCGATTCACAATGAATTGAAACGTCGAGAAAACATAAAATTGGTCAATCAAATATTCTGGCAAAAACATAAACATTTCATTCGAAAAGATGATAAAAATTCTTTACAAAGGAGCTCAAAAGATAGTTTTAACTTACGTTTCAACTCTGCAGCATCATTTGTGCATGGTCCTTTACTAATTAAACATTTAACATAAGCATCCAGCAAACGTTTGTTATGTAGAACTTCATCTAAATTTATGTTATCATATTTTGAGGTATATTTTTTTGATTTTTGATCAATATCACAAGCAGCAAGCTCGCATAGAATAATGATTGTGAAAACTTTCAGCAGCATTTTTGACCTAAAATTAAATAAGAGAAAAGCAACGGTTAAGAATTATTGCGGCATTTTTTGTTGTGGCACTGTTCGGAACAAAAGTCCTAAAATGTTCATCGAACTGAGTGCTGGTAAAAGTTTTGGGATGGATTCAAAGTATTTTTTTGAAAATATTTTAGTATTTTTTCAGTTTTAGCTAGATTGATTCACGCAAATGATACAGTAGATTTTATTCTATTACAAAATGTGCCTATAAAGACAGTAAAAAACTGTGTAATAGTATTTTCTGAGAAAATTGCGTCGAACATACATACACTTAAGAGATTGTTTTACAATGGTTACATAACCGACAAAATTGATAAATAATTCGCGATGTTAAAATAATAAATAATAATTGGCAAAATATTTAACTTCAAATACACTGTGAAAGCGTGCTCGATACATGTTTGTAAAAATCTCGAACCTTTTTTTTACAGTTAGTACACTATGTTCTAATAGCACCGAAAAACTAAATATGTTGGTTAATAAAAATGTATTTTATATATAATTTAATAAAAGACAAAAATTGCTGTAACAATTTTTTGTTAAATCGCCATTGCGTGTATATCTTCAATATTATTTAATAGACAGTACAGAACCGAATTTTGTGCCATATTAATACATTTCACTTCAAGTCTCATTAAATAAGCTTACGCATATTAATGCGTACGTTACGAGCAAACTATATATTTCTCCAAACATTCACAATATATATAAATTTTCAATTATATAATATGAACATGCTAATTATCCAATCTTTTACTATTGAATAAGTGATATTATTTTTGATCAAACATATCTATTTTATGAATATGCACATTCTTAATTAAGAACTCTATCTAAAAATATAAACAAAATGAACTTCACAATAATGTTTGGTTTTAGCAATTTAATTTTTATTTTTAGCAAATTCAAAGTACGTTCAATGCTAACTTTCAAATAGAATATAATTGCGAAAAGATTAAGGATATGATGATAAGTCTCATTACTATAGATTACTTGTGCGTGAAACTCAAGGTAATCTATAACAAGATGACATAAGCAAATAGCAATCTTTTCGGTCCACCATTTATATGGTATATCATAAATTATTTAAAACACAATTGAGCAAAAGTTGATTTTTTTAATTTGTTTATTTAAATTAAAAAATGTGAAAGACTGGTGAAATTATGATACATACAATGTATATTCCTATAAATATTTTAATTAAGCATTATTCCATGATTTTTTATCAGGAGTAAATCCTATTAAATTATTGTAAAATTAAATATCATATTTGATTTAATTACATGATTGATTATTGAAAGAAAACTTTAAAATAATTAAATAAATAAAAAATGTAATTAGATAAGGTATGTAATTGTAATTTAGTATAATATATTGTCAAAGGACATTTTCTTAAATAATATGCATGCTTTATTGCATTTTTATATTTTACATTTGCCAACATTTATTTTTTTCATAATTGTGGGTTTTCATTTCTGTTAATGGTACTAATTAAGTAAGTTGTAATGTTGGAATTGACAGAATAATCATATATATCGTCATATTCTAATAATACATATTGTCTAGGAAAGTAATATTGCCGCCAATACTGATACTTTTATCTATGATTACCGCCAATTTCTTCAATCCGACTGATTAGAACGAACTTCAGTCGTTTGAATCAGTTTGCGCAGGCGCGGTCGTCAGATAAGTTCTCTGTTTGTGTTCGGATGTGCATGTCGGTTCAGAATACGAATTAAGTGAATATCAACCAAACTTAAATTAATTCGCGTAATAAACATGTATTATAATACTGTTTTTCTTGTAAGCTTAGTTCACTACCACGGGTTGTGGTTACTAATTAATAGGAATCACCCGACCAAGGATCAAGGTCCTTGGCTAGCCAATTTATTGTTTTGGACAACTACGCTGGTCGTCGTTTTTGACGCAAAACTTTATCCGGAAGCTTTCAGGATTCTCGGGTTCGTTCCCCTCCTAATGTATGAGTTTGTTCTTGTTAAATTGATCGTCGAAGTGACGGAGAGCTTAATATGGGGCTCCATAGTTCACTTCAGCTTCGACGTATTACCCGATCTCCTGGACATGATACCCCTTGCAGACGAGATTTGTATATCTCAAGTGCTATATGGCGGACGTTGCGTGCGGCGGATATATGACGTTCTAGGAGGATCTATTTTGTCGGACACCATCGTCTATTTACTGGTCTTATTATACTTCGTACTTGGACTGGTATTACGAGCTTATGCATCGGGAATTCTTAACAAAGCACGAGTCGCTGTTCGGGCTATCATCAGAGCCGCGAACAAAATCATTTTGGCGCCCATCAATTTTGGATTAGCGATGTTCGGACCGAGAGAAGATAACAACATTAACCCAAATTAACTACTAGAATAAGTTTAATTATTACTATATTAAGGTGTTTCTTGAATGTTTTGTTCACCACAAAGTATTTTAATTATATGAAAATAAAAAATTGATAGCTGTCTGTCGAGCACATTTTAATCAATATTTGTCCGTATATTTACAATTTGAGATTTTCAATTGAAAGATATAAAAATGTGGTTGCGGACATCTATTAAAAAAATACGTTTTCTTGTATTAATAAAGGTTAGAATGCATACTATTTGTTAATCACAATAAGTTAGAAATAATTCTTATATAATTTATAATTTTTTTTTTACTGAACTGTTACGTATACAAACAATAATTTTATTTTATTTTAATGCTTTATAGATTTGTGTGAAAGTGAATTTATTGATTCACAAATTGTTTAAACTGCAATAAAGTGATTATATATATATATATATATATATATTAATGATTCAAATAAATGATTCTGATTCAATTATTAATTAATTTTATTATAATTATAATTGCATTCCATTTGTCTGACAGGATAACATGAAACTGTGCGACCTAAATTATTTTCATACATAACAGATTCTTATCCTTACAATAACGATCATATTCTTAATAATTTGTGCTGCATAACATTTATCTTATTATATTGTCTAAAATTTCAGACAGAGAAGTAAGGGGAGTAAGTATACTTATATATATATCAGATTTCTTCCATACGTAACTGTTACTCAAAAATATGAATACATCATATTCTAATATTCTTTAGGCCTAAAACCATAGATAAAAGAAGAGTATAAGCCTAAAACCAAAACCAAAAAACAAAAAACTTAGGCAATAGCACACTACATCGTTTTTATCGTTTAAATTTTCATCGGCAATTTTTTGTTACACTTGCATCGATAATTATTTAATTTATGAGTAAATATATTTGATATGAGCAATTAATGTAATTAAAATTATTTTTGTGTATTATAATTAATTAAAGTAATTCTTCATAATAAATATAAAATCAATTTATAATTCTTTGATATCTGGACTATTTTGACTAGACTTTTTAGTGTGCGTTGATTCTCTAAAAAACATAAAAATTCTTTTATTATATGCGTGAATGTCTCAATTCAGTTATTTCATATTTATTCCGTTGATAATGTGAATAATCCCTGCTCGAGCCTAACATTAAACAACAATTGATGTTTTCCTGATATATCGATAACGCGGTGGGTTTAAGACTATCGATTTGACGACATGTTTGAGTTTGACTCAGTCAGTCAAGCATCCATGTTTTATTCTGTATATATGTTTGTGATGGCAATTGTTTATTGATATGAAATTAAATTAATATTTCGATAAAACATTCGTTATTATTAGAATATTTGTTCTAGATAAGTTAAATTATTTTAAGGGGTCTTAAGTATTTGTTTTATTTGTTCGTTTAATTGTGATGTAGAATTGTGAGAATTACAATATAATATATTAAAAATGTTTCGGCAAGACAATTCAAAAGCTTTTATGAAAGACCCTCATACTGCGAATTGTAGGATTTATATTGGAAATATAAACGAGCATGTGAATTCTCAAGAAATAGAAACACATTTCGCAAAATATGGAAAAATTCTCGGCGTTTTGCTACACAAGGGATTTGGCTTTATCCAATTCGAAAAGGAACAATCTGTCAATGAAGCCATCAAAATGGAACATCAAAATATGTTTCATGGCCGAAACATGATTGTGAGACGAGCGCAAAGCAATGTAGGAGGAGCAGGTGGTAACTCTGCAGGCCCTGCTAACGCAGGTTCTCTCACGAATCGTGATTCGGGACCGTTTCCAAGTCACTCAGCACATGAGGGTGCAAGACCAGGTCCTGGTCCCGGGCCTGGTCGTCTTGTTGACACTCCGCAATTTGCAGGCGGAGGTGGTTTTGGGGACTCCAGAGGCCGTGGGCGTCGTGGTGGAGGTAATTTCAATCATTCTCAGTCTCTTTGCACTTATGAGCAGCTGCAAGCAATGTTAGCATAAATTTGAACTTAAGTTTGAAAATTTGATTACAAAATACACATTATAAATATATTATTATTTTATTTAGAGAATAATGTAATTCAATCTTAATGTTTTAATATTTATCCATAGAAATCAATCTGATGATTTAATTTATAATTTTTAGATGCTAGACCTCTTGCAAATAGGGGTATGATGCCAAATCCCCAAGGTTCAATGCTAGGAAGAGGCAATCCAGTTCGAGATAGATCGCCAATGGAACCTCGAAGTAGGTGCTTAAATAATGTTATATTTAATAACTTATTTATATAATGAATTTTTTTACAGATGTTTATGCTTCAATGAATTCCACAAACACTCCAATCAAACATCCTGAGCACAGAGAGGATGGAGACCGAAACGATTGTGAAATTATAGTACTATCAAAAGCACTCACGTATGTTGACATTGTTATGGATTATTGTAATGTTACTCATTCTTATACAACATGCTGTGTGTGAATTATTACTTTTTCTAAAAATGGTGCTAAAATTACTAAAATTACTAGACATGTATTTTTTATTGACCATGACTTGTGACATGGTGTGTTCTAGTGAATCATTACCTTCTAATGATAATTTCATATATTTATCAGATTCGAGACTTATTCGGTGATGTTATTTTAACTATTATGTGTTTAATTTAATGAAATATGTGGATATTATTTGCTTTGTGTGTAGCATGTTATAAATGTCAAAATTGTTCAATGCTATAATATATTGTATAGAAATATTTCTCAAAATCTGGTTTCATAGAAATTTATTTCTAAATTTTAGTAAATATGCAGAATTTATAGAAGATAAATTGCTTGCTATAGGATTAACTGTGGATTTATTGTATCCTAATGAAGATGTGCCAATACGTCGTGTTTTGGCAAACATTTGCAGTCGAGGTTGCATGTATGCAATTCTAGTCTTGCCTCAAAATCAAGAAAACCATAGTTTAACTTTAAATATTCTACATGGATCACAACAAGGTGAGTCCTTATTATATATTTGTTAATAAAGTTGCACATGATTATACCAAATTATTTTATACTTTGATACTATTATTAGGAGAAGAACAGACAAAATGACATGGTGTTTTGTTTTTTAACGATATTTATTTATTTAATGATATTATAATCAGTCTCAATCATTTTTACTCATCTTATGTTCATTGACTATCAGCAACATGGTCTCATAATTAAGTATGAGCTATAATAAAGTATTTATTATGAAATAATGCAACTAATTACAAATATCATTTTGTTCGTATAGTACGGCCCAAAGTAAACAAGTTATACACATTATGACCAACCTTTGCAGGGCTCAGAACAGGAAAAGAGGGTTGTGCAATAAATGCAAATCTCTTTTTTTACTGGTAGATTTTTTGGTCTGTTAGAAGTAGCTAGAGTAAAAGTTAAAAGCCAATCACTTTTTACTACAGGTTACGACTCTTTTTTTTCCTGGCCTCAAATGAACTACCATGTAGTTGTTGCAAAATTGCACTGTCATTTTGTTCGAAAGTAAAATAAAGAATGTAAACAAATAAATAAAGAATGAAAACTCCATCAAACACCAAATAATTGCCATAAAATTACTGGTACTGGCATAAGTTTTTTTAATTTGATACAATTAACTACAAATAATAATAAATAGGTCCTCAAAAAATATGTGAAAACCAACCCTAAAATAAACTTTTGAAGGCACCTATCAGGTTTGCGCTGATTATTGCAACAATTACACTCAACATCTAACAGGAATGTGATTAAGTGTATCGTCACGTTGTCACAGAAACATTATTAAACATAGCCAATATTTAAAAACCAGCTTTATCATTAAGTCTACATATCATATTTTATCCGTACTTGCCCTACATTAATTTTAGCATGAGCATAATTTTATTACTATTAAAAATGTGCATTTTCAACTTATAAATTGGTTTATTTACAGAACATCGAAACATTTTACTGTCTGATGCCGTTACATTACTAAAAAATGATTTTGAATCTATGCGCAGAGGTGCACCACGAATTCAAAACCTCTGTAATGTTCCATTTGCTAAAGACAGACATCCTGATAGTATACATACATTGATAAGCATACTTAATAACAATAGAATGCTGACAGTTCTTCAATATGATAAGCTAATAAGGTAATTATTAATATATGAATTACCATTGTTATTAATATATGAGTTACCATTTACTAATTCCAATTTACTTATTTTTATTTCGATAAAATTATAAATAAAATTCTAAAATTTGTCATAACATTTATAAACATGTTTATTAAATTAGTGTTTATGAAATCATAAAATTAGTTTGGATTATTTGGATTATTTTCCAATCATGATATTGATTGAACTCAGAGTCTTTATACTGCTAATGAATTCAGTGTTTGAAAGAATAAATCAAAGTAACAATCTGAAATTAAAATTTTGTCAAATTTGCACTCTTCCTTTGTTGTTTAATTACTAGCACATATATGGTTAATTAGTAAAACCATTGCTTAGCTTAATTCTGATCATTTAGTGTTTCAAGTATTTCAAATTTATGAGCTATAATTTTTTATGCAATTATACTCTTGCCAATAGATACCTTCAGGATCGCAGAGAAGAACAAGTAAAAATTGAGTTGGGTGACTGCAACGATATGCCTTTGGAAACGACACAAACTAAAACTCAGCAAGAACTGCAACAAAGAATTTTAAGTATATTAAATAAGCCAGATACAATTTCTAAACCAAATATTCCAGATGTTTCTGGTACACCACAATGGTCTTCTCCACAAGCACCTCATTCAAAACCACCTAATACACCTTTATTATATGACCCCACTGTACAAAAGGCTCTTGATAGTCTTATGCAAGGCAACTTACTCCAAAATATTGGGGTTAATAGATTTTGTTAATGACTTCTTGAAAAAAAAAAATTTTTTTACTGTTATGAAATGTAATTTTATTTATCTGATACAAGAACATATTATTAGATTTTATTTATGTAAATGTTTTTGAAATTACTAGATAATAATAGTAGCAATAATAATAGTATATGATTTTGCTATAGCATTAGTTTTAAATTGAAGTATTTTGTATATATTATACAATGTTTTCTGAATAGATGCAACTTTAAGTATAATTTTTTTTTTATTTATTCCAGTTTCGTTTAATAATGGTTCACTTGGTTAATATGTTTTACATGATTTAATTTAATTGAAGTATTAATTGATTGACATATAATTCAAGTTTTTGATTGAAAATGTTGAATATTCATATATATTATTCATTTAAGCTAATTTTTCTATTTTTCATAACAAAATTACTTTTATGACCATTATTATATGCTATCTCTTATTTTAATCATGAATATTTTAATTTTTTTGTACTAATAATGAAATTTTGTTATATCTTAACTTTAGTGTACTCAAGTACCAAGAAAATTATTATGAATTAATCATGTTCAAAACAACAGTATGATTTTAAACAGCCCTTTTAAAAAAGATCAGGAGCAAGTTAGTAACACTGAGTTTTCATTTTCTTTTCTAGTTATAACAAACTTTTGTTAGTGTAATAAAGGTTATGCATTTATTTGTTTATATTTGAACTTACATGATTGATATTAGATCATCAAAAATAAAAAGTGTATTAGTTTACTGTTTAAACAAAATGCTTAAGAATCATAACCCTTTTATTTAGATATAAAGAACATTGAACTAAATTCTATCGCTAAAATTTTATTTCAATTTGATAATATTTATGATGATATGATGATATTATGATTATAATTATGATAGTTCTTTTTAAACCTGTGCAAAGGCCAAGTATCAGTAAATTACATTTTACAATAAAGATGCCAAAAGAAAAATTCAATTTACGTAGCTTTGAATGTTTTGGTTGATATATCAATAAAAATTATACTTAAAGGTTGTCAAATATCTCCCTTCCGCCTTTTTGTATTATAAACCAAGAGCAAAAAAGCGGAAGGGAGATATTTGACAACCTAATTACATTAATATATTTACAGATTTACCAACTAATAAAAATAATCGTCGTGTGTGGTTACCTGAGCGAGCTATTTTGATTGACATAGTCAAATTTTGGCTTATACACATGCATTTTTTCTTCATTTTTATCGCTTAAGATTAAGAATGACTAGATACGTCGAGAAAACACAAACTTATAGCAAATCGAATTTTCTGGAGAAGACAAACTTATATTAAAATATTTATTGAGTAATTTAACTTATTTCAGTTTCATGTTCTTCATTTTGTTTGATTGAATTGCACTTATGTGGATGAAAAGTTAGCTACTACCTGCTAATGAGTTGGTTAATCATATTAACTAATTTGCGAGTACATACCAATTAAAAAGTAAATAGTCGACATATAAACACAACACAATATATAAATATATATTGATTATTTTGTATTTAGCAAAAAATATTGATGTGGGTAAAGATCTTATATAATATAATATTAAAGATTATTATATAATAATCATCAAATCTCGCTTGAAATTTAGGATTATACATCCAGATGGCCAGCGGAAACACTTTGATATCATAATGTAAGTTATTATGCTCTGATGTAAATATTGCATGAATGCTAATGTAAATTGTCAGTTAGTCAATTAAGATAAGTAAATAAAAATAATTTTCAAAACATTGACACAATCTTAGAAAAACATCTAGTCTTTTAATTTTAATTTATGCATAACATATGTTATTAATTTTTTTCTGGATTGTTAATAATTTTTTTAAGAGTACTTTTATTTTTAAATAAATGTAAGTTTTTAAATATTTTGAATAAAATTCAAAGATTTCAATTTTTTATTTAAAGAAGAATATTTTTTACTGACTATATTTTAAATCTCTGCATATTACCAATGTTTAATTTGTTATTAAACTATATATATATATATATATATATATATATATATATATATATCTACATCTACATATATCTACATATATATAAAAATAAGTCGGGTTTTCCTTCCTGACGATTTAACTCCAGAACGCACGAGCCGATTTCGACAATTTTTGGTCTCGGGCTCCGCAAGGTTTATAGCAAGGTTTATACTCTTCTTTTATCTATGGTTTATAGCTAAGAAAATTAGTGGTGCATGGCATCGCGCCTATATGCAAATTGCTGGAACTTCACGCACCGTAATTAAAAATTCGAGTTATGACATTAGTGAGAATTATCAGAATTATGCTTGGTTAAGTCAACGAGCAATTCTTGCCGCAAAGAATAATGATGTACACGCACTGAATTTCACTGTTCAATTAAAAATTGCTGGCGATTTGGTGACATACCAAATTCCGACTGGTCTTCCGTTTGACTTCAAACGATTGCATTGAGTTCGTTCCATCCGAGCCAATCTGACAGTCCGGAACTGTCCGCGCATGCGCAGAACGCTTTTTTCTGTTCCATCCAAAATTTCGGATTTCAAACTGTTGCGGATTGTCAGTAATGCGTTCCATCAAGTCCGATGAGTTTGTACCCGGCACAAACAAAAACTCCGCAATTTAATACGATTAAAATATAATGTTATTTAATCTCAAATAGAACATTAAAAATTTAATGAATTTACAGGAGTCCAAATATTGTAGAATATTAGATTAAAAGCGACATAACGATATATAACTAGGAAATATTAAAAAGCAAATTCATTGATAATTAAGTTATATTTTATTAGAATATGTCTAATATATACATATATATATATATATATATATATATATATATGTAATAAAATAATAATTATTATTATTATCGAGTGAGCTCCGAGTTCGAACGCGTTGGATGTATCCAAACCAAACCATTGCCAACTGCCATAAAAAAATCAGTAAGAGTTTGGTCTAGTTTGAAACAGTTTCGGACTGTCAGATTGGCTCGGATGGAACGAACCCATTTAGTTCGCCTTGCGCTCGCAATAACAAGTTGCAAGGCCAATCGCTTATTAGTGTTTGCGGGATAAATTCCAAATAGATTAATTTAGAAAATCATTGTTTTTCACATGGGCAGTTATACGTTGCCTGTTCACGAGTTGGAAAACCATCCGCTTTGTTTGTATTAACGTTAGACCAAAAAACAAAACATGGTTTACCAAAGAGCACTTCAATGAAACGGATAATTTGCGGATTCACTTTCATTTACTTAGAGAAGTTCAACTAAAAAACACTTCATTTTTGTAATCGAAATAAATGCATTACTGTTGTGTAATAAAATCAAAATTTTCCTTTTCAAATATAAAACAAACAAAAAATTTTTTCATCTTTTTCACGAAACCATCTGGTGGCGAAACGCAGTTCGTCGGGTTTGCTAGTATATATATATATATATATATATATATATATAGCTAACAGCCTTTATTTGCAAAATAACAGAGAATCAAATGTTTCAAATAATTAAAATATAATACAAGTTATAGCCCGACTTGTGTAATCGACTTAATCGTAATAATAAAGAAATTTATTGATTTATAATTGATTTATAAGCTTGTCGAGTTGCTGTAGGGCTTATAATGTGAGAAACTATTGCAGATTATTAAATTCTGTACCATTTTTTTTATTACACATGATTGAAAATCGAACACGTGCTCAATACAACTCGAAGTATTTTCTAAAAGCGCAACCGAATAATTCAAATTTTGATAAAAACCACCGCTTTTCTTATACGGAAATGGAATTTGTAAAAAAGTTAAAATATTTTTTAACTTCCCGTAGGGCAAGTTTTAGTAATCCCAAAAAAATCGAAAATGAAATTTTTTATATATCTTTACGTTTTAGAGGTTTCTGAACATTTTTGGCATACCTTAAAAAATGGATGTATACATGTAAGTTTATGCTTACTTATCTATGGTATGTATGTGTGCGGATACAAATTTTTGTCGACGATTTCGGAAACACGGTTCAACCGATTCCAATTATTCAAAGAACCATTCGATTCCTATTAATAAGCAGACGTGCTGATTAGTTTTTGGCATAGCCGTTTCGAAGATACGTGGCAAAAAGTGTCAAAAACGGTAACTCAGTTTTTAAGAGAAAGGAGCGTCCGATTTTAATAATTCAAAAAACATTTTATACTTGTATTGACAAGATGAAGAACTGATTAAATTTTTGGGAAGGCAGGTCCAGCGGTTATGGACTCTCGGTTTGGCGGTCAAAAATGTTTATTAGACATATGTACATCAAATGATCAGATATAGAGATTTTAATATAATGTGTACACATTTTGTGTAATTTTTTTTTTGAGTTCCGTACCAAGATTTTTAATTACGGTACGGGAAGTTTCAGCAATTTGCCTTAAGGCACAGTCATAAGCATCATTCGAAAGCCTATACATTTTTCTTGTACTATTCAAAATTTAGTTCACATTCAGAAGCGTTTGTAAGAAATTATTAATCCGTGTCGAGACCCACACTATTATCTATCTCTACATATACAAGCTGCGCCATATCGTGCATATGAATATTTTTGGGATGGGGAGGGGGAACAAGGGAATAAACACATGTTAACTTATATGACTTATGCCATACGTCAGTCAGTCCATTCCGGCTCTAAGTTCTGCAATGTTTTTTATTTATATTATTGTTAAAATTTTGAACTTTGTAGATATCGGCAATAATTCATAATAAATTACGTCACGTGTTATGTGAAGTAATAAATCAAATGTACTGAGCCGAGGTATTTAAAATAATGTTTTAATTTGCCAATTTAAGCGATACCATTTCGAGTAACTCATTTTTAATTATAGATTTCAATCATAGTTTACTTTGTTGATCCAATTAATCAAATTGTGCAAAAATGTCTGCAGAACAACGAGGAATTCCGAATTATGTTAAATTCGTTTTTGGAGGATCAGCCGGGTAATTAGTTTCTAGTTGAGGAGTTATTATTGATAAGTAATTAATTTGGTGTATATAACTTGAAATTCATTGACATTTTATTTTAACGGATCCATAACCTTTACATGACATCATTATTAGATAAACTTGGTTTGATAACTAATCTATATATTCTTTAACTTATGTAACCCATAACTCTCATTAGATATTAAAATCGTTAAATTGAAGGTTTTACTCTAATAATATTTATTTTAATATAAATTGATATTACAATTGTAACAAATTTTATAAAACACGAACACCCATTTCAACGAAGTAGTTCCATACATTTAGGAACTACTTCGTTGAAGTAGTAATAATATGAATAAAGTTTCTAAGCTATTCTATTCTACTATTTTAACTTCTTAACTTAATGAATGTTGCGAAACTTTATATTAATTATTTGATGCTTCAAAACACATCACTAAAATGCTATTCTTTGATAAATCCTTAAATAGAGGGTATTATGGAAAAATGTTGTTCACATGTTTTATGGAATTCAAGTAGTTTTGAATATTTTACAAATATATTGTATTGTAAGACACAGAAGTGTATTAAATTTACTGTGCAAATTATGTATAAGCGAGCAAAATGCATTGTTTCGTAGTTTTGATAATTCACTTTCATATATTATTGAGCTGCATGTGATGAAAAATGATCAATAAGATAAATCACTTATATAAATTCTTCTTTATAGTATCAACACATAGTTTTATTCTTAGGATAAAAAACTTTATATATATATATATATATATATATATATATATATATATTTGATTACTCTTTTTCTTTCTTGGAGTTATAAATAGAAATCCTTCAATTATAAATATAGTTCTGTGAAAATATAAAGTATTATAGAAAATATCTAGTTTTAAAAAATGTTGAGATTGAGTTTTTTTATATTTCATGTTTAATAAACATTTTATACAAATATTTAAATGCAAATTAATAGATTTTTTTGGAATATCTATAATTCTCAGATAAAATATCAATAAATTCAATGTTTCAATATTATGTATTTCAAGAAACATCAAAACTCCAATCATAATTTCGCACTAATTATTTCGAAACTTATAAGCTAGTATTTTGTTTTTGGAAAAATCTCAATATGTAAAATGCTTCTGTTTTCTTTTGAAACAAAAATATTATTTAATCGATTGCTCTTGCAATCTATTTAAGAGTCTATTTAATATGCAGCATAGACTATACATATCTATAAGTGATATTAACTATTTATCATAGTAATTATTTGCTTATTTTATTAGTTTTGATTTAAGTTTTGAAATATAATTTTGCTTATATTTTCAGAATATATTTACTTCCATCTTTAAAGGACTTTTACTTTGATATTGGGTATTTTATGGACCCTTTTTTTAGACTAAGCTATGTAGCTGTTAAAGTATTAAATAAACTTTTTTATTTTTAAACAACTCGTTTTTTCTATCAATTAAGTAAATATTTTTCTTAAGAAAAAAAATAATAAATTTTTATTGAATTATGATATATATATATATATATATATATATATATATATGAGTGAGTTCTTGAGGGCGATACATCAAACAAAGAAAAGCCAAAGATTTATAAAATAATCTTTATTTCTTTGGCTTTTCTTTGTTTGATGTATCGCCCTCAAGAACTCACTCATATATTTCAACATCAAAATTAACTACTAAATCATATATATATATATATATATATATATATATAATTTTAATGGTTAAATTTTTTTGACAAAATTAAAATTATGACGTCATTATATGAGATAACTACTGCAGTTAAATATTTATTAATTTTTTCCAAAATCTCATGTAGATAATATGCCTTTATACATTATCATACATCATTATTTTATACATCATATTAAAATAAATTCTGTCAAAGAGAATATTTTTATTATAATAATTTTAGGTTTGATATAAATGTTCACAAACCATAAAAATGATATTGATATAAAATTCATATTAATTCTCTAATATCATTTGTTTAATTAGTATGATGGCTACAGTATTTGTGCAGCCGCTTGATCTGATAAAAAATCGAATGCAGCTGAGTGGTGCAGCCGGAGGTAAACAATATAAGAGCACATTTGAATGTGCTTCAGCCATTGTAAAGACAGAAGGAATCACTGCTGTTTATGCTGGCCTTTCAGCTGGCTTGATGCGACAGGCTACATATACCACTGCACGTTTAGGAACTTACACGTGGTTAATGGACAACTATAGCACATTTACTAAGTAATTATTTCTGATTTGAGTTTCTGATAAAATGTTATGTAATTTAATGATTAAATTTTGTTCTGCATGTAGTTTTACAGTTCAAAACTATTAATATAATTATTTATCATTAAGTTATTATTTCTTTGAAATTTTACTCTGATATAATTGGTTTTTGTATTTAAACCATAGTTCAAAAGAAGCTAGTCCAGGATTTTTGATGAAAGCCTTGCTTGGTATGTGTGCTGGATGCGTTGGAGCTTTTATTGGTACTCCAGCTGAAGTTGCTCTGATTCGAATGACAGCTGATGGACGATTACCAGAATTGGAACGAAGAAATTATAAAAATGTTTTCGATGCTTTGTTTCGAATATTTAGAGAAGAAGGTAAAAATAAAATTTATAAACATATAAAGAGATTGCTTATCTCTCAAATAACCTATAATCAGAATTTAAAATTCAGAATAAAGGAAATAAATTATTAACTATAGCTGATTATAAAAATTATTATTTAATGTTGTATCTCTTAGGACTATTCACATTATGGAGGGGTGCTATTCCTACTATGAGTCGTGCAATGGTTGTCAATGCTGCACAACTCGCATCTTACTCTCAGGTAATGATCAAATCTATTTTTTTATGAACAATAACTTACTTACCATTTTTGTAATTCTATTTAGTTTTTTATTACAATTTTAGTTGAATATGTTATAATGTATGTTATTATTTCAGGCCAAAGAAGTTTTACTTTCAACAGGTTACTACTCTGAAGGAATATTTTTGCATTTTTCTGCTAGTATGATATCTGGTCTTGTTACAACTGCAGCTTCTATGCCTGTAGATATAGTAAAAACTCGAATTCAGAACATGAAAACAATTGATGGGAAGCCAGAATACAGTGGTGGATTGGATGTTTTAAATAAGGTATAAACATTTATTGATATCAACATATTTTGACAAGCTCCCGATAAATATATTTATATATATATTTATATATATATATATATATATATATATATATATATATATATATATATATATTATAGAATTTTGTGATATGAGTGGAACGAATTTTAAATGTTAAATAGTAACAATACAACACTCAGATTTTAAACACACACTTTATTTGGTAATTACAGACATTTTGAGACCATGGTTTATATAATTCATGTTTATATCATAAATAATATTAATTACAAGGGTGATTTTGTCATGCAAACTTAGACTTTTTCAAAATTACATTGTCTTTTTATATTCATGTCATGAAAACTCTTACAATAAAATCTAATTAAATTAGTATTTATATATAACGATTCAATTATAATAATTAGTTTTGGCTTACCAGTTGAGTTTATTGTTTATATTGCACTGATTTCAAGATTTGTAAAGGTAAAACAATGATTTTTGATTAATATACATGAAAAAGAATAATCCATGCTGTCATTTATGTGACGTAACGCATTATTCACTTTTCTGATCTTTTATTTGTCTTTTATAATGAAATTTAACTAATTTATTAATTCAATTCTGGGTGTTCATGCAGTGTACAAGTTTTACTCTATCAATGTTTTTCATAATTTTTACAAAATAAGCTTATTTTTTTATAAATTGTATAAAATAATTTTTTGAAAAAAAAAAGAAAATTATAATATTATAAAAATTAATATTGTTAATTTTAATTTTTTAGGTTGTGAAAAGGGAGGGATTCTTTGCACTTTGGAAAGGATTTCTACCATATTATGCTCGATTGGGACCACACACAGTTTTAACATTTATTTTCCTGGAACAACTTAATAAATGGTATAAAGGCTTAAAGTAAGCGCACTATTTTGTTATCTTAAAAATGATTCATTATATTTATGAAAGTTTATTGAAACTACTATAATTTTCAATTTTTTTAAGATATATTTTAAATGTGAATAACTTTAACTATATATGATTTCAAATAAGAGAAAGGGTATGTTCTCCGATTGAGCTTTAGAGCATTTTTTAAAAAATATTATCTGAACTAAAGTTTTATTATAAATATTTTTATATATGACACTATTCTAAATTTAACATTCATAGTACTTTTTATATTTTCATATAATGATAAAAATTTGTACTCAATGGTAATTGTACCATTTCTCTAAAGAATTTTAATTTTTACTACTGTTTTGAGAGCTCAAATGTAAACACATGTTTTCCTTTTAAGCGTGTATATGCTCATTTGTTAATCGTCTTTTATTATTTGGCAAATTATATGTGCAAGTAACAGCAATATTAATGAATTGTTGATAAAAACATAGTGAAAATTAATGAAAATATTGTATTTAATGTCTTATTACAAAATTAGATTTTATATATTAAATTTTATAAAAATGATTTGTATAATATTTGAGGTAACCAGCTATGTGTGATAAATGTTTAACACATGATAAATAAAAAACTCTTCTGGTAGCAGCAAATGTTTGCATGAGAAAATCTATGTACTAAAATTGGAACATATAAGTTTATTTGCTCATTTTAGTTAATTGGATATAAAACTAATGTATACCTTTATAGTCAATGGACTATATGAGCCATAGCTTACATTTTTTATGCAATATTTTAATTATTTTATTTTAATGTTTGTCACATTAAAAAGCTTTCATTTCATCCCAGTTTGTCATAAATGAATGACAATCTTCAATTTTTGTTTGATATTATATGATAACAAAGATTTCTGATGTTAAAAATCTCTTTTTGCATTTGATTTTATTTGCCTATATTTTATATGTTGATAATTGGTAATAACAATAATATCTTGATCACAATTAGCTGAGTTGATTTCATACTTTTTTTTTGTAAGTTTCTTCAATACAAGGCAGTTATAACTGGCAGTTAGCTGATTGTTTGGAATTCTATTTTTTTTTTTTAATTTACAATTACAATGAATCGTTGGTACGCTGCGCTCGGTATATTATAGTGCTCTCATATCTCTCAACTCGGAGTTTTTTTGTATCGGATTTTTTTTTTAAATGCGGTAATTTTGCTTTTAAATATAGTTAATGTATAGCCCGGCGGCATCCGAGTTGAAAGGGTCATTTTTTTTTTTAATGAACATTTACTACCAATATTTCAATTTTAGTAAAGTAATTGTTTACATGGGGGCACTATAATTCTACATTAAAGTTTTAAAATTAAATGGCATTAAAATTATCATTTATCTATGAATCACAATATCATTTTACAGCTATGTTTGGAAGTATTCTATCAGATTGTATTTATTTATTTTTTTGTTAATCTAACTTGCCGGTACATGAATGTTCATAAATTAAAATCGCATATTAATTTACTTACATTCATCTATATTTTGCATATTATATAAACATATAACATATAATAAATCATAGCTAAATGATCTCTTATATTTGCAAAAAAATGGTTCTAAACACTTTACACATATTATATATCAAAATGGTTTATAAATTTTTTATATAATTTTATAGATAATGATTTATAACACATCCGTTAACATAATTTTAAATGATCTATGCATTTTTAAATTAGAACTAAATTTTATGTGTATATGTATATATATGTATATATATATATATCAAATATTTTCATAAGTTTTAATTGATTTAAAATAGTTCTAAAAAATTTCAAGATGACATTGATATGAATTTGAAATTTTTATTCATGTTAGTAAACATATTTTACAAATATCGTATAGTATATTTAAATTATTATAATTGAATGTTTGTTCACATACATGTTGTTATTTTTGGAAATATATATTTTTATATGTACCATATTACATGCGTGTTTATGACTAAACAGATATTTGAATTTATAATGAGAAATTTATAGAAAACCAAATTCAAAAATGACGTGCATTTGGAATTAAAAGTAGAAAAAAGCAATTTTTCACTAAAATTTTACAATACACGAAAAAATGATCCGATATATTTTTGATGGGATAAAGGACATATCAAAATGGATAGCATATGGATAGCATTTTCAAACTCAGCGCCCCGAGATGTACCTGACTCGATCAAATCATGTTGGGAAAACCTAAGTAAAAATAAAATCGATAATAAAATTGCAAATATAAGTTTTATATTTTCGATGTTTTTTTACGACGAATCCTGTTTTCTACATGCTCGTGGTTTGCTTTTGCTTGCAATAATTTAGTCTGCGCACATTGCGAACAGATTCGCCGTACGGATTCGTGCAATGGAGCGAGCCATTTTCCTTATCTATGGTTACGTTGATACCATAAAGCCGGCAACAGCGCAACCTGTGACTTGCACATGTGTTCTGTAGCGTCTGTGGGGTGTTTTTTGCGCAACTTGACAGACTGGTGCAAGCGAGCAGACATGAGCACTTTTCGATTATTTTAATTGCGCAATCATTCAAGTCGGCAAGTACATTCGTTGGCCGCCTATGGCAGCACATGTCCCGTTTTTATTTTACTTATTTTACTTTATAGCGAAAGTGCGACCACACCTAGCGAACGAGCACGAAGAACATGGATTTTGACATGCGCGTGGTTCGCTTTTTTAGAAATTTTTAATCTGCGCATATTATTCATCATGTTCGTTCGTGTTCGTTCGCTAGGTGTGGCGCATTTTAATAAAAGTTTATGAAGTTATCGACAATTCAAAGTTATTAAATTAGCTCTCTGAACACTTTGAATTCGCTTCTAATGCTGCGAATATATAAATTAATAAAAAAGATATATTTTTAGGTTACGTTTTGACGTTTCTCAGTTGACATTTGTGATATGCTTGCGCAAATACTTGAACAAACTTGAGGCCTCTGTGGGCACTGTGAAAATACGCTTGGTTGCGCATTCATTCAATTACACATGCATACAGTTACGTCTGTGTCTGAGGATGTACCGCGAAACGTCAGATTTATTATTTAAAGTGGCAGAAAAGAGCAAAATTATTTAAAGTCATCAAATTTACAAAATTTGTCAATAACAGCAATATCTTATAATAAACACAACATAGACTAATGCAGGACTGCACATTATAACATCAAAAAAGGAAAATGTGTGTATACATTCGTGGTAGCGTCCACTCTGCACATACAAGTTAAAACATGAAAAACAATTTCCTTTGATGTACCGACAAGTTGCGGAACATTGCTAGCCATGTTTGTTTATGTTCGTTCGCGATCGTTGTGGCGCCACACTGTGCTGTTGCCGTTCGTTCTGGTACGTTCATTTATGTTCGTTTGTGTTCGTTCGTTAGGTGTGGATGCGCCTTCACTTGCAATAATTTAGTCTGCGAACAGATTCGCCGTACGGATTCGTGCAATGGAGCTTGCCATAGATAAAGAAGTACTTTCGCCCTGCACCGCTACGCGCTGACCACATTACAATAAATATCATGCGCTCTAATTTTATTATAATCAGTTATCTATGTTAAATATATTTCAAAATGGCTGCATTCGTTATACGATGACAAATTGATCTATGGTTAAATATGCCTAAAAATGGCCGAGTTTTGTAAATGAAAATAATTAATATTTGGTATTTTATTGTGCGTTGCGCGTGTTAAATGTAATTTGCTTAGTTTGAATAATCATGTTACAAATTAAGAAAATCAATACTGTTGTCAAGTGTGTGTTTGATGTACAACTCATTAAGATATCAAGTAAGTAATTATTGCAAATTTGTAAAAATGCTTCTAAGAACCATATGAATTTTTTACTTATTCACGTAACAGCTTTCAGTTGGTAGTTTTTCTATATTCTAATATATAGAGAATATTTTTTTTAACTGATGTTTATTTGGGAGGAGATTGAACAAATAATTTGAACTTTTCATTGGTTACAGGTAATTAAGGTGGTCGGCTGGTAGTAGCGCTATGTCGGAGAGTGCGAGTGTAGGCTTCCAAGGGGCGGTTTCTTCGGGAGCGACCTCCGAGACTTCGGAACACAGTCGCCGTATGCTGGAAGGTACGCGCATCAAAACACGTCAAAATTCATATATGCAATTTATTTTATAGTGCAAATTTTCTTAACCAGAGTCATAAATTTTAATTTAGTGTTTTTTACATGGGTCTTCAAAAGTGAAGTGATTAACCATCATTCGTGATTTTTGTTTTACTTTATTTCAAAGCTGGTGAAAGTGCAAATAGGGTTAATTAATCAGTGTTTCATGCCAGATATTATGTGATCAGATTCTATTAGAATGTTGAAAAAGTGGTTATTTTGTCAAAAGTTGGATATAAAATTTTCAATGAGGTCTATTATTATCATATTTGATGCATTTTTATGTCTTATGACTCTATTAAGTATATAAAAATATGTATATAATGACATTAACAGTATCTTTTTAATTTCATAGCGATTTAAAGTATTTTGATTGACATAAATATATATACATATGTTTATAAACTATTCTTTTTATTTATATGTAATTATACTCTCAATTTGCACATCCTGATTTTATGCGTTAATAGTTCTATAAATCACTCTGCAATCTCTCTATATAGTTGTCGCTCAGATTTTAAATAACAGAATAGTGAAATTGTATCAAATTGCATTCAATTAAGGGGAAGAGAACATTTCGATGCTTGTAAGTGATATGACAAAGGAAGATAATGTTGATATAGATAAAATGACAATCATGTACATAAAATGGTTGTTAATATAATGTTAATTCATTTTCACAATCATAAAATTTTAATACTATATTTGACCACTTTCTTACATTAAAGCTCAAATAATAACTATGACAAAACTGATGCTGTTACAACAGTTACATGCTTTTTATCAATTATTTTACTTTAATGCTAATTTTAATAATTTACCATACAAAAAAAATCTGTATGTTCATTTAAAATAGAGTTTATAGTACAAATCGGAAACAAATATTAGTTCATATTTTAAAATGTGGTATGTACTGAGGCCATTTATTCCTATTATTCCTCAATTATTAGTGTTAATAAATAAGTAGTTACTTGTTGCTTTATCGTCAACATAAGCTTTTCATTAATTTAATTGAAATTTTTATATTTAAAAATTATTTTAAGCATGTACAAGTATGTAATTTATTTATCAACACATTTTTATATTAGTAAAAGTTATAGGCTAAAAACAAATTGTTAAATGTTTTTTGTAGCTATCATAAATGTTGATAACTACATGTACAATGTATTTATTTTATTGAATATTATGGAGATTTTAAATGCAAGTGATGTTATTTAAAGTTTCAGTGTTGTGGTGATAATTGATTGTGATTTTAGAATTAGTGTTACATTTGAGCATTAAACTAAATTAATAGTGTACATAAAAAACTGGACATAGTGGGGTCTTGTTTCCATGATGGTGAGGCAGGCCTTGATTTGAAGATGCAAGAGTCAATTTTTATAATCTCGGTATGGCATGATAATACAGTGAATTGTACTCTATGGTTTCACCTATATATACTTAAATATCTATCTATCTATATATATATATATATATATATATATATATATATATATATGCATATAATATTTTTGTAAGATTCTTTTGTTCGGCTCTGAAACATATTCTTGATATGTTAGCAGTCAAGTTGTTGAAAATAAATATTTGTTTTTAACAAATTGGCTGCTAATATTTTTAATATATATATATATATATATATATATATATATATATATATAATTTGGTTAACGATTTTTTTTCACATAAATAATGCGCCAAATGCCATAATTTTGAATTTTGTCATAGCAATATTAATTTGTTACGTACGTTTATATGTCATATAAAGTGTGGGTTTCATGTCTATGTAGTCTATGATGCTTGTAAAAATTGTTTAAGCACTAACTTGTCTACACTAAGTTTATTCATATTAGATATCTCAAGCAAAATTGAATGTATAGTTATTGTGTAGTCTGTTGAGTCGAATGTCTATAATTCTGAATACTGCGTCTGTTGATGTTTAATTTTATTTTTTAATAATGTGGACTTTATGGTGATTATATAGCATTTGAAACGTTTACATTATTATGTTGTTATGTGAAAATATCATCAATTTATGATGCAAGACACAGTGCTGATATGGGTAGTGTCAAACGTGTGATCAAATAAGTTACTGGTTTAGCTGGGCATAATCTCGATAATTCCAATAATCATACATTCAATTTTTACTATGAACGAAATTAGACAGATTTTGAAGACAATTTTAATTTCCATTGACATTAAAGCTATCACAAGGTATGAACTTCTCACTTTGACATATGTACTCACTTTATGAATCAAAAAAATATGTTAAAATAAAAAGAATTATTATTACAATGATAATTTATTTTTTCACATAAAATGGTTCGGATATTGTTTTATGTTATCTATATATTAAGTGAATTGTTGTTCTTTTATATTACACTTGAAAATCAAAACTTTCTTTTAGTATATGTTAAATGGAGAAACATATGTTTTTGTTTTTCAACAAATTAATACAATAATATATTTTCCAATATCATTTAATTCAAGACTTATAGGGCTATGTAGATTAAAATAATTCTTTGCATTTTTACATTTAAGGATGAGAATATTTTGATATAGGACACCTACCTAAATCCACTGAATGCAATGTTTATTAAAATGAAATAACTAGGTTTATAACAGCATTGTATATTCACACAACATGAATTGTTTTTTTTCTTTTTATTAAGAATGGATATTTTATTGCAGCCTTGTCCAACATTTCTTTAATTTTAATCCCGATTTTTTTATATAGGGAAGTCAGTGCATTTAAGAAATTTTCTTAGAATGTTGTGTTACATTTATGAACTTTGATCACAATTTTTTCCATGATTCCTATTTAAAATTGGCAATTTAATAGGTTATGGGACTTTTTAGTACTGAAATAAAAAATTTCTCAAAATAAACTTTCTATAAAATATATTTTCATTAAAAAAAAATAATTTAATTGCGTGTGATTCAATTGTGTATAGAGGAAATACAGAATGAGAAAAAGTGTTTATTTTTTCATAATGAAAATATTATTTTACTCATAGTTTCATTTATAAGATGCTATAACCAGGAATATTATTACCCTATTTTTTTTTTAAAAAATATTTAGGAGTTTGTGAAATGGTTACCAAGCAATTCTTAAAATTAAAATATATGTTCATAGTGTTTGAAATATCTCAAATATTTTTAAAAGTTTTGAGTTCTCAAATTTTAATTCAAATGTACCTAAGAGCTTGAAGTATAGATTATTGTTTCTATTTGCACTAATTTTATATTATCCTATTGAAGTTTTTACTATTTGAATCTGGATATAAAATGGATTGAACATGATTGAACCAGGTTAATCTACTTCATATAAAATATTATGAACATTGTATCTTTTGAAAATGTCATTGCCATTTAGTTAAACTATGGTTTAGTTTTTAGATTTGGTTGTTTTAATAATCTCAAGGATTATTTATATTTCATTGCTCTAATCAAAAAGGGTAAACGAATAAATAAAATTGAATGTTGAAATTATATTCTTTTTCTAAACGTTTTTTCTCTTAGTTTAGATTGTATAATCGTTTTGAGACATAGTTTTATAATTATCATAGTTTTTAAATTTTCGACCTTTTAGCTTTTTATGGCAATATAAGATTTCCAACGAGTAAATTTATATGAGATTATCGCTAAAATCGAATTGTAGAATTATTTCATTCTAGAGGTTAATTGAATATTTCTTACAAAAAAATATTGTTCATGACTCGAGTTATTATATAGTAATTAAATTTTTTTTTGTTAAGAAAAATGTTTTGTCTTATTTATAAAATTATATTAGATTAACAAATTTGGAACAGGTTTATAATTTTTTAATCTAATATATATATATATATATATATATATATATATATAATATGAATTCCAAATGACAATAAATTTAATGACTATATAGGGTTTAAGGCCTATCAAACCTGACTTATGGAGAATTATCATCATATTATAATCTTTTAATGTTAAAGTTAATTTATTGAACTAAGTTCTTTTTATTTTCAATTTCAGATGAAATAGCAGCTCTGAGGGATAATGAATCGAGGTTGAAACAACAACATTTAGAATCGCAGAAGCGAGAAAAAGTATTAGTTCGAAGGCTGGCTTCTAAAGAGCAGGAAATGCAAGTTCTACTGGTAAATTTTATTAATATTTTATGTTTTATAAATTTATTTTTTTCTATTTGTGTGATATTTGTTAGTACTCACATATTAACTGTTCACAAAAATCAAAAGACTTAAATCTGAAATTGATGAATGTAGTTGTTTTTTACTTAAATAGCTTTTTATTCTAATTTATCTTATGTAAACTAGTGTGCAGTATCGGAATTGGCTAAAAGATCGAAAACAGTTTTTTATATAATTTGATAAATTCAATTTATTGAAGCACTCCTTGGACAATTTTTTGATATATTGGCTATAAGAAAAGGATGCGTTATAAGAAACTAATTTATTTTTGAAAATTAATATTGAAAATAATTTCATATATGAAATTGAAAATTTTATCAAAGAATTTTTTTTCATTAATTTCATGTCTTTAATAGTGAAATTAGTTTATTTTTTGGTATTGATAGCATATTGCTATAATTGTTAATGCTGGCTCAGAGACCCAATGAAATTGTTACAAACAATAAGTACCGTAAATAAAATATACTATAGAATAATAATAGATTTTTATCATCGATATAGATTGGCCGATTTGCCATTAGCTTAATTTATTCATTCTTAGGGGCGCTAAGCTTTTGTAGCACATCAATTTACCACTATGGTATATTTTATTTAAGGTTTATATATATATATATATATATATATATATATATATATATATTCATCAAGTAAACCCGAATATTTTAAATATAGAATATATTTTCAACAAAATCATATACATGTTTTTACAATACCTATTAAAATTAATAATCAAATATTTTTAAATATTCTGAAGAACTATAAAAATATTTTGGAATTTGAAATATCTGTTTAATCAACAGGTGTGAACGTTTATTCCTTTAATTGACGAAATATAAAATTTATTGTCATATTTATTATTAACTCTCAAGTTTTCGGTTTTTTCTTTGGTCAACAACACCGCAAGAAATTGAGGAAGTAGATTGCCTAGTCGACTAAAAAAAGTCTACAACCCGACATTTATTAGTAAAATCTTACAAAATATTATGTTATTGATATTTATTTAGATATTTGCTGGTCGCCTGATTGTCCAGTAATAAATAAGGTGACCATACGTCCCGGTTTGGTCGGGACAGTCCCGAATTTGCACTTTGTATCCCGAATTTTCCTGAAAGCAATTTTTGTCCCGGATTGTTCAGGGTTTTCGAAAATTATAGGTCTAAATTGGTCTTTGCTCTTACTTTATAATACAATTACAACTACCCATTAAATATCTGAAAATGTTATGTATACTAGTATGCTTAATATGAGAAAGGCGGGTTAAAAAAACACTCTCACATTCATAATTTTGAAATTTATTGTCAATTTTACTAAAATTAACAAAAATTTAAAATTGAACTTTTTGACTGCCTGAAATAATGCAAATGAATGTGCTAATTATTTTTAAATAATTATGAAGAAAATTGAACAAAATTTTATAATAAATTTAGAAGCTGATATAAATCCAAAAATATAAGATAAAATATAACATATAATTGAATAATAAAGACAGCAATTCTGATTTAAAAAAAAATACTCATTTAAAAAAGACGGATTTTTATTGAATTATTAAATAGTATTTGTTATTTTAAAATTTCATATTACCTTTTTTATTTGGATACATAATTATAATGAAAGCAGCATGATATCATTTGATTTAAATTTAATTGCAGAGTCAGATCGCGGAACTAAAAGTCAATCAGGTACCCAGTGCAAGTGCGCTTCGATCCGCTTTGCTAGACCCAGCTGTAAACATAATACTTCAAAAATTAAAGTCTGAACTATCTGCTACAAAAGCAAGATTGGAAGAGACTCAGAATGAACTATCGGCGTGGAAATTCACACCTGACTCAAATACAGGCAAAAGACTCATGGCAAAGTGCCGTTTGCTTTATCAAGAAAATGAAGAATTGGGTAAAATGACTTCCAATGGGAGGTTAGCCAAGCTTGAAGGCGATCTTGCATTGCAAAAAAGCTTCAGTGATGAAGTGAAAAAATCCCAATCAGGTTAGTATCAGGTTTCAATTTTCAAATTTGAATTTTTCTAGATTTTGAAACAAAAATACTGATTCATATTCTTCAGTTAAATTCTGTAGTCACTGAATTTTTAGACCTCTCCGACTACTAATTCTTATTTTATAGCAATCAGACAAAATCTTCAATTTGCTTATCAGGGGGTTATTGAGAAAGTTTTTGGAAAAAAAAACAAGTTTCTCTGATTTGACTAATATTTAAAAAGATCATTTAATATGACTTTAATAAATTGTCACTGAATTTTTAGACCCCTTCGGCTACTAGTTTTTATTTTATAGCAATCAGACAAAATCTTCAATTTTTGCTACAGTGGGTATTGAAAAAAAGTTTGGGGAAAAAAAACAAGTTGTCTTGATTCGACTAATATTTAAAAAAAAGGTTATTTATTGTGACATAAAAACTGTGTGCCACGGAAACTGTCACTTATTATTAATAAAAAATTAGAAAATAATCAAATCAGAAACTTTGATTTATGAAAAAAAAAATTGTTTTTTTTGCTATATTTAGGTATAGTTCTAAATTTTACTTTAAAGAAATTGTGAATCTAAAAGCATACTGGTTTCAGAATTAGATGATTTTTTACAAGAATTGGATGAAGATGTAGAAGGAATGCAAAGTACAATATACTTCTTGCAGCAAGAGCTGCTAGCAACTAAAGAAATGGTTTCTTCCCTTGAAGCAGAAAATAAGAAACTCAAAGATTCCCAAAATTTACATAATCACTTAAACGGTGACACTAGCAAAGCCAAGCACGAAGTTGTTAGATTATCGACATCTGCTAAGGATTCTAGTGATTCTGAGCCTGAGTTGATCATAAAAGTTACTGAACAGGATCTGATGAAAACAATCAGTGATTTTGATGATGAACAAGAGAAGGATAATTGTGAAATTCGGACAAAAAGTGAACTGATCACAAGAACTAAAGATAACAATGGTGTTGGTAGCACTATTGTAGATAGGACTTCAAAAACAAATAGGTTGGAATTTAAAAAGAAACGTAATTATGACAGTGATTCAAGTGATTATAGCATTGAAAGGACAAAAGGTGTTAAAAAAGTTAGAAGGTCTTCTGTACTGTCATTGGACTACAATGACTTGGAAGATGATGCATTAGTGATATCAACAAATGGTGAAACAAACATTTCAGATGGAGAATGATTAAGTTACATCATGGCTTTTCAAATTATAGTTAATTAAAATACACAAATTTCTGAATTAATCTTAAATTTACTATGTGAACTTCATTATTTAACTCATATTGTTTTAATGAGCATTATATTTTAATTTTAACACAAAGTATACTACAAATACAAATTATGTTGAAATTTGTTATAATAGAATTAAGTTAATTGGTCTTAAATCAATTAATCAGTACATTAGATTATTATTACGTCCAAGTGTGAGAGCTAACTTAAAATTGCAGTTCATACTTGTCTATGATATCTTTTTTCATCACAAGTGGGTCCATGCCATTGATTGGAAAGTACTAAAATATAATTAGTTTGACATACATGGTTATATGCGAAAAAAAAACTTGTTTATAGAGCTTTAACAATTGTAAAACAATGTATATCTGATCTATAGTTCTTGTTATTTCTAAAATGTTGATTTATGTGTAAATATAATAATACACAATATGTATAAAATACCATAAACCTGTTGTAAACATTCATAATTTCTGTTTTAGCATGATTTCATATAGCATAACTAAACTGGCTTAAATTAAGGTTTATATTTTTCATCTCAGATATTTTGTGATTTTATATACGAGTACATTTCATTGAAATTTGAACAGTTTGATTTGAAATTTTTTCTTTATTCAAATGCAGAAATATTATGCTTCTTGATTTTTTTTTTGAATCAATATTCAATTATTTCAATAAAAGTATTTAAACTTAATTTTCAATGAGTGTTCCGTACTAGACTATGGAGTCATTTCAATATAAAAATTGTAATAATTGAACTTTACTTCAGGTTTTTGGAAATTCATAAAACAGAACATATAAATTAATCCAAAATAAAAAGTTTGGACCTAGTTTGAGTTTATGGTTGCTACTGTTTTACAATGTCTCTAATAACTTTGTGTGCTTTGACATATTCGGAGTGATAATTATTGTTCAAAAATGTTTTAGTAAACAAATATGAGAATGGATGTCTACAACAAAATGTAGCCACAAAATGCTAAAGTTTATGAAATATTTGATAATTTTACATGTTCAACATCAAAAGCTGATAGATAATTCTTCTGTAAAATAGAATATTATTTCATTTACATAATTGTATCTTATTTCTCTTATTTTATCATTTTCACTGAATGTTTTACATCATTTGCACAAACTATTTTCATATGTTCACAGTTTTGTATAAAATATCATTTATTGTAAATTATAAAATAGATAATGAAATAAAAAGTAATTTTGATTCAATTGTATTTAATTTTTTACTTATAGTAAATTTAAAATACAAATAAAAAAAAGAATAATCAAAAATTTAAATATTTATAATTATTTGAAATATTTTATTTTCTTTCATTATTAACTTTTTGTACAATTTGTGAAAATATACAAATTTTATCAATTGACAAAATTCAAATGAGCAATTTTCTTTTTTTGAATTGATAAGGCGTATATTTTTGTGAAGTTCTCTCGTTTAGGGATATTATTCTTATTTCATCTTTAACATAAAATGAGTTAGCAGCTGTATTATACTCGACTAGATAGTTTAACATCAATATTTTTATAACCGAGTTTCTGTTTTTGGTTATCAATTTATTACATCATAAATAGAATAAAAGCATTATTAGAATTTTTTTTGAAATTCTGATTTGAATTATTTAAGATTAAGTTTTTTGAATAAGTATATAAAATTATTTGGCAACGATTAAGCTTATAAAATTAATTCAATAAATCAAATTAAATCTATAAATAATTGATGTGGATAAATGGGATAAATGGTTGTTCAAAATAAGCATAGATTTGGAAAATTTATTAGCTAGAGGATTTCGGTTTATATCGTATTTTATCGCTTATTTATCTACAAGCCGAGTTTTTCGGCCAATTCCGCTATGTCGCCGCCATATGAATATATTATATATTTATTATTATATTATATTTAGAAATATATACACATATATATATATATATATATATATATATATATATATATTACTATTATTCTAATATGATTCTAATGAACCTAGATAAATAAGCTAATGAATCTAATAGTTTCTAGGGTCGCCGCCATGGGTCGCCATCGCCGCAAAGCGAACAGAGATCACAAAAACTTCACGCCACTCCGAGCAAAGTTACGATAAATTATCTATGGAAAACCGGCGATTTCTAATCTACACATAACACAATACACGTCAAAAACCATGGGCCCATAAATTTTAGCAATGATTTATTGTGATAATTAGCTTAAGATCGATATAAAATAAAATAAAATTCGTGAATACTGTGAAAGGTACATAGATAATTTTATGTGATAATTTATAATTTCATAGAAACCCAGTTAACAACAATGAACATTATATTAATATTATTGACACTTGTTAGTTTACATACTTGCAGTTGTGCAAAACCTAGCCGACCTCGCGGAGTTCCATTATCGAGAGCTTCGCTATACGCGAATGAAGCATCATTTACATGTTTAGATGGGGTTACGTCAATACCGTTTTCTCAAGTGAACGATGATTATTGTGACTGTGAAGACGGTAGCGATGAACCAGGGACTTCCGCATGCCCCAATGGCATCTTTTTTTGTAATAATGCGGGCTATAAGTCAATAGCGATTCCCTCATCTCGTGTTAATGATGGAATTTGTGATTGCTGTGATATGTCCGATGAATATAATAGCTCTGCAGTTTGTGTCAATACTTGCCATGAACTGGGTAGAGAAGCATTGAGAGAAGCCGAAAAGAGGGCCGAGTTGTCAAGACGAGGTAATCAACTTCGTAATGAATTAATTCAGAAAGGCAAATTATTTAAGAGTAAGCAACAAGAGAAACTGCAAATGCTCGAAAAGTCAATAGTCGAAGCAAATCAACTCAAGGAAGAACGATTGGCACTTAAAACTGAAGCTGAGCTCTTAGAAAGTTCTGCTTTACAGCAGTATCAAGTACAGGAGATCGAAGAAACTAAAGAAGCTGAAAATGATGAAAATGAACCATATGATATTTTTAACTTGATGGATACAAATAATAATCAAAAAGTTGAAGTAATAGAGTTACAGGCTCATTTGCCTTTGGATAGAAATAGTGATGGCATAGTATCTTTGGAAGAAGCAAAGTTTTTTTTAAATGACAAGGATGAAATGGACTTGGATACGTTTCTAGAGGAGGCATGGCCTAGAATTAAACCTTTTCATATGAAAAGTGCTGGACTTTTTAAACCACCTGAAAATGAAAATATTGATATTGAAGGAGAAGACAGCACTAATGATAATGAAGAGAAATTTGGGGATGATGATAAAAATGATGATGAACAGAATAAGCAAAATGAAGAGGCAACACAACCTACATATGATGAAGAGACTCAAAAATTAATAGACTTAGCTACTGAGGCTAGAAACAATTACAATAACGCAGAGCATGAAGTGCAATCCATAGAACGAGAAATATCTAATGTAAAAGAAATCCTAAACAAAGATTTTGGTCCCCAAGAAGAGTTTGCTACACTGAATGAAGAATGCTTCGAATTTGAGGATAGAGAATATATATACAAAATATGCCTTTTTGATAAAGTTACTCAAAAATCAAGGAATAGCGGATCAGAAACAAGATTAGGCACATGGAGTAATTGGTCTGGCACAGAAGGTAATAAATATTCTGCAATGTCTTACACTCAAGGGGCAGCATGCTGGAATGGCCCTCAGAGATCGACCACTGTAGATATTGTCTGCGGTCTTGAAACAAAGTTGGTCTCGGTGTCTGAACCTAATCGTTGTGAGTACAAATTTTTTATGGAATCACCAGCAGCATGCAGTTTTTCTGAGCGAAGCGAAGATACCAATGGACATGATGAATTATAAATCAATAGTATATGTATGTACGTCAGTTCTGGAAGACTGTTGCAATTTTTAATGTACATTCCTTCGTTCACTTTTGTAATCAATTATACAAATAAATTAATTTTACAAAACTTTATAAATGTTAAAATATTTTTTTTTGACCAATGTCTAGAATATACTCAATGAAGCACCCATGTAAATATATTCAAATCTGACCTTTATGAAATCTTTAGTAATATTTGTGTTAAATTTATATCAACAGGTTATTCAGTTATCACTTTTGTCTACTCTGCGCAAAAACAGATATCATACAGTGATATCAGCTTCTGCTTGAAAAATACAGATTAGATATATGTTTCCAATTTAAAATAGCCCATGTGGACACTTGTGTGTGAAATAAAAATCTTGCACTATTATTAACTGATTTTAGTTGAAGACAATTCAAACTTCAATACAGAGGTAATCAAAATATAATTGAAAGGTAGCAATTATTGATTTTAAAAGCATGCTCAGAGCTTTTGATACAAACGTATAAAGACTTGAATACAAGTGTTTGATTTCATTTTAATGTAATGGTTAATTAAATGTTTGAAGCACATTTACATTTTGTTGCAAATGTCTAAAACGCATGTAACTTGCAGTAATTTATCAAAATGTAAATGAATTTTTTTGACTTATAAATGTCAAATGTTATTTATATCTTCGTGATTTATAAATGGTTATAGAAGTATACATTTTACCTTAATTAATAAAAACAAAGTGTTATTTTTATGCTAGATGTCCACAACCACATTTTCATATCCATCGATCAAAAATCTCAAATTGTAAATATACGGACAAATATTGATTAAAATGTACTCGACAGACAGCTATCAATTTTTTATTTTCATATAATTAAAACACTTTGTGGTGAACAAAACATTCAAGAAACACCTTAATATAGTAATAATTAAACTTATTCTAGTAGTTAATTTGGGTTAATGTTGTTATCTTCTCTCGGTCCGAACATCGCTAATCCAAAATTGATGGGCGCCAAAATGATTTTGTTCGCGGCTCTGATGATAGCCCGAACAGCGACTCGTGCTTTGTTAAGAATTCCCGATGCATAAGCTCGGAATACCAGTCCAAGTACGAAGTATAATAAGACCAGTAAATAGACGATGGTGTCCGACAAAATAGATCCTCCTAGAACGTCATATATCCGCCGCACGCAACGTCCGCCATATAGCACTTGAGATATACAAATCTCGTCTGCAAGGGGTATCATGTCCAGGAGATCGGGTAATACGTCGAAGCTGAAGTGAACTATGGAGCCCCATATTAAGCTCTCCGTCACTTCGACGATCAATTTAACAAGAACAAACTCATACATTAAGAGGGGAACGAACCCGAGAATCCTGAACGCCTCCGGATAAAGTTTTGCGTCAAAAACGACGACCAGCGTAGCTGCCCAAAACCATAAATTGGCTAGCCAAGGACCTTGATCCTTGGTCGGGTGATTCCTATTTATTAGTAACCACAACCCTTGGTAGTGAACTAAGCTTACAAGAAAAACAGTATTATAATACATGTTTATTACGCGAATTAATTTAAATAAAACTAAAAGCTCTCACAAAATTGTGTTGAATTCTGCTCGAATATCACTCAATTCGTATTGTGTACTTTTTTCCGACTTGCACATCCGAACACAAAACGATCAAAACTGATGCCGATTCATTCAAACGTCTGAAGTTCGTCAGTTCTGGTCAGTTCATGCTCTATTATTTATAATCATCCATTATTTATGTTATTTCTCAAAAAGGACTAATTTTCAATTCTTGATATCAAGATAAGATATTTAAGTAATTCAAACTTGTAAAATCGTAAAAATAAATCAAATTTATTTTTGAATTTTTTAGATGCAGATTAATTCAAACACAACGTCCATCTATAAATTATATGTTGTTCATTAGTTACATAGATAAAAGAAGAGTATATGATTAGTTATTTAAACAAAACAGTACAATACTTTTATTTACGAATAAATTACGATAATATAAAACTACGCAGATTCAAAATCTATTAAGTTTTAGCGAAGTGGTAACCACTCTACTTTTATATATTTTATGCTTATTTATCTATGTTTATGCCCATGGTTACTTATCTATGTTTATACTCTTCGTTTATCTATGGCGGTAACTGGTAACTAGGTAACTATATTCATATGCGATCTTTAAGTGGCATTACGACCCTATACAATATACATATACGTTCATAAAATGTTACACGCCTAGATAAATAAGCATAATACCTAGATAAGCGGTTACACGTGTGAGTTATGAAAAATTAATTATATTTTTAATAAAGTATGCACTTATATAATTTTTGAATAGTTTGAATAACAAAACGCTAAGATTTTTTTTTATAAAATTTGATTAACTCCACAGTATTAAATATGAAAATTTGTTTCTCTTAGATAAAATGTCATAGTCAATGTGAAGATCTATGGTGAAGACCATACTTGTTTATCTATTATTATCTATGGTGAAGACCATACTTGTTTATCTATGGTGAAGACTGCTTATATATCTATGGTAGACTATCTGGCGCCAATTTCGGAACTTTGCGCGCTTATATGCTTATATAAATGCTCTGTTCAAAGTTGACAGCCATTTGTTCAATGCTTATTGAATTTGAAGGCATTTTGAAGGGTTCGTACAATCACACAATGCTTTAAGATTAACCTTTTATTAATTTTCATAGCAAAAATATTAATATATTTTTAACTTCCCGTAAGGTAAGTTATAGTAATCGCAAAAAATCGAAAATGATTTTTTTTATATATCTTTACGAAAGGTTTCTGAATATTTTGGCATACCTTAGAAAAAATACATGTATGTGTATGCGCGTGTGCGAGTACAAATTTTTGTCAACGATTTTGGGAACATGAATCAACCGATTTGAATAATTCAAAAAGTGTTCGATTCGTATTGATAAGGAGACATGCTGATTAGTTTTTGGCATAAGCAGGTTGAGCCGTTCCGAAGATACGGGACAAAAAGTGCCAAGAATGGTAATTCAATTTTTGAGAGAACAAGGCGTCCGATTTGAATGATTCAAAAAACATTTTATTTATATTGACGAAATAAATAACTGATGAACTTTTTGGGAAGGCAGGTTTAGCGGTTTCGGAGATCCAATGAAAAAAGTGAAAAAAGAGCCATTTGGAAGACAAAAATGATCATTATAGACATATGCACATCAAATTATCACATATTTTTTCGATATCTTAATAATAAGAATAAATTATGTGTACATATCTATGGGTTCCGTACCAATCTTTATCTGTTATATTGCGACGCGGCGCCTACGCGCTTCCATATTTCGTTTCTAACCAGCTAACGTATTGCGATTACTTTGAAAAGAAGTTCAAAATTTCCAAAATATTTCAAAGTATAAAAAAATGTTAAAAAGGTAATTTTTTTCCAAAAATTTAAAAAATCTCAAAGATCGATTTTTTCAGAGTTCTAACAAATCTGTTCGTCAACAATTCTGTTCGCGAGTTCGAGTCCGCGCTCTGGAAGACCTGATACCGTGCACTAGCGATGTCCTTTTTCACTTGTAAATAAAGATTAAAAATATGTTTGCATTTGAAAATAAGCTCATCTCGGACACTGCGGTGTAAAATGGTAATAGAAAATCTCTCACACTATTCTTCCCTGAATCAAGTTGGGGTTTATCTCAGCTCATGGACCTGCTTGGGCAGTACTACCCATTATTATGTATATATATATATATATATATATATATATATATATTTATATATATATATTAAATTTAAAAAGTATTAATCGACGTATTAATCGACGACGATATATCTGTTCGTCGTCCGAAATTCTTTCAGTTTTTCAAAGGAGAATAGAAGCTTCTGTTTTCGCAAAAAAAAAAACGATTCGCTAATTTTTTTTCTCGACGTTTCAAGTCCTTCGGAAGCGATTGAGGTCAAATTTGGAATAAGTATTTGGAATGTGTTATTGTTTGGGAGTATGTGAGTCGATTTTTCGATCTTTCATCCGCGTTTTCTCGTAAATGGCTGAACCTATTTCAAAAATTTAAAAGCCATTCAATATATCTCAATAAGGACTCGCGTTTATTAGTTTTGCACAATGATTGACCAAGACAGTTTTTTTAATTAGCAAGTGATTAGAATTAAAAAAGTGAAAAATTCTTAGTTCACATTTTAGTCCGCAATCCTGAATCGATCTTAAAAATTCGAAAACTGTTCGAAAGGTATTGGTTGGGAATTGTACTAATTAGTTTTTGTGAAAAAATTCGACAATTTTGATAAAATAGATAGATATTATAGTCTTATAAAACATACTAAAATTTACGATCCTACGATAAGTGGTTTAGTTGTAAAAATTCATCAAAGTTTGAAAAAATGTGATTGAAAAGGTGTGTTGAGAGATATAAACTGGAAATCAAAATGTTTAACTTTTAATGAAAGCGAAAATTTTATTATCAAATATTCAAATCTCAGTATCGTTTGATTAACACTATTCCTACCGAGACCGGTCAAATGACCGTTTTTGATTTTTTTATTAGTATTTTTCATATTAAACGTAATTGAATTGTCATCAAACTTTAAGACTTTTCCTAATATGTGAGTATGATACATTTTTCAATGTAAATTTGTTTTTTCAATTTTTATTTTTGGAAAAAAAAATTTTATACTGTCTTACCTACCGCGACCGGTCATTTGACCGGTAGTACAAAGACGATGTTCGGTCGGCATTTTTTGTAGTAATTGTTAAGAATATGATCGACCTTACAAGAAAATGTAAAATCAGAATAATTTAGAGTGGTAAAAGCTGCCTTCTGCAAATTTATATGCATTTTTTTCAATTCTGTATGCACGCAGCGCAAATGAGGCAAGGGGTATAAATATTGCACTTATACTGTGTACAAAGTGGGTTTTCTCATTTTTGCTCAATGTCTACGTATAAACAGATTTTTACAAAGGGATCCAAACAACAAATTGATAGGTTTTGTTTTGAATTCAAAGGTTGGTTCAACTACATTGACAGCAATCAAAATTGTTGTAAAAGACCACGTATTACTATCGACGAACATAGATTTTCAATAAAGGTAAGGTGTAAATTTATTCAACACATGTTCAATAATATTCAGGAAAACTGCTCAATATACGAAGTAAATATAATTATGCGCAGCAAACCGCACAAATAGGGTGTAAAATTTTGATATATACGTATTGAGTACGTTTTGAGTATACGTAGAAAACTAAGAATTTCTTTGAAGATTTATAACCAATGAATCAGTATTATCAAAATCGCTAGTAAGATGTAAAAAATTTAAAAGTTTTCACCATCCTACTTATAGCTAAACTGTTAGTAAAAAAAACTGTGATGGTAGGTACAATTGAAGCAATATAACAGCTACAAGTACTGGTAGAACTAAAAATCAAGGACTTCGCTCAAATAATATTTACAATTTTGGAAGCTAAAAAAGAAGGTTCTAATTTTCGCTTACATACACATATGTTGAAAAAATTTCACTAATACAGGAGTCAATTCAATTGGTATTAGCGTCGGGACTGGTGTAGATGTCATTCATAGAATAAAATATGTCATTCATAAAATAGTCAGAAATCATTCAGTAAAATATGAATTTTTGAGAGAATTTATCAAGGATTTACATTATTTTGTATTTATTCAGGATAAATTCATTGTTTTCACATAAAGAAATTACGGGAAGACGATGTACAAGGCAGGAACTTTCTATTCCAATTAACTTGCCGAATAGTTCCAACAAGAATTCATAAAAAAATCAACTAAGTACAAGTACAAAACATATTCCCTAAAAGAAAATATTCCAGATAATGTTTTAGAAAGATGATAGAGCGAACAAAATCAGCCAAAAACGTAAAAAATGCGTGTGCGAAAATACACTTTAAGAAAAAAATCGTAAAAAAATGGATAAAACAGAATAAAATGTTGATTTCGCATTCTAAAATAAAAGAAATATTTTGTATTTGTATTTATAAACTCTTAAACTAGCATTAACTCTTCATTCAATACTGAAAAATACAGATTTTGCATGACCGGTCATTTGACCGGTCGCGGTAGGAATAGTAAACATGAAATGTCGGTAGGAATCTAGGAATAGTGTTAAGTCAATTATTGCACCTATCGGGAAGTTTTTGCAACTTGACTTAAGGCAAAATGCCACTTTCAACTAGTTTTTTATGATTTGTGATGAAAGTAATCTGTTCAAGCAATTTACGTTATTAATCTTTAATTAAAAAATCTAGAGATACGTATTAAATTATCAACTGAATGCATGTACATATAGCAGATTCAAGTTTAGTTGTTTCTGCCAGGGACTTGCAACTATTAGCATAATATATGAAATGTTTTAAATTATATAACAACAAATTTATTTATTAAACTAGTGGTTCATGGCATCGTGCCTCAAGGCAAATTGCTGGAACTTTCCATACCGTACTTTGGAATTTTTAAAAACTTTAAAATTTTTGAAAAAAATTATTGGTAATTTCGAGTCTTTTGAAAGTTATGATTTGTTTCTAACATATTTTAAAACAATTGGATTTTTTATCTTTTTTCGAAGCGATCGCGCTGCATGGCTATTTTAAAGACGAAATATGGAAGCGCGTAAGCGCTGTGTTGCAGTCGACGGTTAACTATTATAAATCTTGGTACGAAACCCATAAAATATTTTTTATGCATATATTTATTGCCGATCAAAATAATATAATTTTTTAAGACAGTATGCTGGTTGTCTTCAATGAGATAAACCTCCCTTTTTTCCTTTTTGACATAAGATCGTATGGCATTTTTCACTTCCCGTAGGATAAGTTATAGTAATCGCAAAAAATTAAAAATAACATTTTTTATATATCTTTACGTTTCAAAGGTTTTTAAATATTTTGGCATACCTTAGAAAAAATGGATGTATGTGTGTGTGTGTGCGTGCGTGCGTGTGTGTGCGCGCGTATACAAATTGTCGTCGACGATTTCGGGAACACGGATCAACCGATTTGAATAATTTAAAAATCATTCGATTTGTTGTCTAGCCGTTTCGAAGAACCAAAAATGGTAATTCAGTTTTTGAGAGAACGAAGCGTCCGATTTGAATATTTCAAAAAAACATTTTATTTATATTGACTAAACGAAAAACTGTTAAAATTTTTGGAAAGGAAGGTTCAGCGGTTATGGAGTTTCAATGAAAAAAATATAAAAAAATGCCATTCGGCGTTCGAAAATGATCATTAGACAAATGCACATTAAGTTATCAGATATTTTAAAGACATTTTAATACTGTGTACACATTTTGTGTCAATTTTTTTGGGTACTGTACCAAGATTTTTAATTTTAAAATTCACGTATACGGTTCAAACAAATGTCCTCGATATTTTCGACAGTTTGATTGAAAAGTCATTTCTTTTTGTACTCGATCGCGAGGCGTTTTTGCAAAAGGCAATTTTGCCGTTTCGGAGGTATGGAGCGCGAAGGGGGTAAAAACGGTTATGCAGTTTTATGCTTTTACAAAAAAAATCGTGATTTTGAAAATTTTCAAAAAAGAAATTCAAATTTTTCAAAAAAAATCAAATTATCGAAATTTTTCATAATTTTCAAAAAAAAACTGAATTTTAAAAAATTTCAAAAAATATCAAAATTAAAAAAAAAATTTTTCTTTGAAAAAAAAAATCAAAAATTTCCAAATTCTGAAAAAAATTAGAAAAAACTTATTTTTTTAAATCTAAATATTTTCAAACTTCTAAAAAAATTTCAAAATTTTGAAAAGATTTCTTAATTATCAATAACGGTATGGAAAGTTCCAGCAATTTGCCTTAAGGCACGATGCCATGCGCCCCACTAGTTTTTACAATCTTTGAGTAGTAGATTCTTCACTCATTTCTTTTAAATATTTGTTTAGGAAATACTGGTATTGAAAATTTTTCGTGTTTTTTTAACTTCTTTCTTTTATTACCTCATTAATAGTTTTTATTTTCAAGTGTTTATGTAGAGTGTCATTTGTAATATACCGTTCACAATGCACCTTAATATTTTAGATCGCGCTCTTTGTATTATTTTTATATTTGAATTGCTTGCGCACGCTATATAAGAACTCATATAAATGAGAACGAAATTTGTACTATATATTAATTTTTTTTATAAATTACCTGATAAATGGATATAAGCAAATCCGACAAATGGCATTTTAAATATATATATGTATATATATATATATATATATATATATATTTTATCTCCACAATCGCCGGACCTGACTTTCCAAAAATTTAATCAGTTGTTCAGTTTATCATTACAAGTGAAATGTTTCTTTAAATTATTCAAATCGGACTCTTCATTTTCTCAAAAACTGAATTACCATTTTGGGCACTTTTTGCCCCGTATCTTTGAAACGGCCTAACCTGCCTTTGCAAAAGACCAATCCGCACGTCTCCCCGTCAATACAAATCAAATGTTTTCGAATCATTCGAATCTCTTTGTGCGACCAAAATCGTGGACGAAAAATTGTATCCAAACATACACACACGCACACATACACATAAACATCAATTTCTTCTAAGGTATGCGAAAATGTTCAGAAACGCTTGAAACGTAAAGATATATAAAAAAATTAATTTTCGATTTTTTTGCGATTGCTATAACTACCCTATGGGGAGTTAATAATAATAATAGGTTTAGGCGTCTGCAACTGCTTAGTCGAAGCTTCGTGGGACGGAGAGTTTAGAACGTAGATATGCGCGGACGCAAAAGGTTTCGTACTCCTGTTATCGTTCGTCTGCGGTGCGCATGTCTCGAACTCGACGTGCAGCGATGATTCATGTTGTTTTTGTTTACAAGAGAATAAACGAGCTGCATATTTCGAGAATCAAACAGCTGACTGCTTATTACTACACCTTAAACTCGACTCACGTTCGCGCTAGTCATACTCTATATCTTGGCAAGTGAAGTTTTGCAAAACGTCCCACGATAAAACTTTTTATACTGTGATCAAAAATGTTTAATGGTTAATGTGAATTTTACGCATTTTTAATCGTTTATTGTGAATTTATCAATTGTTAATCTTAAAAGTAATACGCATTAAAGGTATATAAAAATTTTAGCCCAGATAAACCCAGATTTAAAATGATATAAGATGATAATTGTTTATAAAACTTAATGTGTCTAATATGGTTAAACAATGTTAAAGTGAATAATTTATATATATATATATATATATATATATATTGCATTTTTCATTTTTATTCCTTAGCTTAGCGAAACTGCGATTTATATAGCTAAATATGTCGAATCATCGCATAACATTATTTTTTACGATTACTAAATTTTATTTGATTCTATATTGAATAGTATAAAAAACATAAACTCTAGTATTAAATGAAAAATTAAATCAATGCTAACACGCAAAAGGACTATAACTTAAAACTTGTTTAGAATTTTTATAAATTATACAATTATGTTTTCGACAAAAATTGGCAAAACAGCTTCTAGTGGAGTTTCTGTATTTGGATCTCAACTTGTGGATAAAAAATCATCAACTCCTTACACTGATGCCACACAGGTATTTTCATTATTTTATATTTTCATTTTATATATTATTTCATTATATAATTTTGTTTAAAAGCCCTACCATTAAAAAAGTTTGTTTAAAATGCTAAATGATAAGAAATTAAAAAGAAAATCGTCTTAAGGCAACATTAAAGATTTCAGAGCACAATTTGAAAATGGTATATTTATTAAAAATTGTTAACTTTGTATTTATAAATACACTTCGGTTATGACCTGCGTATCGATATAATTTCAGCAATCTTCGTTATTTGTTGGCGAAGAATTATTTTAAACGTATTTCGTTTCCTCTGCAATTTAGTACCCATATGTAATATATTATCTACAAACACACACACACACACACCACACACACACATATATATATATATATATATATATATATAAGACTTATATGTTTATATAAATTATTTACATTGTAATTATTTCAATATAGATGCATAACTTACAATTAGGTCTTTATGAATACATACATAATATGCATATATATATATATATATATATATATATATATATATTCATATATTCATACATATCTGCACTTTTATAGGAATATTTAAATATACAAATATCATTGACAACAGTGCGTCTCTGTAAAACTGTCCCTGGGCGTTATTTGACATTGATGTATATATATATATATATATATATATATATATATATATATATATACGTTTGTGTGCGTGTGTGTATTTATATATAAATGTGTGTGCAATTATATTTGCATGCAAATAATATTTCCGCCATACATATAAACTTTTCTATATGACTCTTTTAGAAAATTCTGAACCCATCTCAATGCAATATGTTTAATTGGATCATACAAATTTTATTATACGACCAACAAATCTAGAAAATTGTCCTAGAATTAGAAAACTCGTTTTCAATGTTTCCAATGTTTTATATATATATATATATATATATATATATATATATAATATGTTTGTTTTTCTGTATTATTATTAATAATGATTGTTAAACTTTTGAACTAAGAGCTTTATCTTTAACACCTTTATCTTCAATTCTTCTGTTCAATTTTTCAATTCTTTTATTCAAAGTTTCGGGGATGTCCCCTTCTTCAGGATCTTAGTATCGAAACATACATTTTCCTTTTTAAATTTTTCTTATGTGGCGATGGATTTTTTGTTTCATCTGCTTATAAATTAACCTTACTATTATAAATAAATTTATATATAATTTAGTGTATGTTAATAATGTTGCTAGATTTTTTTTATTTATTATTTTGGCAATCAAGACTTACAGAGTCTTATAATACAAAACTGTTTGCCTAGGTAATAAAAAGAACAATCAAATAAAGTATACAATATACATAATAAGTAACAGCAATTAAGAAACTAAAGGAAAATAATAAAATGAAGTAAGAAATAATAACATAAATGAATAAAGATATCAAGATTTCTGCAACATTTTTAATTTCAAACTCACCAATCGTCGAAATGCATTAAAAACTATATTTGAATATACATCGAGAAAATACTTCTTCACCCTACTGAGTACTTTTTAACATTAATATATATATATATATATATATATATATATATATATATATATATTGTTTTAGTTTCAAACTTATGAGAATCAAGTATATTATTAAGTATATTGTTCCGCAAGAGCTATTTCTTCACAATTCATCGTTAGCAGTATCGTTGTTTTTTTTTTTAAATCATACGATTATTTATCAATTTTTTTTTAGATTAAAAAAAAACAGGTTGGCAATAATATTTGACTTCACAGCCTATTAAAATTAATTATATTTTGTTATGTATAGTGTAAATGGAATTATTTACGTTTAAGAAATTTTGTTTTATTAGTTAGTTTATTAGTTTTATTATTTTATTTATTTTTAGACAAACTCGATTTGAAAATCATAATTACATTTGATTTCATAAAACTCTAGAGTCATCTTAAAAATAATGTGACTGGGAGACTGTTATTTGATCATTTTATTTATAATACGCATATCGAATTTTGCTGGTAATAAATTTTATCATATTGTTATTATAGCGAATTAACAAAACATTATTAATTAATTTTCCGTAGGGTGTTATAGTAGTAGCAAAAAAATCGAAAATGAGAATGTATATATTTCTTTACGTTTCAAACGTTTCTGAACATTTTGGCGTACCTTAGAAAAAAATGATGTATGTGTGTATCTGTGTGTGCGGATACAAATTTTCGTCGACACATCAACCGCTTTGAATAATTAAAAAAACATTCGATTGTGAGACGTGCTGATTAGGCAAAGGCAAGTCCAGTCGTTTCGAAACTACGGTGGAAAAAGTGACTCAAAAACATTTTATTTGTATTGATAAAGCGAAAAACTGAACAAAAATTTGGGAAGGCAGGCCCAGTGGTTTCACAGATCCAATAAAAAAAAGCCATTTGTCGATCAAAAATAATCATTAGACACGTGCATATCAAATTATCAGATCTTTTGTAGAGATTTTAATAGCAATTTTTTTTTTTATATTTGTATGGGTTTTGTACCAATGTTTATTCGATAGACTGCGAGGCGGCGCTTACGCACTTCTATATTACTACAACTCTAAAATAGCTACACAGCACAATTACTTTTAAAAAAATTCAAAATATTCGAAAAAATTCAAACAAAAAAATTTGTTTTTGAAAAAAGTAAATTTTTTTCAAAAATTTCAAAAATGTTTAAAATGTTTTTTTTGTTCATAGTTAAATTTTTTTTTTTTTTTTAAAAAAAATCTTAATTTTTGGTATGGAAAGTTCCATACCATGGCACGATGCCATGCACCAGTAGATAAACTCTTATACTGACAAAATTACAGTGCGTAAATGGACTTTGCAATAATATAACTACTTAATATGGTATTGGAACCTTCTGTGTACGAGTTGTAGATGTTTTCATGAATGTTTTAAATCGTCGTCGTACGAAATATTTTGCAGACTATTTTAATTTCTGAAAACGGTATAATGCTCTTCAGTGCACAACTGGCGGCATTGAACCGACAATTATCGATTCGAATGTCGTCCTTGTGTGAAGGGAGTTTAAGGTTATTCACACTGCCAATTCAGTCTGGCATCTCGCGCCGTTTCAGCATGAAAAAGTCTCACCATTAACGAATCTATTCAAATTGACCTATTATACTTGTATATGCAAAATTATTTGATAAATTATCCGACGACAATCTGTATTTTATTTTATGTTGCAGATACTATATGCTTTTTATATTAATTTGTTTCAAACCATTCTACCTCTATAGTTCTTGAGTTTTCGTAGGTAAGCGTAGAGGACTTTTCAATGCCACACAGTAGTACGGTAATATATATATATATATATATATATATATATATATATATATATATAATATACTAGCTGACCCGGCAAACGTTGTTTTACCATACAAATATTTCTAGTATAAAATGTTCAGTACGAAAATAACTAATGACTGATTACAAATGTGGTGCATGAGTGATAGGAGCAGCCAACAGAAAATATATGAATAGTTTACCCACTGCAAAGCATGCCACATATAAATGCCATTAATAGTATATGCAAGTGCTAACCTAAGCTGAAACTGATTCTATTTAAATTGAACACACTTAAAGTTTCAAAATTTTGATGTACAGGCAACTCCCGTACAACACGGTAATTACGTTCCAGAAAACTAGCGTGTTATAGGAATCCGTGTTATAAGAGACAAAGAACTAGTACAAAAAGAGGGGTTACGTTCCCAGAATTCAAAAAAACATGCTACATATCACGATTTTATAATAAAGATTGTTACATTAATTCATTTTTTAAGAAGTAATATACATTACTTGAATTACATAATTTATTTCGTCATAATTAACAAGTGCTATCCAACATGATCCTTTTTTGCAACATATCCTCATCCTCTGAACAGTTTTCTATTCGCAAAAAAAAATTATATTTGCGATTACTTGCTTTTAGCAGAATGATATTTAAATATTTAACGCATGTAAAGTAATCTTTATTAAACTTTTATGCTCATTTTATTTAAAGAATTGCTTAAGAATTATTTAATATATTGGTCGGATAATCCTAGAATTTTTTTGAACGTACGCGCTCTAATGATATATATCAAATTAGTTATCTTTTGCACTAGTTTCATCACATTTATCGAGCAATTGTACGGCGATTTTACTAGTTTTAGAATAAATGTTTGCTTTTCATAGGTTTTACTATAATTCTTATTTTATTAAAACTTTCCTCAATTTTTAAATCGTGTTATGCAAAACCAAAAGTACCGAAAGTAGATTTGCATGCCCTATCAAAAACTGTTATATCTTCAAATTTTAATATTCAAACTCTCAATTTCTTTGCAAAACTATGTACTGTTTGTACGCATCGGGAAATATAAGTACAATGGGATAATAAGAGGAGTGGACAACCTTGAAAAAATAAATTGTTTTTTTTAGGCAAAATCTATGCTTTATTATAAGGTCCGGAAAATATGAATTAAAATTCAGTAAAAAACACTGACTGAAAGCGTGGGGAAAATTATTCGATTACTAAAATGATTATCATGAAATAAATATTTGTGGAAGGAGGGTGAACATTTAGAGATGTATGTTTATTTCAATTACAAATTAAAAAAATTAAAATGAAGAAATTTGACTTCAAAATTGAAAAAAAGTGTTATAGTTGGACAGCCCTTAACAAAAAAATGGTTTTTTAATGTATGTATATATATACATATACATATACATATATGGTTTCTTATTAGGTTGGTTGTATTGATGACCATAAACGATATTGAAAATGAAATTGACATGATCATATTCAAACTGGCGATATCTACCCGTACCGTAACGAAATATTCGAGAAATATATTAATTGTTTAATAGATTATTAGAAATACTGTAACATTATAAGAATGAAACTAAATTGCAAAGTCAAAATTATTTATTTGAAGTATATAAGTGAGCTTTAGAACTTGAACCAGAATTAAAATTAAAATTATGTTCGATATTAAAAAA